ACTACCTAGGGAATCAGGGTTTTTCGGTTTTTCAATATAATTATAGCAATTTTTATACTCTCACCAGCAGTGTGTAGGGGTTCTGATGGCTCCACATCCTCATTAACACTTTTTTTTTTTTTTTTTTGCCTTCTTCTAGCCATCTGGTGGGTATGTAGTGGTATCTCATTGTGGTTCTAATTTGCATTTCCCTGATGACTGATGAAGTTGAGTACCATCGCATATGTTTATTGGCCATTTGGATAGTTATTCTTTTTGTGAGTGCCTATTAAAATTGTGTGTACTATTGGCTTTTGCCTGTTTTTTCTATATTGCTTTGTAGAAGTTTTGAATGTGTTTGGGATATGAGTTCCTTGTCAGACTGCACGTGCTGTCAGTATCTTCTCTTTCTGTGGATTGCATTTTCACTCTTTTAACAATTTCTTTTAATGAATAGAAGTTCCCAATTTTAATTTAGCTCAGTTTATCAATTTTTTCTTTTATTGTTAATGCCTTTTGTCCTGAATAAATAAAAATATTTTCTTCTATTTTATGGTTTTGCCTTTTTACTGTGTTGATAGTGTTTTTGATGCATAAAGTTTTAAATTTTGGTGAAGACTCGTTTGTCTGTTTCTTCTTTTATTGCTTAGAAATCATAGCCAAATCCAATGTCATGAAGCCACTTCCCATGTTTTCTTCCAACAGTTTTATAGTTTTTAGCTTTTATGTTTAGGTCTTTAATTCATTTTTAGCTAATTGTTGTGTATAGTGTTAGGTAAGGGTCCAACTTCATTCTCTTGCATGTGGATATCCAGTTTTCCCAGCACCATTTGTTGAGAAGACTGTCCTTTCCCCATTGAATGGTCTTGGCACCCTTGTTGAAAAATCTTTTGACCATATATATGAGATTTTATTTCTGCTATATTCCATTGATCTATGTCTGTTTTATGCTAATACTGCACTGTTTTGATTCCTGTAGCTTTGTGGTAGGTTTTGAAGTCAGGAAATGTGAGCCCTCCAATTTTGTTCTTTTTCAAAATTGTTTTGGCCATTTGGGATCCCTTGGGACTCTGTATGAATTGTAGGATAGATTTTTCTATCTCTGCAAAAAATGTCATTGAAATTTTGATAAGGATTGCATTTATCCTGTAGATTGCTTTGGGTACTATTGACATTTTAACAACATTAAGTCTTCTATGAACTTGGATGTCGTTACAAATATTTGTCTTCTTTAATTTCTTTCATCAATGTTTTATAGTTTTTATTATAGAACTCTTTAAATATTTTATTCTTTTTGATGCTATTGTAAATAGAATTGTTTTCTTAATTTCCTTTTCCCATCATTCATTGTTACTGTATAGAAACACAACTGATTTTCATGTGTTGATTTTGTATCCTACTACTTTGCTGAATTTCATAGCATTGTAAGTGTTTCCATAACTCCCAGGATGTTTTTCCTGTGGCAGATTGTTTCCAAGTTGAAGGATGAAATAATTCTAATAGAAAAAGAATGCACAGACCTTCAGCTGCACATGGCAAGAACAGATTGGTGGTGTGAAAACCTTGGCATGTGGAAAGCGTCCATCACCAGTGGAGAGGTAGGTTGACTGCTTTTCCTCCCAATTTATTTTAAAAGTTTGACTTTGTAAGACAAGATTTTATCCTGGAGAATTAACATTGAGTATAGAAACTTAAACTCATTCTTTTAGACCACACTTGTCCTACTTGCCCTCCCCCATATTTTCACTCTAGTTCGCCTATGACTGGGAGCTGCACTAGGCTGCTTGGTAGATCTGATCTCACTCCACTTCAGACAGGTAGTTATGCTTCTTCACCAGAATTGTAAACAACTTTTGTGTAGGAACATTTAATGTTCTTGAATTACCAATGTCTTTTTCCATTGAGAGTTAGAATAAAATGGAAAGTGCTTTTTGAAACTTGGAGATGAATGATTGAAAATTTAAGTGCATGTGATTGTTCCATCCTGCTGACTTCAATTTACTGCTTAAAACTCAGTAACTCTAAAAGCTTTAATAACAAATTTTTTTCCTTTGAATTATTTTGCTATTCTTTGAGGGATATGGGATAAATTTGCAGAATATACTGTATCCATTTTCATTTGTCTATAAAAATAATTTCACTTAGGAGGCAGGGAAGGGGGGGATACCTTTATGAGGCACTTTGCCCTGGAAGTCACTTGTTCATGAGCTTGCTGTGGTATTTTGGTTATTGAAAAGATAGCAGAACTGTAAACAGGGGGTTCACATGACTGCCACAGCTCACAGAGCAATCCTATAGAGTGGAAGATGCCTTTTCTTCCAGCCAGACTCCTGAATTCTGGCACTGGCTGGCTCACTCAACTGGAAATGAGGTCCTAGGAAAGTTACCCTGTCTCTGCCTCTCCTTCCCATTGTTATAGTGGGATAATCATCTTGCTCAGTGAATCTTGCATCTTTCCTTTGCCTTTTGTATTGAATCTTTCTCTGTAGTTAATTTATGATACTAATTCAAGCTCAAATTCAATGTATTTTCTGTTTGTTTTTTCTCTTATCTATTTATGTTAATAGTGGCCTATTCTGAATTGTGTGTGTGTGTGTGCACATGTATGTGTGTATATGAATTATCTAGTTGGGAGGTAAAGAAAAGTGTGTGTCTCAATGTAAAATTTCATGAGAATGGAAATCATGGTTTGATGAATCCTGAAATTAAACTGAGGAAGCTCTCACAGGTGCATCTGATACTTGTTTGCTTGCTGCTAATTTGTTTTTTCAGGGAAACACAGGATGTAAAGTCTGTGATACCAGTTTTTGCTGTTTAACAAATTTCATGGCTTAAAACAACACTCCTTTATTAGTTCACACCTCTGTAGGTCAGAAGGCCAGCACAGAATGGCTGGGTTCTCTGTTTATTATTATATCTCAAGGCTGACATCAGTATGTTGGCCAGACTGAGTTCTTGTCTGGAGACTTTGAGGAAAATCCACTTCCAAGCTTATTCAGGTTATTGACAGAATTTAGTTCCTTGTGGTTGTAGAACTGAATTCCTATATTCTTGCTGGCTTCCTTCTTGGGCTTTGAATCTTTCCAACTTCCTTTTCTAATACTAATCAGCAGAAACTCTCTGCTTTTAGGTTAGGCCCACCTGGGTAATCCCCCTGTTTTAAGGTCTGCTGTGCTGTATAACGTAACTAAATTGCCAGAGTAAGAGTCATCACAGCACAGTCCCGAGGATTATACAGGGCACCAGACAGGGTGCACCAGGGAGAGGAAATCTCATCAGGGGACTGTTAAAAAATCTTCCTGGCACATCCATGCTTTCTGTCATTGTTGATTTTCATTTTTTGTTTTTCAAGATTACAGAAGAGAGTGGTGAACAAATGCCGTGTTACTTTGTCATGGTAAGCCTACAAGAAGTTGGAGGAGTTGAAACTAAGAACTGGACAGTCCCAAGAAGGCTCAGTGAGTTTCAGAATTTACACCGGAAACTTAGTGAGGTATGAATACTCATGAGGTAGAAATCCTTGTGACAAGATTCTAGAATTACTGAGCAAGAACAGATTCAGGAGCTCATTTCAATTTTTACATATAAGGAAACTGATTTTTCTCCTTTCCTGTTAATACTAGCAAAGTGGCATTTTCAGCCTGACATTTGGAAATTTATTCATAGATTGGACCATCTAGTCTAGTCTGTGTCTGTCAGAACAGATAATTGTGTTATTTTCATTGTAAGTTACCATAGAACCGCAGAGCTGGAAGAGACCTAAGAATCATCTAGGGCCAGTGGTTTTGAAGCTGCCAGTGTGACCCATTAAGGGGTAGTGAAATCAATCATGAGTTAGAGCAATAGAAAGAGAACAGAATATACTAGATTTCATCACATGTACTAAGGGAGGCAGCAAAGTGTGGTGGTTGAAAGCACAACCTCTAAAGCCAGACTGCTTGGCTTTGAATCTTCTCTCTACCATTTATAACTGTATGATCTGGGAGGTAACAGTCCCTTTGTGCCTCTTTTCTTCATCAGTGAAATATGAATATTAATAGTACCTACTTGATGGGGTTGTTGTAAGGATTAAGCAACTAATATATACAAAGCATTTAGAATGTGTGGCACATAGTAAACATTGGGTTTTTTGTTAGTAGTAGTAGTGATAATGAGCATTGTTTGTTTTGGTTTTATGTATTTATATGTATATATGTATGTGCATTAGGGGTTGCACACATGCATATTTCCTACTGTGGGTTTTAGTTTAAAATGTTTGAAATCCATAATGTAAGTCATTTATTTGATAGATGAGGGAAACTGATCCCAAAGCATAACTGACTTATCACAGGATGTATACATAGTAGCCAAGTTAGGATTAGAATCTGACTTTTTATTATTCTTCCCACCTTTCCTGAATAATTGCATCTTCTCTAATTCTCCTACTAGGGGTAGCTGCCCTTTACCCCAGCAATGAAAAAGTCTTCAATCATTTCTACTTTAATTTAGGTCCATTTTTCTCTTTCTCAGAATGAACTGACACTGGTATAACCCTGTGGTCACCTCTCACACCCCTCTTTTGCAGATGAAGTGTGTCTCCTTTAACCTTGTCTCCTAGGGTGATTTTTAATCACTAAGGGATGATGGCCAAAACCAAGTGTCATGCACCCTATAGCATTTCTCATGTGGACTCTGATCCACCCCAGCAGTGTGGAAAGCAAAATGTTTATCTCAATTTAACAATGCCTTTTTCCCAAAAGTTTTGAGTAAAATTGACACTGCAGAAACATGTGTTTGCCTTGTGACAAGCCATTGTGGAACCAAAGTTTAATATCAGTCACGTTGAATATAAAAACAGAAGGCGGAAAAGGAATTTAGGGACGATTTTGAAATAAAACGTACTTGGAAAATAAATGTACTTAGAAAATCAAAACAATCACACTGACTCATTAGAAGAAACAAACACAAAAGCCCATGTGTATCCTCATTGTCATCTTTCCACCTCTGTGGATTAATGGCCGGGCTCTTCTCTTGCCCTTGCTATTAATATTTCCTACACTTTGAGTTTTCCTGTTGTGAGAACGCTTCCTGTTGATAACTGTGACAGGAAGCACCTTTTTGGGTCCCTAGTGATTGTAATCTTCCCTTCCAAATCTCACTGCCTGTTTCACTTCTCTAAAATTTTATAGAGCTGTTGTTAGGATGAAATAACACATTCCTTGCTTCTAGCACAGTGTCTGGCAGAATGTAGGATTTAATCCACAAAGAGCAGTCTATTATTAATATATATTTTTATTATTAATATATTTACATTCTACAATTTGCTATTGAAAGGCAGTAATAGAGCTACAACCCAAGGTTTCTTTCTTTCCATTGTTTTCTTTTGTTTAACTTTTTACAGACATGTTGTAAACACAACACGTTCTAATAGAAAAGTTCTCAGTGGGCCGGATGCAGTGGCTCACGCCTGTAATCCTAGCACTCTGGGAGGCTGAGGCGGATGGATTGCTCAAGGTCAGGAGTTCAAAACCAGCTTGAGCAAGACGATCCCATGTCTACTATAAATAGAAGAATTAATTGGCCAACTAATATATAGAAAAAATTAGCCAGGCATAGTGCGCACATGCCTGTAGTCCCAGCTACCCAGGAGGCTGAGGCAGCAGGATTGCTTGAGCCCAGGAGTTTGAGGTTGCCTGTGAGCTAGGCTGACGCCACGCCACTCCACTCTACGCCTGGGCAACAAAGCAGACTCTGTCCTCAGAAAAAAAGAAAGAAGAAAAGAAAAGAAAAAAGAAAAGTTCTCTGTGAGTGGGTTTCCTAGACCTAGCATACTGTGCTACTTCTGGTGCATGTTGTACAAATCCATCTTGTCAGCCTCGCTGCTTCTTATTCCTGACATCCGGGTGTCTGCAGGTCTGGGAATGAGCTTTAACTTTCTCCACCAAATGTCCCATTCCCCCAGACTCTTTTAGCCTGATTAGAACAGTCACTTTTCAAGCTCTTAAATCTCACAGGTACATGTACAGGAGGAAGATACTTGGTTTGTTCTATCTATAATTCTAAATCCTTAAGATTAATGTTCAAACACTACATATTTAATTTTTTCCCCCCACAGTGTTTCCCTTCTTTAAAAAGTCCAGTTGCCTTCTCTTAGCAACCTGCCTTTCAAATCAATAGATCAAAAGTTTATGGAAAAGTCAAAGAATCAATTAAATAAGTTTTACAGGTACAATGAAAAGTTTTGGATATGAGAGGAAAAATTAGTTACTCTTGGGGTGAAATTGTCATCATTCTAAGAGTTAGTATTTTGCTTTTTGTTCTCAAATTCTGCCATCCTCAAAAATAACTTTAGTCTTTTTTTGTTAATTCAAGTATAACATACATAAAAAAAATTACACTAAGTGTACAACTGTCTTCATTTCACAAACTGACCACCCCCATATGACTACACCCAGTCCAAGAACTGATTGTCTCCTGTACCTCCGGCTCCTCCCCATCATTGCTGTCCCGACTCCCAAAAGCATAGGCCAGTGTAATTGGTTTTGAACTTCATGTGAATGGAACCAGTGTGGTTCCTTTGTGTCTGACTTCTTTCACTCAACATTATGTTGGTGAGATTCATCCACAGTGGTGTTTTAGTTGTAGATCATTCGTTTTTCATTGTGTGAATATGCTCTAGTCTATTCATTCTGTTGTTGATGGGCGTTTGGCTAGTTTCCAGTTGGAGGCTGTTACTAAGAGTGCTTCTATAGACTTCCAGTACTTGTCTTTTGGTGAATATATGTTGGGAAATACCTAGGGAATCAGGGTTTTTCGGTTTTTCAATATAATTATAGCAATTTTTATACTCTCACCAGCAGTGTGTAGGGGTTCTGATGGCTCCACATCCTCATTAACACTTTTTTTTTTTTTTTTGCCTTCTTCTAGCCATCTGGTGGGTATGTAGTGGTATCTCATTGTGGTTCTAATTTGCATTTCCCTGATGACTGATGAAGTTGAGTACCATCGCATATGTTTATTGGCCATTTGGATAGTTATTTCTTTTTGTGAGTGCCTATTAAAATTGTGTGTACTATTGGCTTGCCTGTTTTTTCTATATTGCTTTGTAGAAGTTTTGAATGTGTTTTGGATATGAGTTCCTTGTCAGACCGCACATGCTGTCAGTATCTTCTCTTTCTGTGGATTGCATTTTCACTCTTTTAACAATTTCTTTTAATGAATAGAAGTTCCCAATTTTAATTTAGCTCAGTTTATCAATTTTTTCTTTTATTGTTAATGCCTTTTGTGCCTGTTAAGAAGTCTTTGCCTATTCCAAGGCCCTGAAGATAAATTTTCATTTAAACACTTTGTTGTTTTCCATCAGTCTGTTTTTCAATAAGGCCAGACGACAGTATGTTCTCCCAATAACAACCACTGTTTATTCTTTCCTTAGCTGTACCATGTGTCCAGAGTATAGCTGTTACTTAAACTACAGACCTTAAAGCCCTTAAATTTAAGTTCTTGGAGGCATGAATCTTTGCCCCATAAAACACGTTTTCCCCTATGCAGTAGTAGCTAGAAGTTCTGAGACTTACTTTTATATGCTTTGCATATTTTTATCATCTTAATTTTTTTATTTTTTTAGTTGACACATTGTAATTATACATATTTATAGAGTACAATTTCATGTTTTGATACAAGTATATGTTACATAATGATCAAGTCAGAGTAATTAGCCTATCCATCATCACCTCATGCATATATCATTTCTTTGTGGTGAGAACATTCAAAAACCTCTCTTCTAGCAATTTTGTAGTATGCAGTACCTTACTGTCAACCATGGTCACTCTGCTATACAGTAGGACACCAGGAGTTCTTTTTGGTTTCTGACTGTAACTTTGTACCCATTGAGTAGCTTTTCTCATTCTCCCCTTCACAGTCTCTGGTAACCACTGTTCTACTTTCTATTTCTATGCCAGCTTCTTTCTTTGGATTCCATAGATAAATGAGGTCATGCTGTATTTGTCTTTCTATGTGTGGTTTATGTCTGGTGTTCCCCAGGTTGATCCATGTTATCACAAATGACAGGATTAAATCCTTTTTAATAGCTGAATAGTATTCCATTGTGTATCTATGACAGGTTTTCTTTGTCCATTCATCCATCGTTGGACACTTAGGTTGATTCTGTTATATTAATATATCTTGGCTATTGTATAAATAGTGCTATGATAAGCATGAGAGTGTAGATATCTCGTTGACAAACTGATTTCATTTACAGTCGTGAAATGGTTGGATCATGTGATAGGTCTATTTTTAATTTTTTTGAGGGACCTCCATACTATTTTCCATAATGGCTGTACTATTACAGTTCCATGAACAGTAAGTATTCCCTTTTTTTCACATCCTTGCCAGCACTTGGTTTTCTTTTGTCTTTTTTATATTATCCATTCTAACTGGATATATGCTCTTATTGGGTGGTTGGGGATGGAAATGAGTTAGTGAGTTCTGCTGTTGTACCAAGAGAAGCATTCATGCTAGCATACTGCTGGTAGGTTGTGTGGGCGTGGCTCAGGGCAAGAATAATCTGCAGCTAAACCAAATGACAGTGGTCTCAAGTGGTCATTTGCCTTCTAGTTAAAAGAAGTTTAAGTCAGGAAATAATGTTTCAATTATTTTTCATTTCCTCAAAGACTTTGTTTGAAAGTGCTAACTATTCAGTGCATTTAGGTAGGCCACACAGCAGACTGTAGTTTCAAATGTATCATTCCACAAACTACAGACAGGAAAATTGAAATGCAAAATGGTCAGTCTGAAAGGCAGATATATTAGGTCCCCAGAATCTTCCAGAAAAAAAACAATTCCATTGAGTGTATGTTTACTTGAATGCTTAAATATGACCTATGGTGCCCTATCAAGGCATACTAATTAGACAGACATTAATCATCTAGCTGGTCATTTTTTGTTCATGCTGTCATGTTTGTCTTACTTCATGCCTACATGCTATCTCCCCATCCCTCCCACACATACCCACTTGGTCCAGCCGTCCTAGGTTTCCTTCGACAGGCACTCCACCCCACTTCTGGGTATGCATCCGGTGCTCTACCCCACTTCTGGGCATGCATATGCTATTAACGCTTCTTGGAATGCCATACCTTTCTCTGGCTCCATGCAATAGCCGTCTCAGCTCTTCACCAGACTAGAATAGCAAGAGTGTTTGAGAGGTGGGGGAGTTCGGGATAGGGAGTGGGATTCTGTTCTCAGAGAGCTTATAAGTGATAAAAATCTCAATTTAATCACTGCCTTGCCTGCAGACATAGTCTTTGACCACATTTCTAACATTGTTTTGTACATAGTTTTCTTTTCCTTCATAATTGAATGTAATTAAGCCCAAAGATTTATCACCCTTAGTGATTTTCTTATTTATATTGATTGTATTAAATTTGACACTTCCCATTAGTATCATATGCTACTATTTTATAAAATAATGTTGGAGTGTAGATTAGCTAAAGGAAGTCAAGATATGGGGTAGAATATCTCACTCCTCCTAATCCACCCTCACGTATAAGTTGAGCTGACCATTTAATACTCTGAAAAAGGAATAAAGGCCTGTCTGCAGGGGTCAGGGAAGGGAAGGCTGTGGTGGCACTAACTGGTCATTCCTCTTAATCTCCTTCCCTGTGTCCAAGCAGGACCTGCCCATGTCAGGCCAGTCTTCTGCAGGGTGCACGAAGCTGGGACTGCTGGGATACTGGTGGTGCCCCTGAGACTCCTTGTCTCCATTGTGGTAGTGTTGGGCCCTCCCAAGGTGCTTATCCTCAGGAAGGTCATAGGATTTGTCAGGTTGTTTGCCATCTGAACAAACAGGATGTGACCATCATGGACCAGCTGCTCTGAGACCAGACTTGAACCTCCACTTCTAGCCTAGTTTCTGTCATTAGAAGCATAGTTGGCTTCTAGTGTTCCACAAGGGGTTACATCATAAACAGGCAATAGTTCCCTTTGGTTTATTTATTCCTTTACCCTATATCTTATAATACTAGAGACTTAAATGTTCTGTGGTCACATTGTTAATTTTACTGTCTCATGATAGCACTTGCTTGTACATAAACTCGATTTATGTTCTGCTCTCCTCTCCCGTAAGGCCTGATAAGTACATACAGAACTTTAGGAAATTGCCAGTTTAAGGGCCAATAAAAACAGTTGTATAGTTACATAAACCAGCACTGCTTGGAAGGTGGCAGCATAGAGTAATGAAACTGTTGCTTGGCAGGCAGTGCCACCACGTAATAAGTCAAGTTCTTTTTTTTTAGCCACTCTACAGTTGCCATAAAAGGGCAATTTGGTGGTATCCTCGTGTAATTTGCAGAAGTTTAAATTGTTCAAACACAGATGGATGAAAGCTATCTTTCAAAGGTGGTAGCACCTGGAATCTGTGAGCCGTAAGCAAAAGTAAGATGTTTTGTTGCACCAAGTGGTATAAAGTGGAGTCAGTTCCATCTGCACGGGGTCCTCCATGAGCAGAGTGATTAGGGCACTACCAGTTAACCTGGAGAGTATTGTTTGCTGTTAAGTTCATTGAGAATTGATCCAGTATAGTTCATTTCATGGGGAGAGGGAAGTGGTTTGGGGTTCAGAAATATGATGAAACTAAATCTGTGATACAGTCAATTCTGCCTTGTTTGCTTTTACTTGTAGTAGCTCCCAGCAGCACAGAGAGTTTCCTGTATAGGAGCAATTCATCCTCTTTCTTCCACAGAATCTGCTTTCAGATGAAAGACTGTGTCAGAGTGAAGCACTTTATGCCTTTTTGAGCCCTTCTCCTGACTACCTCAAGGTTACTGATGTGCAGGGGAAAAAACCCACTTTTTCATTATCTTCATTTTTGGAAAGACTTCCTCGTGACTTCTTCTCCCACCAGGAGGTGAGCCATCTAAAGGTTGTACTATTTTCATAGCATATTTAAGCAGATATCTTCTTGAAGGCTGTTTGGAGTAACAGATGCTTGCTGGGCACATGCTACTAATGGGGGGAAAGCAAATACGTCCATTTTTAGTTACTGTCACTGTCATATTTGGAGGCACCAACTTGTCCTCCCCTGCAAGAGGAGGAGTTAAGATACAGAATGGAAAGATAAAGAAGGTGGGTAGGTGAGATGCGGACAGGAAGCCCTGTAGGAGGCGCTCTACATGGGGTGGAGGCGCCAGGCCCGCGAGGGGAGGGGGAGGAGGGCTGTCACGGTGGAGGAGCTGGACTGCCATTAGGGTTCAGGAGAGGAGGGCATAGGCCATCGGTCCAGAGTGGAGGGTTCTGCAGTGCTCTAGTGCAAGGCAAGGGAAAGGGCAGAAGGGAGGGGCAAGGTTCATGCCAGGCTGGGGAGTTTAGACTGTCTTCTCAGAAATGGAGAACTGTGGAATATTTTGAAGTAAGGTGAATCAGGCAGTGATAGGTAGGAGTAAAGGAATGAATTGAGAGAGACTGTAGACATTGTGATCTCATGTTCTAGACCTCAGGCTTCCTCCAGAGTAGGCTCTCAACTCACGTGTAGGCCTCAGAGGCCCCTGTCTGGGTTTCTAGCCAATTGCACAAGGCTGTCTCTGAAACGTGGCTTCTCTTAGCCTATTGCCAGATGCCACTGCCTCTTCATCAGGCCTGGCTCAGTGAGTCCAGGCAGAGGAACTGGTGACGAGAAGGAGTGTGCCACTCTCCCGCATTACGAGCTGGGAGCGGTCAGTGCATACCGCAGAGCAAGCCCACACCTCTGCTAGGGTCCTCATGTAAACCCGTTTCCCCCATAAGTGTCTCTCCCACCGCTGTCCTTCACGTTTGTCTGTACTTGGCTGGCTTACCTCTGTCACCTCCCTTTTATTCTCAAATCCTGCAGAGTTTACGTGTGGATCAGTCACTCTGTGAAATGACTCTCTGAAGGGAAGTGCCAGGGCTTTCTTCCCAGTCTTCACCTTGCTCAGCCTCTTCGGGCATTTAATGTTGCTGGACTTCTGTGAAGCTGTAGACTTTTAGGGAACTCCTCCTGCCCCTGTGACTTCTCCTCAGTCCTTTCCCCAATCACCTGATGCAGGTGTCCCCGGAATCCTGCCATTAGCCCTCTGCCTGGGCCCACACTTCAGTTCTGCCTGTATGCAGACGTTAGAATGCACTTCCTCAGCTGCTCCTTCCGCTACCTGAGGTTTGCACCTCTCTGATGGCACTTCATCCTGCCTTGTAGAAACAGCTACTTGTGTGTGTACCTGTCAGTGCCCTGAGAAGGCTGTGGGCACTGAGCGTCTGGATCCACGGCACACTCATTTGCACTAGTGGTGCCTGGCACAGAATCAGTTTTGAACTGAAACTCGCTGATATGCACATCAGGAAATGAGACTAGCTGAAGTACAGAATACAAGCTTGAATCAGAGCTTTAAAAATAACTAAATTACTTTAAAATGTGCATGTTTAAAAAACAACAGTGAATTTAAAATTATTTAAGTTAAAAGTCTTACTTTCGGCGACTTCTGGGGCCCCCCTCTCTTGGGGCCCCAGAACCTCGTCCAGAAGAAAATTTTTTTTTTTTTTTTTAAATAAATAAAGTCTTACTTTCAAAAGTCGAAATGGTTAGAATACTATTAATATAGTGACAGAGGTCTTTTAAAATTGGCTTATGTTTTAAACCTGGAATAAAGCTTTGGAGTCAAGCTTTTCCCTGAGGTTAGATTCATTTTGCTTTTCATACTGAAAATGGATAGATTTCTGTATGAAAGTTGAAGGATTATGTAAGGTTAAAATATGAGCCAAGAGTTTGGAATTTATACTTGAAGAAGGAGAGTAGCTCTTCCAGTTTTCTTGGATAAGTGATTTGCTTTCTATGACTTTGCTGTATCCCCAGGAGGAGATAGAGGAAGACAGTGACCTGTCAGATTATGGTGACGATGTGGATGGGAAGAAAGATGCCTTGGCTGAACCATGTTTCATGTTGATCGGGGAGATTTTTGAACTTCGAGGAAGTAAGACTCTTTGTTATTACTTAGTGGTACTTGCTTGTTAACTGGTACACACACCCACGCACACACACATTTAATGTCCCTTCCTGAAGTGCATCGGCCAAATATATGTATTCATACATTCATTCATTCAACAAATAGTTTTAAGAGCCAGCCACATAGTATGCTGCACATACAACCTTAAGACAGACAATGTCTGTGCTCTTGGAACTTAGGGTCCCTATTTACCCTGCACCATGCTCCTCTAAAATAGAGTGCTTTGAATTTCTTTTTGCGTGACTTGGCATAGCTTCATTGCCTTATCACCAAAAGTTATACAGAAAATTAATTTGCATAGCAGAGGAAGAACCCTGTTGTTAAAGGTAAGGTTGTGTTGCTAGGATAGTAGTATGGCCAGGGATGCAGGAATGCTTCAACCCTATTTTCAACCACCTTTCTTCCTCCAGAGCAGTGGTTCTCTGTGGAGGGAAGGAGGGAGAGACATTCGGTAGTATCCCAAGACATTTTTGGTTGCCACAACTTCGGGTGAGGGTGAGCTGCTGGTATCCAGTGGGTACAGACTAGGGATACTGCTAACATTCTAAATGCACAGGACAGCCCCCACCACAGAGTTATCTTGCCCAAAGGCAATAATGCTGACATTGAGAAGTCCTTTCCTAGTGATTCTGGAAGGAGATATACTTAGAAGAAACAATTGCAAAAATAGGGATCAAAAATACCATTTTATTAAGAGCTGTTCAAATGTCTATCTCCCAGAACAATGCTTTGGTGAAAGGTAAACTGGACTACATAGCTTATGCTGCTGCTTTTTTTTTTTTTTCCTTTTAAAGGCTAGTCAAGTGAAGCAGTGGGAGTAGAGAAGGAACAAAGAAATCTCTAACTAGTTGTGATCAATTAGTTGTAAACACCACTGCATTTGGACCAGCCGACGTGTATTGGTCTTGAGTCTTGCATAGGACTTACTATCCTCTGCCCACACCTTCACAACCCCCCAGCACTCTAAATCATGAGGCCATTTTATTTGGTCAGACCTGGAGCCTCAGTACTAGGTAGAGATATGGCAGGTGCCTACAGGCACACCTAACCACCTAGAAGAGGAAGCAAATGAGAAGAGCAAGAGCATGTAAAGCAGAGTAATGCTACCAGCCAGTGAAATATCGCCCCATGAATGTCCTGGGCTTTATCTACTTGGATTAGCATCTTTTACCTTGAGTCAAAGGAGATAGGCTAAGAGTGGATCTTATATAGGAAATGAGGCTGTACTTCTCTTCTCACTAATCTATCCTTTAACATGGTACTTCAAGAATTATTAGAACTATTTAGATGAAAAAATGTCAAGTACTATTATAAACTTGAGCATGTCTTATGTATCTTTTAATCCTCAGTATCTACTGTAATGCCTGATCCATGGTAGATAATCAGTAAAATTCCTGGATGGATACACTGATGAGTGAATAGGCAAGAAAATTTTAAGTGCCAGAATGAATTATCTTTGGTTATTGAACTTTTTCTCCTCCTGAATCAAATCTAGGAGAATATATAATCAATTAGTAAATACTGCAGAAGCCTTTGTTTTAGATGGACTTCTGTAGGGAAACAAAAATATATCAAAATATAGATTTTGCTTTCAGTGAATTTATAGTAAAATGGGTCCAAAAATGTACTTCACATTAAACAACAGACCAAATTCTAAAATGCAGGCAGCAATTTACATAAAAGGGTGTTTATTTTTATCATAATTACAATAATGAAAAGTTAGAACTAAGATAAACTTTAGAAATAGGGGAGAGTTAAATTATTTAGGAAATAATCCATATGATGGAATATTATCCAGATATGAAAAGTCCTTTCAGATGAAAAAGGTGTAGTGTTTCCATATTTTGGAAACTTTGATATATACTGATATTTACCTTGATTCAGTATAGGCAGAGAAGAGTGGTACTCCACCAAAGTCTGGCTCTTCCTTAGTGAAATTTGGGCCATTAAATCATGAATCCTCCCAGTTTCCCACAGAGTTGGCAAGAATGAGGAAGCACTATACCACCCTTTGTCATTTTGTTCCTTGTGATTGACGCAAGGAGCTTAAGAGACGTGGTAGACGTGTCAGAGCATGTCAGACCTAGTCACAGCTCACTGGAGCAGGGCTCGTAATCCTGTCTTTGCAGTGTGCACTTCCTCCATCTGATGCCTGCTCAGAGCATATCTGGTTTTGCTAGTAACATTTCAGAGAGGAATAAATAGAACATCATCTATAATGAGATGTGGTATATTTGCCATCAGCAGAATCCTAGTGCTGCTGCAGCTGCTTCTGTAGCTTTGAACAAATGAGCCTTTGGAAGGAGTAATGGGGCTGTTTTGGGGGGCTGGGGAAAGATAGGAAAAAGCAGTAGCGTAAGGGGCTGTTGTGATAGGAGAGGATGTGGAGCAAAATCCATTTGGTTTCTGCTCTAGTTCAGTATATAAAAAAAGGGACCAATAATATAGCCCCCTGCCCTTTTTTTAATAAGCACTTGGCTGTTAGGCATTGTTCCTGGAGTTGCATTTGTCCTCAGACCCTTTGGGGATGAACTACCTCTCTCCTGCCCTAGAAAGGTGGAGTGACATTATCATCGCTGACAGACATGCTCATCCCAGCCTAAATGTCAGCCTAAAATGAACAAGTCTGCATGCTTGGCAGTATTCCTGCAAATTCCATCAAAAACTTTAAGGCATTTTTGAAGACTGGTTCTGACCCCGAAATTTTACTTTACCTAAGGGATTAATGCTACTTTAACTGGATATTTTGACCCATTTAAAAAGTTAGAAATGACTTTAGAATGTTTTAAAGTCTAGTATCAAGTCTATGTTGATAGTTGATTTTTATTTGTGTGGCTGCCCTTGTACAGAGACGTTTGTGAATTTGCTTCTTCAGATTTTCTTACTGGGGCACAGGAGCCTCTTGGCTCCATTATAGCCAAGTCTGAATTTCTCATTTCTTCTTGTGTCAATAACCAAACATTTCAATGGATAGGGGTGGATATAGAAAAAATTGGTTTAGATTCCAATTTCTGAACCTACAATATCAGCACAGCATTTCTTTGCCTTCTTTTAACTTATTTATGTTCATATTCTATACCTATAACAATGTCTCCATGTTAACAATAAAAGTTTGTATCTGTAAACCCTTCACAATGCTTTTTACACACAAAAGGACCCAGAGAGCAAAGTAAAGCAAATGTTAATGCTGTCCTTTTCCAGGTGAGGAAACTGAGGTTCAGAGAAGGTGATCTGTACCCAGCAGCTCTAGGAGGTGACACAGGAGATCGCTCAAGTCATATCTCATTCAGGGTCCTGGCTCTTTGCAGTTCATCTTTCCTCCCCCAAACACATGACATATATACAAATACAGGATGGTCTACAAAGTGCCATTCAAATGGGGCCAGTTAAACTTGTCAATTCATTTATATTTCAAAATATTTTTCAACATTTGACTACAGATGTTTCTCATTCAGAGTAGTATGCTCGAAAATTGGGTTCAGCAAGCCAGACAGAAATCTAAAATAGGAATTATGCTGTCTGCTAGTGGAAAACAGACATGTCGTCAGTAGCCCAGGGACATACGAAGTGAGGTATCATTTTCACTTGCCAGCTCAGCTGTTGTTTAGGCATTGAAAAGCTGTACAAACTCTTTGGTTTCATCTCATCAGTTGCTTAGTTCAAAATGAAAGCTTAGAAGAGTTTTCCTGAGAGGATGTTTGCTAACCTGGACATGAATTCCTTAAATACCACAGCCTTGACTCGATGTCAGGACTCAGATTGGGTTAAGTAGTGATATTTAAGCTTTGTACATCTATGAAAATGTCTTAATTGTGAAATCTTGTGATAAAAAGTTTTCCTCTGATTTATATTTTAGTGTTTAAATGGGTGAGAAGAACATTAATTGCCCTCGTTCAGGTCACTTTTGGAAGAACCATCAACAAGTGAGTTGTCAGAAATTAATATTTGGATCAATGCCCTGCTCTTTGCCTTAATAGTCAAATTACCTTATGGTACCATAGACAGTGGTTTTACTGAAAGTATTTTATTTTCTCTTACTTTTTACTTCTGATGTGACTCTAAGATTGGATAGGGAAGCAGAGTTCTGAAAGACTCTCTCCTGCAGAATAGATAGTGAATTAGATGAAACACCCACTAGCCCCAGCATTCTGGCTTGCGATGGCCAGAGGTTGTGCCCTGTAAAGTTCCCTTTTGATCATGATGACTGGTTGGAGTATCCTGGGTATAGTGTTTTTATGTCACATGGAAATCAGTTCAAGGATTACACTGGAAGCCACAATGAAAGTAGGATGAACGGCACATGGCAGGTATTTGCTTGGAGGGAAATACAAACCATACATAACTTTTTAAGAGTTAGGATAGCATTAAAATGTTAATTCTTGTTAGTTAATATCTGAGTGTCCATCGGAGTGTATGTGTGTCTCTATCATAATAGCACTGTTATAAGCTATATGTATAGTATTAACCACGTTACATTATCCATATACATAAAAGCATTATGCTTGTCAATAGATCTTTCACAGAGTGTTCTGGTGTCCATAAAAAGTAATCCAGGGAGGCTGAGGTGGGCAGATCGCTCAAGGTCAGGAGTTTGAAACCAGCCTAAGCAAGAGCGAGACCCACATCTCTACTAAACATAGAAAGAAATTAATTGGCCGACTAAAAATATATAGAAAAAATTAGCTGGGCATGGTGGCGCATGCCTGTAGTCCCAGCTACTTGGAAGGCTGAGGCAGGAGGATCACTTGAGCCCAGGAGTTGGAGGTTGCTGTGAGCTAGGCTGATGCCACGGCACTCTAGCCCGGCAACATAGTGAGACTCTGTCTCAGAAAAAAAAAAAAAAACATAAAAGGTAATCTACATTTTGGTCATTCATTTATGAAAGCCTTGGGTCTGTTATTGAGAACTCACCATCAATTAATGTTAGTTTCTAAGAAATTATTGGAATTTTTCTTAACTGCAAAATCATGCAGTCAGTAAGAAGTCAAATAGAATTATTTAGATAGGTTCAGGCCAAAAAGGAGTATTTGAGATAAGTCGAATTCCTCATTTTGTTGGTGAGGAAATGGGACCTAAGAGGTGAAGTGACTTGTCTTAAGGTCACCAGATGGGTCAGCAGACTCAACCTGGCCTCCTGGACTGTGCCGAGAATTTGTAACTGCTACTATTGAGGTCTTTTAAATAGTAATGCTATACCCAAAATTCTTCAAGAGGGAAACATCATGATTTCCTGCAGAATAGAAATAATTGTGAGTCAACTTCTAAAAATAAGAAAAAAAATCACTTTTTTGTATAACAAAGTAAATTTTAAGGTAAAGTTATCAGATTTTCCCAAGTGAAAGATTAATTTGGTTGTCAAACATTGTACAAGGTTAATATGATAGCTTTATCATATAAAGCTTATAATTTTTATATGAAACATTATAAAAAATTTATTATGTTTTTATTGATTTACAGATAGAATATATTTTCCTTGTGTTCACAAACAAAAGTTTACTTCTATTTTATTTGTAATATTTAAAAAAATAGTTGGCTTAGTATCATAGGCTTTTGTTTTAATCAGAAAAAATGGCCTATTTAACTGATTGTTTTAGTCTAAGGCAAACCTCTTAACTTTAGTATTAACAGGCCTTAGATAAAGAAATTTCAAAAATGGCCGTATTTTTCTCAGTACTTGAGACTTGCAAATTTATTTTCCTTTTCAGTTTGAGCAAATCATGCATACTTTCCTTGTTCCTATTTATGATATTGGCTCTTAATTATAAAATGAACAGCTGCAGTTTGTGAGTGGTGAATGCATTTGGCAGTTATTTTCATAGGAATGGAGGGAGAGGCATCATGTAGAGAATTTTCAGGCTGTTTATTTCAATGGGTTTTTATCAGGTACAGAATTCTGGAGCACCTGGTCCTCTGCTATTTTTGCCTTTGGCAGATGATGACACATCATAAAATTAAGTAGCAGTACAGTTTGTGCCTCTTTCCTTCTAGTGATAACAATTTCACATACTAGAATTGCTTCAAAAGCTTCCTACAGGTTTTGGCTAATAGAAAAGTTAGACCTAAATTGGAGAAAATACTGATGGCCTTTGGTGAAAGCCACTTACCTAATCTTAAATTGTATACTGAAATTGTAGGCAGGTGGGCAGGCAGGTCTCTCTTAAAGCAGAAGTCTCATTAAATTAATAGATTTATTTTATATTCTAGATTTTGATTGCAAAGTTCAAAGCACTACAGGGAAGGATCTTAGGAAATGTGCAGTTACAAACAGAATTCACATTATAATTTGAATCACAGTGAAGTTTAGACATTCATTCAATAGTGACTGATTACTATGTGCAAAGTACTAGACTTAAAACATCTATTTTAGATACCATTTCTGAAAACCTTATATTGTCCCTTTAAAAATCTGGTTGGATGTTGGATTCTTAAAGGGCTTTTTGATTTATTATTATTCATAAATTGAGTTTGATCTTTCTGGCATTAATAGTCTTAGATGGTTCTTTTCCCCCTTTTCAACAGACTTTCTCCTCCCAACCTCATACCTACTCTTGGGCTCTTTGAACTATGTTTACTTGTTTCTTGACAGCAAAAAACCTGAAGTTTGACTAATGACTAATGAAATGGGTTATGTTGGAAGACCTGGGTAACCAGATAAAAGCCATTTTGTGCATAACTGTGCGAGTCAAATGTCTGCCCAATTTTTCATTCCCGTGGAAATTTGACATTGGCCAGAGCGCAGTGTGTTTTTGAAAGGGAATGTCTTTTTCCTTGTCTTGTGAGCTGCGAGGTGCATCCTCTGGGTCAGAGTATTCTGCCCAGCATTATCTGCCCTGGGAACACTAAGAGACAGCTAGTGAAAAATCCTGGTTCTCCTCCAGGACTTCAGGAGCTCAGAGAGGTTTTCCAGACTACTTTTACCAGTCTTTAAATGGATTTATGTTTTCAATTTATAATGCTTCATAGAGAAATAAATTGCAGTCTTCAAACAAATCAGTCTCTCAGTTCTTGTCTTTTACAGATTGAAAGGTACTACATGACAAACATTTGGAGAAGTTAGTGCCAATGAAAATAGCTTTTGAAAAAAATGGTCATCCAGTTTACCAAAATAAAAAATCACATTCAGAGCCAGAGGTTAAAAATATTATTCTGGGAGGGGGGCGGGTATATACATACATAATGAGTGAGATGTGCACCATCTGGGGGATGGTCATGATGGAGACTCAGACTTTTGGGGGGAGGGGGGGAAATGGGCATTTATTGAAACCTTAAAATCTGTACCCCCATAATATGCCGAAATAAAAAAAAAAGAAAAAAAAAAAATATTATTCCTAGTTTATTCATCAAACATTTAGATTGGGCTATATCTTAACCTACACATTGATAAATGTTTTTTGAGAATAGATTACAATATTTAAAAACCTCATCCAAGAAATATTTTTCTTTTAAAAGACAAATCCGGGACACAGTGAACTGGATTTTCAGTGAGCAAATGTTGGTTTACTACATCAATATTTTCCGGGATGCTTTTTGGCCAAATGGGAAATTGGCACCACCAACCAAGATCAGAAGCAAAGAGCAATATCGGGAAACAAAACAGAGAGCACAGCAAAAGCTACTCGAAAACATTCCAGGTGAGGCGTGGGTTGTTTGTCCTGAAAAGTACAAGTAGGAAATGTTAACCGTATTAAGGCATTTTTCATTTATATCTCTCAGGAAGCATTATTTACAATGGAAAAAAGATCACATTCTTTTCTTTCAAGCCATTTCTTGTCACTTGCTAAGAAGTTGTACTGAGAATCTTAATAAGAACTTTTTCACTAGAAAAAATGTTTTAGAATAGATACTAACAATAGATTTTGTGTTTTAGAAAGCCTACTAAAGTATATTGTTTTGAGAGCATCATTTTTAGTAATATGTGAATATTTTTATTATTAACAGTAGTAGCAATATATAAAATTATAGTTCATGTAAGTGACTTATGTTGAAAAATTCTAGATAAACTTATTTTCTCTTTTAAGTGTTTGAGGGAACTGACCATTCATGTTTCTCAGGCACCAAGTGCCTTTATTTATTGTCTATGTATCATGTAATATCTCTTTCACCAAATATCTGTGCATTTTCAGTTTTTCAATGGCAGCATAGAATATAAACTTAATTTTTCAGATACGCTTCAGAGCCTTGTTGGACAGCAAAATGCCCGCCATGGTATAATAAAAATATTCAATGCACTGCAAGAAACAAGAGCCAATAAGCATCTGTTATATGTGAGTAAATTAAGCTTTAATAGCTTAAGGAGGTTTTCCAGACCACTGTTTTATATTTGTGTTCACATATTGGGGTAGATTTTAATTCTTCACATTTTTAATCACTCTCATTACTTATAACTCTGAACCCATTTTCTCTGCTTCATTTTGTCTGTTCATATAATTAAAAAAATTAATTACCCCCAGTGGATTCAGCATTCTTATTCTTACATACTATTAAATAGTTGTCTGTCTTGACTTTATTTTTTTTTTAAAGACAGAGTCTTACTCTGTTGCCCAGGCTGGAGTTCAGTGTCATCCTCACAGCTCACTACGGCCTCAAACTCCTGGTTCAAGTGATCCTCTTGCCTCATCTTCCCAAGTAGCTGGGACTGATACTGATATTGCTGACGGGTTGATGATGGTTAACTAGAGTTTATGTGATATTAATTTCTTTTGCTTGAGAATCACTTGTGCACTAATAATAATTTCAGACCTAAAATTAGACTTTTCTCCTAGATGCAAATATTTATTTTGAGTAAACCCTTGGAGAAAGAACACATTTTTCCACTTTTTTTTTTTCAGGTGCTGATAGAACTGCTGCTAATTGAACTGTGTCCTGAGCTGAGAGCTCATTTAGATCAACTTAAAGCTGGTCAAGTTTGAAACTGCACAAATAAACCACCAGAGAAATAAATGTCTGTGTAATATAGACATGAAACATTTTCCTCTTTTCCACAGAGGGCTTGACTGAGAACCACATTGATTTTTATTTTAGTTACCTCCCTCTAGTTTTATGCGAAATAAGCAGAATTGGGGAGGAGGGGGACTTGATGCTGTAATTGACAACAGGAAAAAAAAACTTCTATTGATTTTTATTTAAATAATATAAATACTTCAAAGCTCTACATATTGATTGAAATACAAATGTTAATATGTGATAAGAACCTAGGAAATATTTTAAATATTTATGAAAACAGTTTTGTTTTAAAATAAAGAACTATGAATATTGTACAGTTAATTTCCTCACTGAGGATTCTGAACATTCCTATACTATTTCACGTGTACTGAAGAACATTGTTGTGCAATGCTTTGTGTAAAGTTACTGTGAAAATTTTATTGTCTTTATTTTTACCAAAGATTTCCCATAGTTTGAGCATTCAAAGCAATAAAATATAAAAATAAGTCATTGGGCTCTATGATATTTAAGATACTTCTCAAAAAAAGAGATTGAAATAATTCGGTCAGTTCAAATATTTATTGACTTGCCTTTTTTGTAGAAAACACTGGGCACCTTTTCAGTACTTCTGCAAGGAAGTATAAAGTTTGCTGCCTTTCTCCAGACAAAAAATAAATATGTGAAATACATGATTTTTAGTGAGTAAAAGGAGCCAACTTAGTGCTTGAAATGTGTTATTAGGAAGGCAAGGTATGAGCTGAACCTTGAAGTGTGGGCAGGACTGAGACAGGGAAACAGAGGTCAGTCATTCCAGGGAGTTTAGGAACTTGAATGTATCACCAGGTCTTGTAGACTAAACCAGGGGCACTGAGTGAGATACAGAATACAGATTTTGTTTTGTTATTCATAGTGGGAACACAGACAAGTCACTTGATCAATTCTCCTGGGTTTCACCATCTATTATTCAGTGATAAAATCCTTTCCCCTCTCTAATCCCCAAGAATATTGAAAATAAAAATTAAGTTTGAATCTGTGAAAAAGACTATATATATAAAAAATATTATAGTAGGTATAATATAGCCTATAACACTATATAGTATTATTTATATAGTATATATATAGTGCTATAGGTTATATTATTGATAGATCATACCTGCAATGTTCTTGATAATAAGCAAGTTCTGAAAGATAAATGATTAACAAATAGTAAACCCAGTTTTATCTTTGAGATTCTTCTAATTGCAGCTTTTTGGTTCTTTTTTCAAACCAAGATATTTGACACTTGAGAAAAACTCAAAATTGACTATTTATATGGATAAGAATTCTCCTTCAAAAGGGTATAGAAAAGACCATATAAAATGCATTCAGGAAAGAGAAGAAAAATGAAGTTGCCAAGCCCAAAAAAACTCACCATAACACAATTACTGGAAATGTCCATCTTATACATAATTCTATGCTATCATTTAGACTGTAGCTGTTAAATTTATACTGCAAATGAGAAAAATATTTTGACTCCTCAATATTTCTTTATGATAAATTCTCATTTTTTCATAAGATGCCAGCTATAAGGAATCTTATATAAGTTTTGTTTTTAAAGAGTAATGATCTGGAAGTGTCAGCTCACTTGAGTTAAAGACTAACTCCACTCCAAGGTCAAGCTGTGTACCACTGTCGGGACAGTGGTAGTTTTCAGGGCTCATATGTGCCTGAGCATCAGCTTTCTGGTAACTACAGGAAACTGAAATTTTAAATTTTGCATTGAATTCACTGAAGACATTTAGGCATAGCATGTTACCACACGAGGCATGTTGTCAAATTTCTAAGTTCATGATTTCTGAGACTGTTTTAATGGCAGTTTAAAAAGTGGTCTTTACTTTGGGTCACTCCTTTATTCCTATTTTAAGATTCTTAAAGGCTTTAGGAACTGGATTAGATGTGGAGAAGAGAATGCTGGTTGGGAATTTGGGTCTTCAGATGGTTGAAGGAATGTTATATGGATTGTATTAAGAGAACTAGAGCAAAGCAAGCAGGCTTACATTGTATAAAAATTTAAGCTAGGTATTGTGAAATCTTGTAATGAGCTTGAGACACTGAACAGTGTTACTAGGGGAGAATATAGAGTCTTCAGTAGCAATTTGAGAAGCAAAGGACTGGTTTTCAGGGATGGTTTAACATTTTTTAAGAGAGTTAATGCAGAAGTACATGATGATTTGAGGACATCTCAAACCTGAATCTGTTGCAATTTCTTCCCTTTACATAAAGACAAAATGAAGTTCAAGTGATGTAGACAAGCCAGAACATAAACAACAGCAAATAATTTTCTTCCATATTAACAATTCTTTGGTGACTGTCACCTACATGTTAATTGCATTTTCCCACTACTAAGAAGAGATCTTGTTTAAATCCACTGTCAGAAAGGATGGTTGTAATTTTTTTTTTTTTTTTTTTGCAAGAGAGCAAGAGGATTTATTTCCAGCGCGCGCAGGGGATAAACAGCATCACCAAGATGGGGAGGCTGCCGCCCCGAAGCTCTCAAGCTTAGGGTTTTTATGGGGCGAGACCACACGCAGGTGGCCGGGGAGTTTAGGGTGTGGAAATTCCAGTAGCTCCATCTTGCACAACCAGTTGCACGACCACTACCCAATTCCGAGAACTTGCAATGGACACTTACGGAAAAGATAAAGAAAAAGGGAGGGGTAGGGGTCTTAATTACCTAAGAGCAAGCATAGTTACAGAAGCGAAAAGCTGGTTAGGCTAGTTTGGGCCTTTAGGCTAGTTTGGGCCTTTCATTCCCCCCTTTTTCTTTTGGAAAGTTTTAATCTTGAAACTACAGGCCTTTATCTCCGGCAAGAGGTTGATAGTGTCGTTGTAGAACCATTAATTGAACTGCGCCGACCTGCTCTCAGACTAACGTCACTAGTCGGCTGAGTATACAAGGCCCAAAGGTTAGGAGCAAGATGAGTATAAGCAGGGCCCTAGCAAAGTGGAGAGTAAAGTAGTTAACCAGGGGGAACTGTTAAACCAAGACTCAAACCAACCTGCTTGCCGTTTATATTCCCGTTTGCGGCGGGCAAGCCCTTCCCTGACCTTAGCTATAGATTTTCTAACAACTTCCGCATGGTCTGCATAGACACAACGTTCTTCTTTGAGGGCAGCACACAGTCCTCCTTGCTGGAGGAATACTAGATCTAACCCCCTCTGGTTCTGGAGCACTACCTCGGATCAACAGCTGCCCTCAGAGTATTAAACCCTCTTTGCTGCATTGCCAGAGAAGAGATACTAGTTCCTGCTCCTATTGTCCCTAAGCCAAAAGAGTAGCCAGGGTTATGGCTGTGAAGGGCTCTCTTTTTCTTTTAAAAATTAGGTTGGTGACTCTTTGCCCTATTATGCTCTCATACATTGTCTCCTCAGTGTGCTATATTATTTTTGGGAACACTAACACCATTATACAGTAGTTTAGTATGCTTACAAAAAAGGATAGTTAAGGTGTCTTTAAAACATATCTTCAATATGAGTATCTGTTTCACAAATGTATATCCTTGTACAATCTTAAGCATATGGATCTTACTATTTTTACTGTCACTTTTTCCCTTCATATATGTAATTGATAAAAGGAAAGCTTTTTGCTAATTTAGTTTTTAAACAATATTTAGTTATATTAATAGTTCTTGTATTGTTAGATGATTTAGTGAGTTTTTTCACAATTTATCTTGCATTGAAATATATCTAAAGTTTTAAAAATGCAGAAAATGAAGCACAAAGAAATATCTTGCTTCAATGTCAGGAATACAGCAATTGTTTTACTCAGTATCTTTGAGGGAAAATTTGGATAGGCAAGATTCTAAAGCAATGTCTTATACTCGCTTTTTTTGAAGTTTGTGTGTAATAAATTAACCAACTATTTAAAAGAATCTTTTTTAAGAATACAGGATATCCCAAAAGACTTAGTGCAGTTTTAGCTTTAATAACTTCAGATGTAGAAATGTTATACACAATAATCACTTGCAGTTTAATTCTTTAAATTTCTTTGGCCCTTATTTATTAATAGTTTTGTGAATTTTTCAAACAAGTTTAAAATTTTGCTATTGAAAATTCATAAAACTAATAAGGACCAAAGAAAGTTAAAGAATTAAACTTTCAGATGATGGTTTTAAATAAGTTTGTAGTATTTCTGCTTCTGAACTTATTAAACTAAAAAATACTTGGCTTTATGGAATAGTTTCAATATTTCATATAGTCTTGGCCAGTCTGTAGGCTAAGGGGTAGACCTTTGAGGACTCTTCAAGCAATTTGATCCTATGTCTAGGCTTCAAGTTGCATAAATTACAGCATACAAATTCAAGAATGAAGGTAACAAACATGTCACCTTTAAAATACCCAGGATAATGTGACTTGGGATGCAGAAAATAACCAAACATAGCTGCTGTAACAATACACACATTGTATGGTGTTAGGATTGATGATCTTTGTTGAAATGCACTGCGGTCTAAATTCTTTGACGAATAAGTAAGGAGTAAAGTTCATCTGCCACTGCAGGATTCAGACGACAAGCCTTAAAATCAAAGAAAGTCAGTTATTTAGATATATTCTAATTGTTTGGGTCTTCTCATTTTTATTTTTTTAATTTGTTTTTAATAATAGTAAAGTACAATGAATTTCCAGGAAATGTTGATTAAGATACTTCCTATTCTGATTTCCTTCCTAATCACAATGAGGGAGTTTCAAATTTAACATGTGCAACATAGATCATACTCAGAATAGCCATGTAATTGTCATTTGAAAGAGATAAAATTGTATTAATGTAAAAAATAAAGGGAGTTTAAGCATTGATGATAGCATTGTATCTTATAAATTGTTAAAATAGTAAAATGCAAAGCATTAACATTTGGCCTCAAACTTGTTCTGATCTCATTATGTGAAGAATAGCATCTGTAATAATCTTATTTTAAAATATATAGCTTTATTATGCTTAAAGTAAACAGTGATAAGGTACATCATTTCTAGAATGTCAAGAATTTGTGACAGAGATCAGGTTATCTCTTCCAAACCCTACTCTGTGCACAAATTGTCCCTTCAGTATCCATGACAGTTGGTCACCAGATATATGCTTGATTGCTTCTAGTGGCAGGAAGTCACCACCTTACAGAGACCATTTTTGTTTTTGTTTCCTGAACAGTTGTATTAGAAGACTATTCCTTACATTAAGCTCAAATTTCCAACTCTGTACTTAAGAACCATTGAAGGACACCAAGAGAACATTTAATGCCAGTTTCATAGAAACCCTAAGAGGCAAAATAGTTGGCAGAGTCACCTAGCCTGACTATGGTAGAGCCAAGGCCATGCCTGGGTCCACCTCCTCTAAGGTCCCCTTTTACCATCTTGCTGCCTGACCTCATTCCATCACACACTGTCATTGGCCCTGATTCTGCTCCCTCCCCCAGGGTTCCTTTCCTACAGGACACACTGTCAGTCCAGGGAAGACCACTGTCAGGATCCCTTCATGTCCTTTTGCTCTGAGTGAGACATTCTTTCTCTTACAATGGCCAAAACTGAGTGCATATTCTAAATGTGGTCTTACTAGTGCAGAGTAATGGGGCTGTTGTCTCACCTCAGATGGAAAATAGTTCTTAGATTGCAATGCTTGTTTTGCTGTTTTATTCAGGATGAATATGTACCATATTTGTGAATAGGTTTGACCCAGAGTTTTCTAAAGATACTAAGGATAGCACAGAATCTGAAAATGACTTGATTTGGAAATTGGTATAATACAGAAAGCATTTAGATTTTTTTTTAAAAAGTTAACAAAGACAAGTATTATTCATACTAATAGAATGGTATAGTGATAAATACCCTCAAAAGTCAGTTGTATTTGGTTGTGTACTGTGTTCATATATTTATGTGTTGATATAGATTTGATGCTCTGGAAATTTAAATTTCAAGCAAAAGAAGGTTTCAAACTTACCTGACATTAGAATCTTGTGGGGAGTGTCAACAATTGTACTTGTGTCCCACTCCTGGAGATCATGATGAATTGTTCCAAAATAAGACCTGAGCTTTGGAATTTTTAAAAGATCCCTCCGTGATTTTAATACGCAGACAAATTTGGGAACTACTGCTGTAATATCAGATGCAGCCAAGGGACTCAGAAAATTGTTCCTTGACTTGTTCCCCAGCTCAATCTGAACAATTTCTACAGTACACGAATTGCTGTACAAAGTTTATAATGATGTCATTATAATTTGGACTCATGGATGTCATGGACCTAAGGCATGAACAACTTTTTGGTTTTTCTTTTTTAAAAAATACTATTTGTAGTGATCCCCCCATCCCCTAACCACTAAATATCTCCATCTCAACCCCTAGTTTTATTTAAGTTGCTTCATTTTAGATGTGAAATCCATTTGGGATCTAAATAAATGGATCACATGGATTAAAATATGAAAAGCCTTATTTTAACTGATTATCTCAAACTCACAAATACTCCTCCTAAGTGTGATTGATGTCATGTAAAAAAACTTTTCAAAAACTACATTTCATTACGATACCAGAATGAACATACAGGTTCTCACATTTTCTGGGCGAAAGACATGAAATTTTTGGCTTTAAGATCTTGGTGCTGGGCCTTAGGCTGCAGTTCCGTGTTTCCCCGAAAATAAGACCTACCCATAAAATAAACCGTGGCAGGATTTCTAAGCATTTGCACAATATAAGCCCTACCCCGAAAATAAGACCTAGTGATGGGCGTGGCTACGCAGAGTATCTGCACAGCCCCTGAAATAAGCCCTAGGGTGTCGTCTTGAGGAAAAATATAAGACCCTGTCTTATTTGGGGGGAAACACGGTAGTAGCAGAATGAAAGAATAATTTGGATCAAAATAGGGCTTATTTATCATCTGAGTTTCATTATACTAATTATTTGACAGAATCATCTGTAAACAATCTGCTTGTCGGACAACCTCTCTGCAGACAGACGTTATCTGCATTGTCATTGAGTAGTAAAAACACTAATCCATGAAGTTGTTCAAGTCTCAGCTAAAAGCCCAGCAGTTTTTTTCAGGTCAGTTTGTATTTTGTTCTAGAGCTTACTTTAGAATAATACTGTTTAGCTGTTGCTTCATCCTTTGTGATGCCCAAGCCAAGCTGAAGACATCTTGCATGGTAGAAAGACGCCATGGCCATGCCTCTGTTGATGAACTCCGGCAGACAGTCCGTGACTTGGGCTATCATGGGGATGTCATGAACCTCATCATAATCAGCAATCCTGATAGGATGTTAAATTGCAAAATTAAAAAGGACATCAGTTGTAGTTTACATGTTTACAAAATGTTGTGTCTAGAAATTGTCCTGTGCCCAAAGTTAAATCTCTCTATTCCTTTGAGAACTAAGTTGTTTGCTATGCAGGGAAGCAATATATAACAGTCAACTAATACCAGGGACATAGGAACTAACTCAAATGGTTACTTCACAGCTTCCCTATGGCTACACCCAGCCAGCTTACTAGAAAACAAAGGTATGTTTCTTTTTTCTTATAATATTCATATTGTAAGCTTAATTACCACTTTGTGGATTTAAACTGAATGTGGAAAGAAAGCATTTTCTGTTTCTTTGGATCATGAATTGAACCATCAACCTTAAATTTGGACATCAGTCACATAGGACCAGAAAATACTTTAAGAAACCAGGACATCTATACTCTAACACATTAACTGCCATGTGAGTTGTATTTAATTCACGCTAGTTTTGAGCCTGGGGCCTAATGAAGCATATGAAAACTCAATTCTCTGAAACAAATTCAATAAGTATGTCATGAGTCACATACATCTCAAGTGTCATGCAGTGTAAAAATTGCTTCTAGCTCTGCGTGAGTTGCATATAACTCACGCATAGAAAACAAAAATAACAAATTTTTCATTAGGATGATTTTGGTTTTGAGATTTTTATTTTTATAATAAAACACTGTGGCCCCAGGAGAAAAAAATTTTTTCTAGTGTGGCAGTCAGTGTGTTAAAAATGGGCAATGAAAAGAAGTAATCCTTTATAAAGCAGACACAAATATAGAGAATTGTGTGAAAATGAGATCTAGTCAATCCCATCTTAACAACAGTGTTTTGTGGAACAGAAATGTGGAAAGTTCCAAAAATTTTAAAGAACTATTTAAAGCCTTATTTTGATCAGGATGGGCATTTGCTTTGGGACATTGGCAGTCGCTCCTGTAAGTGGCCTGCTACCTGGAAGCCAGGATGTTGAGGAGGAGCAGGTAGAAGCAGCTCCCCTTCCCTTTATCCTCTCTTGTGGATCGCTGCCCCACACCAGGGATTGGAGACAGGGAGACCTTCATGCTTTCTTTCAGAGGTGTGACTGGGAAATATATCAGCACATACATAGTTTGATGGCCACTCAGGACATCCAGGCCTGTTTTTCCTATATATTGCTTTTGTACACTATGGCCAAATAAATGTAGGCAAGTACATGGAGCCTTATGGACTCAGGCAGAAGAAGTTTTTATATATATTTTATTAGATATTAATGTCTTTTAACCATTATTCTCATTTTAAAATCTATATGAAGCCATTATTTCAGTTGTGCTCTTACAGAAGTACATGACTGAGGAGTGTAGGAAGAAATTAAAATATTATAGACATTTCTGATGTGCCAAGCTATGTAAAGTATATATGCCATTTTTATAATCCTGCTGTAAAAGTATTTTTTCTTCTTACAAATAAAGCAATTTATGCTTTAAAAAGTTAAACTTGCTTAAGCCAGTAGCACTGAAATCCTAAAGACTGATGGAATAGAATTGTGCTATACAATGTAGTAACCACTAGCAATGGGGCTATTTAAATTAATGAAAATTAAATAAGATTTAAAAGTTTAGTCCTAAGTTGCACTAGATGCATCTCAAGTGCTCAGTAGCCATCATTTCCAACATTGCAGTGAGGTCTATTGAAAGAACTGGCATAGAACATCTAGTAGGAGTTCTTATAAATACTTTTATCCAGCTTACATATTCAAACCTTACTGCTATGATTTGAACAATGTGTCTGCTCCAAAATTCATGTGTTGCCAATGTGATAGCATCAAGTGGTGGGACTTTTAAGAAAGTGATTAGGTCATGAGGGCTCCTCCGCTGTGAATGGGATCAAGGCCCTTATAAAAGAGGCTTTGTGCAGCTTTCAGCTAACTTGCCTTCTGCCTTCCACTGCCGTGTGAGGACACAGTGTTCCTCTCATCCAGAGGATGCAGCCCTCCCTAGACAACCAGACCTGCTGCCACCTTGATCTTGGACTTCCCAGCCCCCAGAGCTATAAGAAATAAATTCCTGTTCATTATAAATTACCCACTCTGCAGTAATCTGTTACAGTAGCACAAAGCAGACATTCACCTTTTGGAAAACGCAACACACTTTGTAAAAAATTTCATCTTATAATAATACTCCACAAGATTCCCTTGAGCATAGACATTTCCACGTTCCGCTGCTTCTCTTAAGCAATGCAGGGCAGCTTCAGTATCCTGGCGGATGCCTTGTCCGTAAAAGTACATGAGACCAAGTGCACCCTGGGACTCCAGATTTCCATTACCACACGCTTCTGAATGCCAATAAAATGCCTAAGAAAAAGCACAATTTCATCATTCTATTTATTACTCAGGAGGTGAAATTACAAGGGAATACTAGACAGAAAAACATCTTACAAGGTAGCACTATTATTCATCTAGAAGTAACAGTTGCTAGCCTCTTGAAAGTCTTTCACACTAGCACCAAACTCACATGCTTACAGAGTGTGAAGGTGAGTTCCACTGCTGTCTACCCACAGTGCAGGTGAGGTCATGGCAGAGGAGGATCAGGTGTCCTAGGCTGCAAGATTCTTGATACACCAGAATAAGGATCAAAAAGGTGTAAAATAGGAAGTGTGTGAAAGGCACAGCAGGGTCCCTGAGGCTAAGGGACAGGTAAAGCTCCAAGTGCATCTGAGGCGGGCAGCTGCCCGAGATCAAAGACAACCAAGGTTAAAAGCTTTAGGTGGTCTCAAGCACATTTGCTTAATTCACAGTTACAGTGAATTTGTATTAGTTAAAAAAATTCTTTCCAAGTGGCTATTTCATTATATATCTGAGAATGGTTTTAGCTATGCTCCTCTTACAAGTTTACCATTAACTCCTCTCTGACAAGTAAGACTCAGCTGTACATTTCTTTCTCCTTGTAGGATTTTTGGAAGATGTTTCAGTTATTGATGATGAAAGAGATTATATTTCTGTGAAAATCTTAAATGGATTTAATTTCCAATTCTTAGTATATTTTACTTATTAGTATCATATATTCCTCAAATCCAAGGTAATATTAATTTATTCATACTTAAAAGGATTTATACCCAGGCTGTCCACCTTTTAGCTTTTATAGTGTAATACTCTGTATATGTAGCTTTTTATAGTATGCAAAATACTCTTTACATCTTTGGTCTCCTTTGGTAGAGGTAGGGAAGTTAGCATTTATAGATAAGTAATAGGTGTGAAATGAGCTTTGAGGATCCTAAAATGTAAACTTTCTTTGCATTTTAAGGAAGTATAGGAGATATTCAAATCTATACAATTATTCCTCTCCATCCTCTCGAAAAAGAAATAGTGAAACATATTAATCTAAAAACAATGCTAGCATTGAAACACCAAGAACTGAGTACAACAGTGCATGCCTATAGCCCAAGCTACTTGAGAGGCTGAGGCAGGAGGATCACTTGAGCCCAGGAGTTCAAGTCTAGTCTGGGCCACATGGCAGCACCCCTATCTCTACAAAAGAGAAGAGAGAAATGTTACCTTTTCTAGCTCTTTAGGCTCTTTTGTTGAATAATACAATCCTAAAATACTTTGAGCCTTCACACTGGCTTTTGGATTTCCATTGTCTGCAGCAAAAAGCCACAGTCTAAAAGAGAAAGCAAGGCAAGTTATTCTTTGTTTCAGCATTTCATTCAAACAAAATCTTGCTCTCAGATAAGATTACCTTTCAGCTTCCTCATCTGATCTCGTAACACCTTTTCCTTCATAATAAGCTCTTCCAAGATTGTAAGCAGCTGCAAATTGTAAGTGTCTTGCTTTGGGACATGGAGAATCAATAATTTTCTTCATATAGCTCACTCCTTTTTCCTTCCACAAAGGAAAAAAACAAAAAAACCTGGTTTTTAGTTTTACCCAAACTAAATTTCTTTCTCCCAATAATGTTGGAAAGTGTTTACCCTCTGACATGATGGGTATGCATTTACATCATGTCAGATGTAGAAGATCATGAATCTATGCCTAAGGGGTATGATTACCCTGGATTCTGCAGGGGTAGAAGGTAAGAAAGGAAAGAATTTGCAAAAGTACATTTAATCAGGCATTCCTAGGAGCTCGGGGACATAAGGAATTTCCTTCATTTGATAGCCTCAATACAGGTTTCCTTTTTTCTCTCCTCCCAACCCCCCACCACCTTATAACCCTTATCCTGAATCACCACAGTTCTTAGAACTTATCAAAGTGCAAGAATTCACCTGTAATCCTAGCACTCTAGGAGGCCAAGGTGGGAGGCTCACTCGAGGTCAGGAGTTCAAGACCAGCCTGAGCAGGAGCAAGACCCTATTCTATTAAAAATAGCTGGACCACTAATTGTCACAGGTCCCAGAAACAGCATTATAGCTTGTTCCTTCAAGCAAGTGCCACCTAGTGACAGGGAGGTCAGTTTACATGCCCTTTACAGCATTTACTGACGCAAATCTTACAGGGTGTGGCTGATTCTTACCCACAAGCACCACCTATTGTCTCAGAGATTAAACTAGGTATGCCAACACAATTCACACACTGTTATGGAGATCGAAAGGCTAGGGAAAGAGAAAGGATTTCAAAGACCTCCATCCTCCCTCATCAAAGAGAGACAGGGAATGTGCCCATACAAATAGCTCACCACTGCTACAGCCTACAAAAAACTAGCAACTGAGAAAACCACAATACTAAGGATATCTATATCCAGAACCTAGGTCACCATCAAAGCACCCCCCAAGCAAAGCCAAAGGTTCTTACCCAACATATACTACAGACATAACCCTTATAAGTGTGGGGTGGGAGAAGCCCCATCTAAACCAAAGAAAATACAGAAACAAGAAGTGACAGTTGCTCCAGATAAGGAGGTATCAGCACAAGAACTGTAAGTATGAAAAACAGAGTGAAAGGACATCCCCAAAGGGGCACACCAGCAATGGATCCCAATCAAAATAAAAATAAATGACAGATAAATAATTCTAAATACGGATTGTAGGAAGCTCAATGAAATCCAAGAGAAAATGGAAAACCAACTCAAAGAAACCAGAAAAACAACTGAGGAAATGAATAAAAAATTCACTAAAGAGAGACACATATTTAAGAAAAAAACAAATAGAACTTCTGGAAATTAAAAATTCATTTAAGCAAGTACAAAAAACACAGTGGAAAGCCTTAAGAATAGACTAACCCAGGCAGAAGAATTTCAGAGCTTGAAGACAAGTCTTTCAAATGAACCCAGTCAGTCAAAAATAAAAAACAAAGAATCAAGAAACAAAGCCTATGAGAAATAAGGGATTATGTAAAATGGCCAAAGATAAGAAACATAAGCATCCCTGAGAGTGAAGAGGAAAAAATGCAAGGTCTGGACAACCTATCTGTGGGAATAATTGAGGAAAACGTCCCTGGTCTTGCTAGAGATCTAGATATCCAAATATAAGAAGCCAAACAAACACCTAGGAGATTCATTGCAAGGAAGGAATCACCAAGACACATAGTCATCAAACTGGACAAAGTCAACATGAAGGAGGAACTCCTGCAAGCCATGAGGCAAAAACATTAAGTAACTTACAAAGGAAAACTTATCAGGCTAACTGCAGTCTTCTCAGCAGAGACCTTACAAGCCAGAAGCAACTGGAGCCCCATATTCAGACTTCTTAAACAGAACAATGGCCAGCCTAGAGTTTTGTATTCTGCAAAACTAAGTTTCATATATGAATGAGGAATACTTTTCCAGAGAAGCAAACACTGAGGGAATTTCTCATGACCAGATCTGCCCTGCAGGAAATACTCAGCACTGCATTGTTCATGCAACAGCATAATACACACCCACCAGTGTAAAACCACCCAAAAACTAAAGTTCACCACACCTGGCCTAAATTCCCAATTTTTATTCAGTGTATGGAATATTTTTGTAAGAGGAGGCAAATAAATAAATAAATCATAAGAAAATTATAATACTTATGTTCAAATCTTATTTGTTTATTCTCTTTTACCTTCAAACATGCCAAAAGAAATAAGAGCTAGAAATATAATTTGTGGGCCGAGTGTGGTGGCTCATGCCTGTAATCCTAGCACTCTGGGAGGCTGAGGTGGGAGGATCCCTGAGATCAGAAGTTGAGACTAGCCTGAGCAAGAGTGAGATGCCGTCTCTACTGAAAACAGAACAATTAGCCAGGTGTTGTGGCTCGTGCCTGTAGTCCCAGCTACTCGGGAGGCTGAGGCAGAAGGATCACTTAAGCAAGCCCAGGAGTTTGAGCCAAATATGAGTGACGACAGCCTGGGGAAAACACAAATCCAAGAAACCTTGAGTAAGTGGTCCTGAGGCGGTCAAACTCACTACTGTGAGTTAGGCTGATGCCACAGCACTGTACTCAAGGCAAAAGAGTGAGACTCTGTCTCAAAATACATATATATATATACAAGTATGTATATAAATTTATATAGAGAGTTGACTCTTGAACAATATGGGTCTGAACTGCATGTGTTATACACTTATAGACAGATTTTCTTCTGGCTCTGCCCAACTCCTCCACTTCCTCCTCCACCTGCTCAATGAGAAGATGAAGACCCTTATAATGATCCACTTCAACTTAATGAATAGTAAATATGTTTTCTCTTCCTTATAATTTTCTTAACATTTTCTTTTCTCTTGCTTACTTTCATGTAAGAGTATGTATATAATACATATAACATATAAAATATGTGTTAATTGACTGTTACTGATAAGGCTTTTGGTCAACAGTAGGCTATTTAGTAGTTAAGTTTTGGGAAAGTCAAAAGTAATACATGTGTAAACTAAAAATAAAATCCTAATCCTCCCAAACAAATGAATGGACCTGCTGTTGGCCAAAGGGACCCCAGAGAAACCTGAAAAATTGATTTCTTGGCCATGATGGGAGGGGAGGTTGGATATGCCTCGTTATACTTCTCTTTTGGAGTTTAGTCATAAAAACTGACCAGCATTAATGGTAAAATAAGACTGATAAAACACACTCTTTGTGTCAAGAAGATATCAAATTATAAGCAAGACCTAACGCCATGTAAAGCAAGGGATAAGTAATGCCTTACAATCCATAAAATCTTGTTCAATAGGTTGTTTTTTTTTTGCATGGTATCACATGACAGGCAAAAGACTCCAGTATCTTAACTTTAGCATTCCTTTCTACTGACTCCAAGTTAAACAATCTCTATATCTACCTATGACCTGAAAACCTCCACTTCAAGATATCCCACCTTTTTAGGCCAAACCAATGTATACCTTCCATGTACTGATTTATGTTTTTGCCTGTAATTCCTGCCTTCCTGAAATGTATAAACCCAAACTGTAATTTGACAGCCTTAGGACCACTTACTCAAGGTTTCTTGGATTTGTGTTTTCCCCAGGCTGTGGTTACTCATATTTGGCTCAAAATAAACCTCTTTAAAATATCTTGCAGACTTTGGTTTTTCTATTAACACATCGATTTTCAACTGCATGGGCTTGGCACTGCTAACTTCACATTGTTCAAGGATCAACTGTATATATAAATTTTTGTTCATGGAACAATACACAGAAGAATATATTTTAAAATAAGTGTTCATATTTAACAGTCGAATTTGGAAGTATTCTAGTTTTGCTTATTTTCTAATTTTTATCCATGTTCATGTAGCTTTGGAACAATTTAAAAATAAAGGAAAGCATTTTATTTCTTATTTTATTTATTTATTTATTTTTGAGACAGAGTCTCACTCTGTTGCCTGGGCTAGAGTGCCATGGCATCAGCCTAGCTCACAGCAACCTCAAACTCCTGGGCCCAAGCAATCCTCTTGCCTCAGCCTCCTGGGTACTGGGTCTACAGACACGCACCACTGTGCCTGGCTAATTTTTTCTGTTTGTAATTGTTTGGTTAATTTATTTCTGTTTATAGTAGAGACGAGGTCTCGCTCTTGCTCAGGCTGGTCTCGAACTCCTGAGCTCAAGCAATCCTCCTGCCTCAGCCTCCCAGAGTGTTAGGATTACAGGCGTGAGCCACCATGCGCGGCCAAGAAAAGCATTTTAAACAGAAAGACAGCAACAGACAGCTAATGGTAGCAAGGAATATTTTCTGTGGTAAATCAGAGGATTCAAAAACTCTAATGACCTCTAGAGACTCAAATTGTGCAAATGAAAAATATTCATAGCAAACTGACAATGTTATTTCTCATTCAAGATTTCCTGAATTTCCCACAGTATCTATTTCTGACCTGGTATTTCAAAATTTAGAACTTAGATGTCTTTACTATTTATATACTGCATAAAAATTCCATTTTTATCTAAGGTCACTAGATTTGAAGAAAATTTCTATAACGTTTTTAGAAAATGTTTTAACATGTCAAAGATTCTATGGCTAATTATGAGAATCATGCTCAGAAAAAGGAATCTGAACCTTCCCCCTTCCCAGCCCCTCAGTAAAGTGAAGTCTCAATGGTAGAACTATATGCACTAGAAGAGACAAACTATGCCCTAAAGGGTATCCAATGAACAAGAAGTTGCTACTGATGTTTATTTCAACATATCTGCTCACCACTTGAACAAAAATGTAGTAATCAATTCAATATAGAAGCAATTCCAGTAGAATAACCCTAGTCCATATTAACATAAAAAAGGAAATTATTCGAAAGATTAAGTGTCTCTTTAGCATTTTCGGAGAGTCATTCTAAGTAAACTTATCAAAGATTCAAGTAAAAAAAGGCTCATTGTTTTTTATAGCTGAGCCCAGTTACATGAATGTGGAGGGCTTTGGAGGGGTTAGAGCTAACCTGAGGTTGGAGCTGGGGACAGAGAAGGGGGAGAGGGGCAAAAAGAAATCAGATTCATTTTTTTTACATAAATGTAAAAATTATACCAATGTGATTTAAAATGCTAAAAAGTTATATATTATTAAAATATAAGGATAGAGATATATTATCAAAATATAAATTAATTGCATCAAATAATCCATTGATGGTGAAATCTTAAATGCTGGGAGCAAGATAGAAACTTACGGCATCTGCGGTGGTCCCCAGCCCATCATAATACATCACTCCCAGCTGGTAAAGGGCTTGATGATCTTTTTCCTTGATATCTTCAAACTGTTGTAATGCTTCTTCATACCATCCCTACAGGCCCCCAGAAAATATGTAATTATTTTTATTATGATCTTAAAGTAATCCCAAACTGAGGCACCAACAGGTTAAGTATTTGTATCCAAGAATATACAGCAAACAACCTAGCTATGTTTGAACCCATGCCCAAAGTTGAGAGACCCTGCTCTTAGCCATTTTGCTATGCTAGCCTCAGAGTGCCAAGTGCATGATAAGCCCTCGAAAGATGCTTATTGCTGGAATAAATGAAGGCGCCATCACAAGGTTAGGGAGTAAGTGGGAAGACAGGTGAACAGCTGCCCAAATAGTCAATGGATGGTGAGGGATTGGGAATAGTCCATCCTTTTTCAAGTTTTCCCTTGAAGAATTGAAACTACATTCTTGGAGTTGGGATGACAGGTTGCAGAGTTCCTGCTGTGACTGTCTCCCAGGCTAGCCCAGCATAAAGTGGATAAGGAGGGCAATTTCTTCCTCACTCTACATAGGAATGCATAAAGCTACCTGAGTAATAGATAAGAATCAGTCTTCAATTGTTATTAATATGCAGATGGTTTACAAATTATATTAAATGTTTTAAGCAAAATATTAAAATTCAATCTTTACAGTGTGAAAATAGACTTTACACCAAAATGACTCCCATAAATGACAGTCATTAGAATGACTTTTGCGGAGAAAGGTCAGATATCTCTATAAGCTGGTAGCAGCATGTCCACAGCCACGCTTTACACAGCCACAGATTACATAATCTATGTAATATGACAGAATTTCCCTAGTATAACAAAGTAAGGAACTCTACATGAAATTTTGATATGAGGATCTAACAACAAAATTATGGGAAATGAAAACAAATAAAAAATGGTACCTCTTCAAAATATAGTTGACCTCGTAGGAAATATGCCAGAGTGTCCCCTCTTCTTATTCTTTCCTTCAAGAGCTGCAGTGCCTTCTCTACCAAATCAGCATGCTTGTAGTGATCTGATTTTAAAAAGGTAAAGAATTCCATTAACATACAATATGAGTTTTCACGCTTGAAGTAATAAATTATGTAAAATTCATCTAACATTACTAATGTTAGTTTCCTTCCTAATTTTCATACCTGAAACTAGCCTCCTTAGCTTAAGGAAAAAGTATTGCCTGAGAAAAAGCATCATCACAGTACCTAACATTGTGCCTTGTATAATAAGGAAATATTTGTGATTGGCTCTCACACTAAGCCTGTTCACAGATAGGTGGGAGCCTTAGCAGTACAGTCTATGTCCATGCATTGGTTTGTCTTTGGGCAAAGCTGCCTTGTGGGTGAGTTGAATTCTTAATCTGAGACTTAATTAGTACTACCCTAACCAAATGAGCTAACCATCCCAAACATAATTTTTTAAAAGTCTGTAGGAAAAAAAAGGTAACTTCAAATGACAATTTCAAGTAAAGCATGGCATTGTTTTCTTTAATAGAAGTGACATCTGGCTTCTCTTTTCTAGAAGCACACCCTTAAGTCATGAGAATAAAATCAAGATCAGGATGTCGTGCTTGCTTCGGCAGTACATATACTAAAATTGGAACGAAATAGACAAGATTAGCATGGCCCCTGTGCAAGGATCACACACACACACACACACCAGGATGTAATTGTAAGACTTCACTGATGATTTCCTATCAGAGTAAGTGGCAACTTCACAGATTCTTGCAAGAAAGTTAGAAAGGACTATAAAATTAACCACTTCTTTGAAATCAGTAAGACAAACATTTTTTGTTTCGTTTGCTCTAGCACACATAATGAATTTTAGTGAAAATATTTTCCAAGGGAAGATTAAATGTCAGAATTTGTACCAGTCTTTTCCTTTCTCCATTGGAAGACTTTTTGGTCCTTAGCAGCATGCTGGGATACAGAGAAGGGGTTCTTGGGCAACTTTTCACTGGTCAACTTCATCCTGCTTCCACAATCTGTATCCTGTAAACAAGAATAAAAAATAAGATTGTAGAAATTTTTTTCTCCAGTAAAGTGCAAAAGAGACTCCTTGGCACTTATGCAAAGCATCCTCCTCTCATTGCCTAGGGATAGGGCACCAAACCACCAGCTCCAGGCTGTGAACATTCTTTCCTAGGAAACCAGGACCCTCCATAGCAACCCTTCCTGTCTGTTCCCACCGCACGGGATTAACCATGAGACCTCTTTGTCCTGTCTGGCATGAGTTCATACATTGCAATGGGTCATGTCACCGCCACAACTACTGCCATTTAGTGGAAACTGGTGAAACAACTTGTAGATACAGTTCTTGTGCACTGGTGCCTCCTTGTGGCCTGGTAAGAGAAGTTCATCAGACTCAAATGAAAGCATTTGTCTATTTTACCTGGGAATATACTTTATTTTAGCTGTGGTGTTGAGTTTTATCTTCCCATCTGTAATGGACTGCCATGTTGTAACATGGATCGCAGTTGAATGGTAAATCAGAGACTTCATATAAAATGTAGAGGCTACCTCATTTGGGATGAAGGAGTCCAGGTTGGCCTAGGCCGAAGGTAGTGAGACTCAGTTGTTGCTATGCTTTTTTTGTTTACTCCTTGGCATTCTACTCTGCTATAGCTTCCTTTCACCAATCAGAAACAAGCTTGCAGTAAAGGTTCCTGATTAGTAGTCAAGGGAAGAACTCAAGAGACCCATAGTATGATTGGACAGCTGTATTTACATAATTATATGATACTCTTTTAGACAATAGATTGCTTTATTAAATGAGAATGAAATGCAGAAAAGGGAGATAAATTAAGTATATTAGGGGAAAAAAATCACTGAACTGTCTTTGTGATTTTGGAATGGTCATTTAATCTTTTTAAGGGTCAATTTCCTCATCTGTAGTTTGGACTGTAAGTAGTTTGAACTAAATAATTATTAAATGTCCCTTCTTAGATATATACAATTCTTTGATTATATGATTCCTAAAATCTATTGTTGCCTTAGTGAATATAAAAATTTCCAGTGAGCTTTAGGGTGAAGGACTATTAGAAAAGGTATAAAGAAGAAAGACACTCCAAATAGATCCATGCAGACAGCAGAGACATTTCATTGTCACTGAAGACATTGACCCAGTGTGCTACTATATCCAAAGAGGCTAAGAAAAAACTTGGCATGTTCACAAAGGGCATCAGAAATGAAACAAATCAGAAAACAATACCTTACCTCACTGAAACTCACAGTGCGGCGCTTTGTGGTTGTCACACTGCACATAGTTTTTGTTGTTGTGGCTTAAAAGAAGTGTTGAAGATAGTCTGTAAAATAAAAATGAAGGTTGATTGACCTCTTCCTAAATGCCAGGTATTGTTCCTTAAGTGCTTTTACAGGCATTACCCCCTACAAAAGTTTATGAAGTAAGTTCTGTTATGAAGCCCATTTAACACGAGGAAACTGTTAAATGAGGAAACTGAGGCACGATTAGGAAGCTCAATAAATTGCTTAAGGTCACAGGGCAAGTGGGACAGCTGATATGCCCCAATGCTTACGCACTTCTTTATTAGTCTATTCTGTCTTTCCAAAGAGCAAAACTAATATGGTATTTTAACATGACTCCTGTAAGAGGACAACTCAAAATTTAGTACCTTTTTAATTTGAAAAAAAGGGAACTAAGAGAAAGCAAGACTTATGTGTTTATTTCTGCCGATCTTGGGATGTGATATAAAATCATCATTTGAAACTTGACAACTGTTTGCATAATCTGTTGTAAATTGATAACATTCTATAGTAGAAATTACAGACATTAATTGATAATATACAATCAGAAAGAAAGAAATCTATGATTTTAAAGGAAAGGGTAGGTGCAGTGGATGCTAATGCCCCCATCCTCAGTTGCTGTGGATATTAATCAAAAGCAAATTACAGCTGTTCTATCTCTGAAGCTTTGTCCCCAGCCAAACATGAAATCCCTCACTCCAGGACACTTTACTCCCTCTTTCTTGGAAACTACTCAGAAGACCATCCCCCTATTAGGAGAGGCCATCCGCCATGCGTCTTGAGCATCCCTGCACATCCTTGCTGGGTGTGTCAGGGAGGCAAAGCCCTGAAAGCTCTTTGCATGGACCATTCCCAGGGTTGTGTTTGCCATCAGGCAACCTTCAAGGATAAGGTAGTATCTCTCTACTGACAAACAGCAGGTTTGCTTCTCTGAAAAGCAGTGAATCCCCCAAGCTCATGCTCTTCTCTTACAATGCAGTCTCCTGAGTGTGCAGGAGGGCCCTTTGTTTCACCTTTGTGGGAATTAGGGGACCTGGGGAACTGGCTCAGACATCATGCTGACCCTCTGGCTACTGCTTTTGCCACGAGTAATAAAGTCATTTTTCTCTGATCCAGGAGTCTCGTGTCCTCTGCCAGCATCTACGAAACAGGCTGTCTTGTTAGTTGTAAGGAGGGTAGAATCTCAGACCCTGCGTGGTCCTTAACATCCCTTTGCCTCAGGGTGAGATCAACTCAGTCCTGTAATTTGTGCTCTGTGAGATTAGGAGGAAGCTAGTTTTCACTTGAGCTGACATTCTTGCTCAGCCTCCCCGCCCCCGCCCACACTCTATTCTGCTTCTTTCACAGCCCTTCTCCTGAGACCACACCCCGGTATATCACTTGAACAAAAATCCTATCTGGGGCTCTGCTTCTAGGGAGCTTAACCTAATACAATATGGACATGTGGAAAAAGAGGTATTTGTTCTTATCTTTCTAAAGCTGGCATAATAAAGGATAACTTTCCTTCCAATCAAATATTAGAGTATACAAGGGCTGTCTGGAAAGTGTAACCATTCTTGTTATATTAACAATAGCTGGGTACTTTCTAGACAGTACTGGTATGGTGAACAGTATATGTGATATATATAGTATGTGACTTTTTTAAACAAATAGTTTATTGATAAGAGTACTAAAATTAGCCTAATGATGAATAACTTTATTTAAAATGCTTGATGACAGGAAAGCAAGAATGATTTAAGAGTAGAAAGATTCTATAGAGACTGGAGATAGAAGTTAGCTCTACTTCTCTGGCAATTAGCAGAGTCATGCCAAATACAACTGCAGTTTAGAGCTGCTGCGTGAGGGCCAGATGAAAATGAGTCTTTCCTTATGCCTTCACAGGGATTATAGTCACAATGGAAGTGAAAAAAAATTAGAGATTCTGTTATTTTTGTTATTAATTTAATTATATTTGTTGACGCTTCTAATTGGCTCTTTTGGCATTAATGGCCTAATCCAATACTGAAATTGTGTATAACTGTATTACTTAAAGTTCTTTTAAAATTGAGGTTCAATACTGAAGTTGCTGTCATACTAAACAATGTTACTAGTGCCCATGAAAACAGAGATGAGGAAGAATCGTGAGCAAAATGTCAAAGCCCTGTGTTTATTGTTATTGTTCCTTTCATTACTATTGTCTAATGCTGGTTTAAAAAGTAGTGTTCATACATCAACTGGAAGCATAATATATACATATATTATGGAAAATTAGAAAAGAATCATTATTAATGCACTTCTATTCTTTCCCCTCCTCCCTTTCCAGCTAAGCCTGTTTGTTTATTTAAAACAAAAGTGCTTTTTCTCATGCCCTTCCCTTTTGGGTGTGGCAAATTTACAACATCAGGCCCTAAAGTGAGAGGAAAAAAGTAAGAGAAAAGACAGGATGTCTTTTATAACCACTTAAGCTGAGATGAGCATTGCATGAGACAGCCTACTAGCTTTTTACTTCATTTTTCTCCAATTTACCATGTATTCTGTGGGCATATAAAATAGGCTAACAAACACTGTTATGTTCAAAATCTTAAGGTCATTTGTGTGAGCTTCTGTCCTGCTCCCAATATGTGGAAACTCGTGTTGTCCCGTTATGGCTGTCATGTCCTTTTCTGAGGGTATTTCACTCAACAACCAAAGGTAAATGGATGTGAATATTATTTAGTGATTGTGTGTCTATTTTCTGGATTTATAGAAGCTTATTTGTCCAGAAGAGCTGATGCTATTATAGTGTAAAATCCAGTCTGGCATGATTTACCTCCAGAGGTCAGCTAGTAAAATACATAAAGTAAAATTGTTTAATTATGTACTAATTGCTCATCATCCCCAAGGTGTAGCAACAGCTCAGAAAAGAGAATAGAATCATAGGGAAGTGACAAAGATCTCTAACAACAGAAATTTAAATTGACCAGCTGTCCTTGTTAATTAAAGATATTCCCTTTTTTCCCCCATTAAAATAATTTCAAAATCTCTTTCACATTTAGTCTTCTCTGGTGGGTAGGATGATGAGAGCCTGCTGTCTCCTTTCGGCTGCAGGAGGCAATCCTCACAGACTTGGGTCCTTGCAGTATTTCTGCACTGCCATTCTTTATCATAAAAAGCTATTGTAAATAGTTTAAATATTAAAAAATACAGAATATAAGCAGGATTCTATATATATGTTTACACATATTTATGTTCAAATATCCATATGAATAAAAATGTTTAAAACTATCTCTTGGGTCACTCCCTAAGAATAACAACATAAACTTGATTGCACGATTATTTTATGGCTGTTACAAAACATACTACACTGTAACTAAAATCAGAACTAAAAGACTACTTATCTTTAGAAGACGAGCCTGTCTTCTGAAAGTATAATAATAAAAATACTTCTTTTTCCGTCCTCCTCTCAAAGATATCACTAGATAGAAAGGAATTACTGAAGATTTTAGGGAAAACAAATCTATGGTTGGAGCTTTAGTTTCGAGCTGGTTTAATCCGAAGAGCGCTTAGGAAGAGAGTCAAGGCACTAGATAAGACGTCAGGGGCTACAATTTCAGTCGCGCCAACTGTCCCCACAGTTGCACAGAAACGAATGACTCAAGCTGAGCAGCATAAGGAGCTCCAGGAGAGCCAACTCCCCAGCCCTGGTCGCCCTGCCGGCGGGAAGAGCCCGGCGGTCCCACGTGCGGGGCCGGTCCGCTCCCGGAACTCCCGCGCGACACGGCGAGGGCGCCCACGGGCTCCTCCTCCGGCTCCAGCTCCCGCAGGCCCCTTGCGCTAGTCAGCCGGGACGCACACACGTCTGACGCTCCTGCGCGCGGGCCCGGCACGGCGCGGCGTCCCGCACAGGGGGCCCGGATGGGCTCGGCGCCGTCACCCCGCGGGGCCTGGCCGGAGCGTTCGTTTCTCTGGGGACAGGGCAGCTCCCGCGGTAAAACTTCTGCCCTCAGGCTCACACTCGCCGCCCCTCCAGCGCCCTCATTTCCTTGCTCAATAGGCTGCGGGCCTCGGAGACAGGCCAGCGGGGCGATTTTGAACGTGAGGCGGAGAGAGGCCTCGCTCCTGCGGGGGAGCGGCCGCACCGCGCACGGCGGCGAGGGAGAGAGCATTGATAGCTGCCCGTTTTCTGGTTACGTGCGTGCACGCAGAAGCCAAACCTTCGCCCGCCACTCCCGCTTTTCCAGAGGGATTAAAGGGCTGGGCGCGCTAGTGTGAGACGTGTGAAACTGGGCGCGCCTCATGGCGGCCGCCGAACCCCGGCTGCCCCGACTCCCGCCCGCCGCACCCAAGAACTGCGCGGCGCACGCGCGCTAGGGCTCCCCAGGGGGCCGAGGGCCCCGGCCCGAGATGGGCGTGCCTGGCGCCGCTGCGGCTGACCAATCGGCTGGCGCACCTGCGCGCCCTTTCTCCCTCCCCGCCCCCGCCCGCGCGGCGGGTTCCCGGCAGCACGTGGCAGTGTTTGTGTACGTGCGGCGGCCGCGGGGCTGGGGAAACTCCCCGCAGCAAGGAGCGAGGCTGCAGGGGCGCGGCCAGGGCTGGGCAGCTGGGGCGAGGGGCCGCCCGCTACCCCGGCAGTCTTTAAATTCTCCCATACTGCGCGCTCTTACCTGCCGGTCTGCAGCGAGTGTCCCACCACTCTACATTTACAGAGACGCTTGTCGTCTGCTTTGGGCGGGAAATGCTGCTGCTTGATTGCAACCCGGAGGTGAGACTCCTGTTCTTTTGGTCCTTGGGGCTAAAGCTTCCAAGTATCTCTTTTCGGGAGCCCTGGGAGGGTGATCGTGGACTAACCACTTGGCGCTGCCTTGTCAAGCCTCCTCAGAGTTGGGTTTAGAGTCGGGAAAGGGTTTCAACCCGGAGAAGGCCCTTGCTGGGCAATGCGAGAGAGGTGCTGGATCTGTTCTCTTCCCGCAGGTGGATAGTCTGAAGCATTTGCTGGAGACGGGGACCTCGGTCAACGCACCCCCGGATTCCTGCGAGCGGTCGCCTGTCCACTTAGCGGCAGGTGGCGGCCTTGTGTACTTTCTTCTCTGGCAGCTGCAAATGGGCGCTGACCTCAATCAGCAGGTAACTAGGTAACGGATTGTTGCTGTGTACAACCCTCCCCTCCACCCTAAATACACACAAAACATTTGTTACACGCCAAAAATGTTGAGCTTTAAACATGTCTATGGCAGCGATATCCAATAGAAATAGAATGCTAGAGAGATATGTAATTTTAATTTTTTTTAGTAGCCACATAAAGTAAAACAAAACATGAAATCTTAGTAATTTAATCTAATTTATCCAAAATATTACCTTTTCAATATGTAATCAACTTTAGGCAATTACTGATGAGGTATTTTATTTTATTTTTACTGTGTGTTCACAGTCTGGTGTGGCAGCATATCCCAATTCAAATAAGCCACATTTCAAATGCACTTTAGCTGGGCGTGGCTATTGGCTATCACACTGGACAGCATAGGTCTCCAGTTTATTTCAAAAGAAATGATTGCTACGTTACCAAAAGTCTCAATATAGCAATTGAAATAACTTGTGAGGCATGCCCACAGTCATTATGGGTTCCTAAAGAACTTTCTTAATGGTAGTTCACATCTTCCATTGAATATTAAAGTATGTTGAATCTTAAATTGTAAACCTTTGACTTCTGTAGAATTCTACTTTGTTTTTATTCACTTAAAGTTTAATGTGGATGCAGCTGCATGTTTTTATTAATGAAAAATTTGTATTAAAAGCACATGAACTTATCAAAATAAATAGATTGAATGAAAAAATTAAGTCCAGTAGAATGCAATTCTGACTATAAATAGCTCAAATAGCTATTCCCAGACTTTACCCACAGACTTCCACAAAAATATTTTGGGGACAGACATTAAAATGCACTGTCTTATCCTTAAGGATGTTTTGGGAGAAGCTCCACTACACAAGGCAGCAAAAGTTGGAAGCCTGGAATGCCTTAGCCTGCTTGTAGCCAGTGATGCCCAAATTGAGTGAGTATAAAATCAGCACTTTCAAATTTTATGTTTTCTTGGATTACTCAGACTCTTGAAGCTTAATTACATGTGCTTTAAAACATAATGCTTACCTAATTGATAATTTAGTCCCCTCATTTAAATGCTAATGTAGGCTGTTAGTGATAATCTAATAATATTCAGTTTGAGTAAGTGAAAAATGGATCATGAGCAATCAGAGGTGCCATCCTGTTCATTATGGCAGTATTCTACTTCAGTTTTCCACAGAACCCATTCTGTGGAAGTTCTCGTTGACTACCTCTGGGTACTCATTCACTGTCTTGAACAACAAATACTCTTATATTCATTTAAAAATGGAATGACCACTCTGCTGGACTCTGTTACTACTGAGGATATGACAGTGAGCACAACTGAAATTTCCCTATGTGTCCTTTACCTCTTTTCTGCAACCAACATTTCTATGAGCCCCAAATTTCTTAGCTAAAAAGATAACAAAGAGTAAATTATCAATTTTTTAAACTCAATTTTTGTCATAATTTCAGTTTATGTAATAAGGACGGGCAAACAGCTGAAGATCTTGCTTGGTCATGTGGATTTCCAGAATGTGCCAAGTTTCTTACAACAATTAAATATATGCAGACAATAAAATTAAGTGAACAATCCGATAGAGATCATTGTGTTCCAGTGCTTAGACACAAACGAAGTTTTGGAAGTGCAGAGAATACAAGCGGGAAAAGGAAGTGTTGGTGAGTAATGTGTAGCTGCTGCTTTCTACCTCTCCCTCAAGGACCTCCTATTTAGCATAGAATTTATTGTTTCATTTAAATACGGACACTCTCGTATTTCTAGTATTAACACTTGAATACACTGGTTATAGTTACTAGATTCTAGGGACAGAAATTGGCCTGCATGGTGGAAGTTTGGGGAGAAAACCTTTTAAGTGTTTAATGTTAATATAATATTTTTTTTTTTTTTTTTAAATGATGATGTTCTGCTGAATAATATAATATTTTTTAAAAACAGATGCCATATTGGTTATGAAGAGGTTTGAAGAATGCCTTCATTTCCTGCAGATCTACAAGCTACTTCTTTTGGTTTACCCTATGTGTCTAAACTCCTAAGGAGGAGGAAAACTTTCTTCCAAGTGAAGATAACATTTAAGAATACATGTATTTACATGCCTATAATATTTTGGTTGTGCATGCTTTGTCTTCTGAGTTATTAAAGGAATGTCTAAAGAGTAAATTCTCTGTGCAGTATTTATAACTTTTGAAAAACATCAGTTTAAACCATCAAACTACACCCAGAATTTAATCTGAAATTAAACTTATTCTTTATTAAATTTACAATACCACTTTACTGCAGTCTTAGACTCCAAGACACTTTAAATAATATTTGGTCGCTGAGGAAGGCATAAGTTATAGTAAGCATCCTTGTTCCAAAAGTCTGGACCCTTCCATCCACACCAGCCCTGGACATGAGAGAAGGGAAAGGAAAACCTTTTATAAAGTTACAAGACTACATAGTGGAAATTACAACATGAGGCTCTGTCAATAGGAGCAAGGAATAAGACTCTAAATACCTATATAATTCAAGGATTTGAATTCCTACTAAGAATAGAAAAATAATTTATTTGGGTCCACTTAAGGTAGATTTTAATTCTATAGAAATCATCAGAAAAGAAAAACTTCCTTATAGTAACTGTTACTCCAGATATTATATTCTACTGATTGTCAGATACACAGTTTTATAACTCTGGGAGTTGATGGCATGTCGGTGGCATGTGAAAGTTTAACTGGCAGTCTGTTTTTCTTGGTAGTCCATAAAAGACCATTTAGTTGCATCTTAGATATGTTGAAATATGGTGGTGAGAAATCTCAGCTTGCCCCATGAGTTGCATTCTATGCCCTTTCATTTTCCTCAGGCTATATTCAATTCTACTTTCCATTTTTCATGTCAGTATTAATCCTTTTCTCTAGCAGAGAAAATTACTTTGAAACAAAATCTCATCTAGAATATGAAAGTTTATCAAATTTCTTCTGGGACCACTGATTTATTTTCTTAAGAAAACTTGAGGCCGGGCGCCATGGCTCATGCCTGTAATCCTAGCTCTCTGAGAGGCTGAGGTGGGCGGATAGCTCAAGGTCAGGAGTTCGAAACCAGCCTGAGCAAGAGCAAGACCCCATCTCTACTATAAATAGAAAGAAATTAATTGGCCAACTAATATATATAGAAAAAAAGTTAGCCGGGCATGGTGGCACATGCCTGTAGTCCCAGCTACTCAGGAGGCTGAGGCAGTGGGATCATCGGAGCCCAGGAGTTTGAGGTTGCTGTGAGCTAGGCTGATGCCACAGCACCCACTCTAGCCTGAGCAACAAAGTGAGACTCTGTCTCAAAAAAAAAAAAAAAAAAAAAGAAAAAGCTGACCACCAGTCTCTGTTATATCATTCTCCAATGAAATGCTTTGTTTGAGAAATACCTGTAAGGAGGCTAGCTGAGGACTCTTAAAATACCACTGAGTCAGAGACAGACAGCAGTCTTACTCCTTGCTCTAACTGACTCTGAAGCTGCTGGGTATTATAGCAGGGACCTAGAGTCAGGAGTTCATAGTTTCTGTAGAAGAAGGTGTGTTAGCCACTCCCTCGCTCCACCCCCTCACCCAGACTAGAGTGCAGTGGCATGATCGGAGCTCACTGCAACCTCAAATTCCTTTGCACAATCAATCCTCCTGCCTCAGCCTCCCAAGTTGGGACTATGAGCACATGCCACCACACTCAGCTACTTTTTCTGTTTCTTTCAGAGATGGGATCTTGCCCTGTTTGACTATGTTGCTCAGGCTGTTGTCAAACTCCTGGCCTCAAGTGTTCCTCCCACTTGGGCCTCCCAGAGTGCTAGGATTACAGGTGTGACACCATACTCGGCCTTAGCTCTATTTTGTATAGTGTAGAGGAGGGAAGATTGAGTAGAGATGCTCTTTTTAATTGTTTTTTTTTTTTAAAATAAGACATACATTATAGAAATTCAAACAAGATGAAACTAAAAAATAAAAACATCCTTCCATCCTTCACCAGTCCCTCCTTCTCCTCCCTAGGTAACCACCATTAAGTTTGGTTTATTGTTTTTTAGACATGTTTCTACACATAAATAACATTCTATTTATCTTCTCATTTTTTTTAGCAAAAATTTCTCTAATAAATTTAATGCCCTAAAATCTGTTTTGCTAATAGACAAATATAAGGAAGATTTTTGCTATCTCTGTTTTATCCTTTTTGTGATCCTTTCACACATGTAGGCCTTCTCCAGGTAACCAGATCCAATTTTTTAAAAAAGAGAAATGGGTAGAAAAAGTACCAAAACAGGAGCATAACGCTGCTTTCTTTTGAGATGACTGGCCTAGGAACTTCAAATAGGAAAGTTCCACAAGAGGGTCAAGAGAGGTCAGGCAGAGGCAGAACTCTCCTCTTGTTTCCTAGATGCATGGAGTCAAGTGAGTCAATAGTTCTGACAGCTGGACCTTGGCTTCATAGTTTCTTGTGTGTGCTAATAGGAATAAGGAGTTTTCTGCTGTTGCAAAGTTCTATAGAAATATAACTAGCAAAGAAGGACACTGCAATTCTCAGAGAAAGTGATCAGGGACCATGCCTTACTCTGCTTCAGAAAACACTATCCAGATAATACCATCTAGTGCAAAGTCCTTTGAGCCAATCAGAAAGCAATTTATTATCTATTATCACTCCCCAACCCAATAAAAATAATTAAGGCTTTTCTCCCTGCTTTTAAGGTAAAATCTAAATGCCTGGCTCACAATGACTACCCTGCTGGACTTAGCTCCTGCCTGTCCTTCCAGTCTCACCTCTTCACCGTGCTCTGGGCACTTGCACCTACCAATAGTTCTGGAACATACCACACTTTCACTGTGCCACATGGTCCCACTGCAGCATCAGCCTTGTAAACACTTGTAAGGATGGCTTTTTCTATTTTTTCTTCTTGAGAATACTTTTTGGACTCTTCTCCTCTACTTTCCTCCTCTGTCCTTCTACAGTGGACTCTGAGAGCTCCTTAAAAACCTTTTTTAATACTCCTAGTGTGTAGGATAGTGGCTAGCACATATTAAGTACTTAAATGTTGAATGAATGAACACTTTGCTACAGAGAGTAAATATTGCTATTTTCAGTAAGATGTGTACCAGTCAAAAATCTTTCACAGACTTTAAAATTCCAAATGCCTTGAAAGAGTAGAGAAAAGAACAAGAAAATACTTAAAAATTTTAAGAACACATTTCTATCCTGTTTTATCATTAACAAAAGATTTTAGTAAACCGAGGATATAAGAGTTCAGCTACACACACACTGAAGGCTCTTTAACATGTGTATTAAAACATTTTATCCTTAGGGCTTTAGCAACCTAATGCAGTTATATTCTTTGCAACTTCTGGAAACACCTCATCAATAAATTTCAATGTTAAACCATCCAGTTCCTAGGAATTCTGCTTTTAAAAAAGTGACCTAATTAAACCACAACTTATTCAAAATTCAGAGAAAACTTTCTTTGGTACTAATAAAATTGACACAAGTGACAACATGACAAAAATGAAGAGTAGTGGGTAACAGGATGTATTCATTAGTTTATGGTTTAAAAGGTATGTATGTTCTGCAATTTCAATATATTTGGTAAAGAATATAGATGTTATATAAAATTCAAGTTAATTATGTTTTATAATACTTTATAATACTTTCTCCTAAAGATTTACTACTGAGTTTTCATATGTGAGAACTGCCTATAAAATAAGTTAAATTTATACCTCCTTTAGATGATAATGTAAGAACAAACTCTTAAATACGTTTTAAATAAGTCCTTAATAGAATAAGATCAGATTACATGTAAATTCAAATTGGTCAAGCCTCCATAATGTCTAGCATACAGCTTAGCTATTTTTTTTGTTAATTATAAAATTATAAAAGTTTATATATTCTACTCTTCTATTTTAAGTCATTGATATATATCGTTATATTTACTTATGCAAAGCTGTAAAATCTTTGAAGGATTAAATATATGAACTTTGTGTTCTATTACTAAGTTTAATAACTGAGTTTTAAAAACTCTAACCTAAATTTTGTCTTTTGCAATTTACTTTGTTCCCTTTTGTCCTCCTGTATAGAGAGATACTCACTCACTACAGCCTTAGAACACCCCTTTACGGTAAGGATCACTGTCCTGGGCTTACGGGCCTTCTGTGAACAGCAGTTTGCTATCCTTCATTTCAGGGTGCTTTGCCTTGTCTAAATTTGTGTTAAATGGATACTTACCTTTTCCAAAATAACCTGTAGATCTTCAGCTCCTGTATAATGTGGATCTAGAATCAGAAATTTTATCTGCCCTGTTATCTCATTCCATGTAACTCCGAGTATTGTGTGGGCCAAAACTCCTCCTCCTGTAGAAGAAATATGAAATACAAAAGAGGGTATAAACCAATCTCAACTGCCTATTCAATTTAAATTTTTTTTTTTTTTTTTTTGAGAAAGAATCTCACTTTGTTGCCCAGGCTAGAGTGAGTGCTGTGGCGTTAGCCTAGCTCACAGCAACCTCAAACTCCTGGGCTCAAGCAATCCTACTGCCTCAGCCTCCCGAGTAGCTGGGACTACAGGCATGCGCCACCATGTGCGGCTAATTTTCTCTCTATATATTAGCTGGCCAATTAATTTCTTTCTATTTATAGTAGAGATGGGGTCTCGCTCTTGCTCAGGCTGGTTTCGAACTCCTGACCTCGAGCAATCCACCCACCTAGGCCTCCCAGTGTGCTAGGATTACAGGTGTGAGCCTGTAATAAAGTCCAGAGAGAATACATAATTTACACAATGTCACATAGCCAGCCAAGTTAGTGACAGAGCCATGACTTATGATTCTCAATTTAGTGACCATCTCCGTTTTTAAATACTGCTCTTAGCTTTTTAAATGTTTAAACACACTTAGATTTCTCTTCTTAGTCTTTACTTCTTCTGGTTACTAGAACCTTCTATGTTCAAGTCACCTTGGAATTTTTTTTAAATATCCAGAGATCAATATGTGCAGTGTAAAAGTTAATTTAAAAATGTTTAAAATGACTGCTTTTATGCAACACTAAATATTTATATTGGTGATAAGTTTTACATACTCTCCACCCTACCAAAAGTGCGCAAGATGTCCAAAACACCTTACCGATCATAATCGGCGTTCCCTCAGTCTGGAAATGATTAGCCAGTTCTCGTCCTTGAGAGGCCATTTCTGAACCTTGGCTAGAAAGAAACCATTTTCAATCAGATGAACTACTTCCAACACAAAGGTGAAATAATAGGCTTGAGAGCCAATTTGTTCTATTTTTTTCTTTCTTGGTTATTGAAAAAAATAAATAAATGTAAGTAAATAAAATTAAGTGGTAGGAAACTGACTTAAAGAGAAATTTAAAGCAACATAAACTCTCTAAATATTAAAGGCCACTAACTGTGCTAGGAAAGCAGCTAAAAAATCTTGATTTTCTGCTTCTGGAACTGTGTAAAGAAAGTTCTAGATTTTTAACATGAGATTGAAACAGGTCACCTTGATGCCCAGGGGGCTCTTATGGGTGAACTTAATTACCAGAAGAATGAGTTTTAAGTCCTGGGTTCTTTTCTTGCTCCCGGACTTCTGAGTCTGTGTTTCCTTATCTTTAAATTGGGACCAATTCCTGACCTGTCTACATGCCAAGAGATTCTAGGACTAAAATACATGTATGTGAAGCCAGGGTGAAAACTGCAAAATGTTTTCAAGTACAGCATATTATTTTTTAAGGAATATTTGAATGTACTATACAATTTCTACTTCAAGAAGAGAAAGAAAGATAGACTGATAAGGGAGGTATTTTGGGGGGAAGGTTACAGGTGGTGTTAAACTTTAGTTCTTGTTTAGTGAGGCATGTATAATAATGTTTTAATGTACCAAACCTTTCACTTTTTAATCTGTCATTTGTTAGCACTGATTTCCATAGCCTTTCAGTACTTGGACAATAAGAATAATGCTACTATAGTTATCAATAGAAAAGGAATTTTAAAACATAAGCTCATAAAATAAGGAGTAAACTAGTTATGGTCATAGAAAATGATATTTTTACATTTTCTCATATTTTAATATTAGGATTATGTTAAAATATATTGGAAAGATAAAATGAGTACGTTATTAGGACACATTATTGAATCTATTAATATCTTAGAAAGAAAAAGAGCAGGAGGTAATCAAAAAGGTCAATCGTAGACCAACATTTGATTTTCTTCTTTGAAGACTTTAAAGACATGAGTATTAAAAAACTAGACTTTCTATAACTTCACTTAAAGCTAACGTATAAGTTTTCTTCTTCTAGGCTAAAATTAGGCCTAGACAAGTATATATCACAAAGTCTATTCATAAACTTAAAAGTCTTCTAAAAAATAACCAAAAAACATGTAGGGTTAAAAAAATGACATTTATAAAGCAATGAGGTAATAATGAGGAAGAAAAAGGAGTGAAAATAAATGAGAAAAGTGACCATTTTTCTATTATTTTAATAAAAATGACAACTGTCACTTTGAAATGATTTATCTAATTTCTTAAAGTGTCCTTACCTGACAAACAGTATTTTTGAAGTTACACCAATCAGTTGGTTTAGTACCAGCTGTACCTCAATAGATCCAATCCATTGCCGTGATCCGACAAATGTTGCTGGTTTATCACCGGCATCAACTAGAGCCTTTATGTATTTAAAAATATAAAAAAAAAATCCATACACAAGACAGCTATTAAAAATTACATTTAGGGCATTTTCCCTGATTACTAATACAAAGATACTTTTTCTCTTCAAAACAGAAAAAGTCTGAGCCGTGAGGTAACAATAACTATTAATGGCATATTAAGAGCTAATGAAATGTAGTTGATTATAATTTAAAATGGCATGTTCTGTACCTGCTGGATTTCTCTGTGTGTTGGAATGGACCGCTCTGTGTATCCCTGGTGTTTGAACCAAGAGCAGATCGTCTGCAGAGATCGATAAGCACAGCCCCAGCCGTTGTCATCTATCCGATCCTGCATGTAATGATGGTAGCCATATGTGCCCTGGACCACATAAATCTATACAAAGAGAAGAAATACAGTAACATATTAACTTAAGAGAAGTACATATTCTGTATATACAACTGAGTCGGGTTTACTGTTCTCAGAGCTAGACTGCTGCTTCAGTTCCTTACAAAAATGCCTTAACAGAACTACAGTTTCATGTTATACCCTTGGGGCTTTTTATTCAGGGTCCAAAGTCCTTACTAAGGGATCCAGCAAGACCTGCCTTCTGGCTTCTTCTCCAACTTCATCTCCTACACTTTTCCCTGTTGCTTACTCTGCTTTCAGTTCAAACATACCAGGGGCAATCTGACCTTAAAGCCTTATGGTTCTCTTGGCTTGGAACTCTCTTTTCCCAAGTAATTGTACAGCTTGCACCCTTACTTCACCCTGGTCTCTGTTTAGATGTTGGAGGCCTTCCCTGAGCATCCAGTATACAAACGGCATGCCCACTCTTTCACCACCCACCCCCTGCCTTGGCTATCATCTCTCCTTGCTTTATTTATTTTTCAAAGCAATTATCTCTATTTGACATATGAATTATTAGCATTTTTAAAATATCTGCCTGTCTATACTAATTTTTGAGCTCAGTGAGGGCATTTCTGGGCCTAAGCCTCTTCAAGAGGCCTGACATACAGGTGATATAAATGTTGATGAATAAATAATGACTGAATGAAGGACTAAAGGAATGAACAAACAGATATAGGATCCATATAATGGGACATAGGAAGAATGTTTCTGCAATTTTGTAAACCTGCCATTGATTATAGCCCAGTATGTTACTTAATGACTCTAAAATAAAGGTCAATATCATATAAATTATTACTTGTAGTATAATGCTAAGAATGCACATGTCTTTTAGTATAAACTGGTATTATTTTCTAAAAATTAGGTGAGATGAGTCATGGACAAAGATAGAATCCTCACCCCCAATTATAGAATATATATTCTGTTCTAGCATAGATAGAAAATTTGTAACTCAATCATGTGGCAGGCTAAAAATGCCCCCCAAAAGATATCTACATTCTAATCCCTAGAACTTGTGAACACTACCTTCTATGGCAAAACAAAACAAAACAAAAATGTATTCATAGATGTGATTATAAATTAAGGATCTTAAGAACATGGGGAGATTATTCTGGACCATTCAGGTGAGCCCTAAATCCAATCATGTGTCTTCTTTTTTTTTTTTTTAAGTCACCATCTGCAAGTAATATACATTCATAGAGAGGCAGAGGGAAATTTGACACAGAGGAGGAGAAGGTAAAGGGACTGAGGAGACATAGATTAGAGTGATAGGGCCACAAAACAAACAATGCTGGAAGCCACAAAGCTCCTGGACACTCAGAAGGTACTGAATAAATGTCATGAAAAGATAGCCAACACATTTTCTCTCTCTTGGGAATCTGAATTGAGAAGTGCAGGGTGAACCAGGGTTACTTCAGGGATACATACAGGTCAGTAAGAAAGGATCTCATGGCAGTCAAGAATAGGAATACCTAGTACAGCTGGGCCTCTTAGAAACTAAGCAGCCCTGCAATGGGCAGCTCTCTCAAGGCCTACGTGGACTCTTTGGGGCATTTGTGTTTTTTCTGTGTGTATGCTTTGGATCCTAACTGGCCTGATCCTTACCTTTACTCTATCTTTTCTCAGCCTCATACCTTCTGTATCCACATTGTCTCTACTTGTGTATAACTTTTTCCTATTCTTTCACAGTGTATGATTCACCTCAACTCCATTCTCTGTTCCTTACTGCCTGGTTCAGTCTATACTTCAATCTACTCTTATTTGAGCTGTTTAAGCTATCCCTTGTAACCTGGTATATGCTGCACAGAAAATAAGTCTAGTACCTTATAAGACTTATTTTACAGTATGGTTTTGGTAGACTATGTCCTTAATTAGCATGATTTTTCAGGTTCAGAATTTTTAAAAATGGGATAAGCCTTTAAAGAAACCAGAGGATAGAATTTTAGTAACAAAAATGTGGTATATATTATCTATTTCTAACCTTTTTAGACCATTGTTAATTACTGCTATCTTAAGCAATGATTATTAAAAGAGATGGGTGATAAATTATCACCCATCTCTTTTGTTTTAAGGAAGACATAAATTAAGAATCAATGCTTACAACTTCTATTGCGTACCAACAAAAAAACTAATGATATTAATGATCAATTGAGTCCCATAAATAATTAGTTAAACTTACCATACCAGTTTCTATGTTAGGTGGATTAAGATAAGTATGTGGATTTCTAATGTAACCATCTTTGTATGGTTCATCTGGAAAGTGATAAGCATTAGACCTTTTGAAATAAGGTCTGTCATGAGGCAGATTGAAGAGATCATGTAGCTCCTAAATGAAATCAGAATCAATAGAAAAAAGACAAAAAAGTTGATTTAGATTCCTAGTCAATAAATAGACTAAAGAAGTTATAAAACATAGAAAATAACCATATATTGGTTATAAAAGTTTTCAAACACACTTATGATTTATTCACTAAGGTCAAAAAGAGTGAAAGTTAAACTAAAACCAAGTAAGATTTATTTTTGTTGATGTGTATATGTATATATTTGTATATAGATAGAAACTGGAAGGGAACGGGGAATAATGAAAATAATTTCTTAGAGTAAGAGAACTGGGATCATTATAAATTAATTACTTATTATAATATAGTCTATTAAAATATATCCAGGCTAAAGACTGGTTTTGAAACAGTTTTATAAATGAGTAAATTATAATTAACAATGATATATCTAAGTATTTTGAAAAATCATGTTTAGAGTGCTTTACAAATACTTTATATTTTAAATGACAGTGATTAAATTACAGAGAAGTTAGTGGTATAAAACCAACCAATATAATATGAAAATAAAAATACACATACATATTTAAAATGCAATATTTTCCCAACTATATAAAAACATGTAATAGTTACTTTAAAAACGTTGACACTTGGTCATATCTCCTACGCATTCTAATGGTTTGAATATATCAGCTCCTATAGCTGTTGCCTCTGCAAGTCAATTCAGTTTGTACTTACCAAGAGGTACAGAGAATTAGAGTCATTATATCTCTTCTTAGGAATAGAGATTAGGAAGATACTCGTTGGTATAATTTGATGGGTACCAAATAAGGCTACATATCAAAAAGATGTACTCTAAAACCAGTCAGTTTGCCAATAAATCTCACTCTTTTGAATACTGGTCATGTTTTCTCCAAATTTCCCCAAATGAAACCCAAATAACCCTACGTATGGTAGAGTATTACCATAAATCCTAATCAGAATCAGTACACATTCTAATTCCTTCCTTAACTGAAATCTTGTCTCTTACAAATCTGGAAGTAACAGGAGGGAGAAGAAATTTGTTAACACTCATTAGCTATTCTAGGCATGCAGGCACCTTTTCAATTCTATGTTTCATTATGGAAAAATATAAAAATTTCATAGAGCATATGAACCACTTTGAGCATTTGAAATTTAAATGTCACATATGGGTTTAGCCTAATGTTTTTTCATTAATATTGTAATATTTTTAAAAAGTTCCATGAGGACAACAATTAATATATAAAACTAACAGTCTACTTCCACATTTTAAAATTAAATCATAAAATAATATCCACTTATCAGAAATATATAATTAAATACAAAATGAATATAGTCATCTTATTTTCTAAGAATAAAGGAACTGATTTTACCTTTCTATAGGCCTGAAGCTGACCATCTGGAATTCCTGACGGATATGAAATTGTTACAAGACTTTTTTGCCCTGGTAATAAAAAGTGCAGTGGTTCAGGGACCACAATAGATGTTCCTTTCAAATATTTCAAAATGCATTTTTCCATATCAGTTAGTTGATTATGAATTGCATCAACTAGAAGTTTACGAACTCTGTGGGGGGAAATATATAACTGCATTAATAAAAGCTATAGTGGCTATGATAAATATTAAAAATGTAGAACTAATATTATCCCTACTATAGTAAAAAACTTGACTGGACTATATTTCTTAAAGGAAGTCTAAATTATGCAATGTAAAAGAAATTATATATTTGTTCTGTGTTGATAAAGGGAAATCCTTAAGGTTCTAGCATGCTACCCTACTTCCCCAAATAACAATTTAATTACTAGATGACTCTTAGTAATAAACAAGGAGTAAGTCATAGTAAAAACAACCACTACCCTGGATATGCCTATATGATATTTTAACATGGGCTCTGATAACACTGTGGAAAGGTCCTCATTTTAAAATTTTTTATTTTTAGAGACAGGGTCTTGCTGTGTTGCCCAGACTGGTCTTGAACTCCTGGGCTCAATCAATCTTTCTGCCTCAGCATCACAAGTAGTGGGGACTACAGGCATGCACCATGCACTACCGTGCCTGGCTTAAGGTCCTCATTTAAATGTGGCAGTAGTACTACTATAAAGATACTTACTTGCCCCATGTTTCTTCTGGAGCAACAGATATAACTGCATCAACTGGTAAAGTCATATTAACATAATGGTGTCCTCCGTTTTCCCTTTCGATGATGGGAGTCACAGCTGCCTGAGAGGTTGACATTTCCAGCATAAGATCTATATTTACTATTTGATGCTGTATGAATAAACAGTAATAGTCAACTTGCAGTAAATTAAACACTAAATATAAAGGGTAAGTAAAAGGACTTTTATAGGACAATATATAAAACTATATTGTAAACTGCTTAAAAGCTCAAATCTTATCTTAAAAAGAAATTCCTTTCTGCTTCAAAATAATCTGGGGAGAGTGATAAGAGAGTAAAGACGAAATCGTACTAGTCATTTTTTTTTTTTTTTTTTTTTTTAAGACTGAGTCTCACCCTGTTGCCTGGGTTAGAGTGCTGTGGCGTCAGCAACTTCAAACTCTTGGGCTCAAGCCATCCTCCTGCCACAGTCTTCCGAGTAGCTAGGACTACAGGCATGCGCCACCTTGCCTAGTTAATATAATATATTAATATATATTAATATATATATATATATATATATATATAATATTATATTTCTTAGTTGTCCAGCTAATTTCTTTCTATTTTTTTTAGTAGAGATGGGGTCTCACTCTTGCTCAGGCTGGTCTCGAACTCCTGAGCTCAAATGATCCACCTGCCTTGGCCTCCCAGAGTGCTAGGAATACAGGCATGAGCCACCACACCAGGCCCTGGTCATATGTTGATAAATGTAAAAGCTAGGTATAATTTCACTATTCTTTCCACTTTTGTACAGATTTAAAATTTAAAATTAAAAAAAATCAAATTGACAACATAAAATAACCACATACCAAAGGAGCTTTTAAACATTTCTGGTCTAAATACATAAAGAACTATAAACAAATATTAAAGTCTACTTTTTGATTTTTATAGTGGTATGGAACAATTCTGAAACTGCCTTCTGTGTACTGAATAAATTTAGTAAAATAGTGAGGATACTGGTAGTCAGGCTTCTCACTGGGAAAAGGTTAGGAACTCTGGGGTTGAAGTGGAAATGGAGGTATCAATATGATTTATATAGATAAAAATGATTGTGTTACGTGCGTGCGTGTGTGTGTGTGTGTGTGTGTGTATGGTATGTATGTATATAAGTGTGTGCTCCATGGAGAAATGACTGATTCCTGAGCTGGAATAGGGAAAGGACATATTGTACCTGGAACATCTGATGGAAGAAAGCAGGAAGTGCTCAAAAATAATGTTAGAAGGGTACTGGAGCCAGCTTGAAGAAGCTTCTATTAGCCAAATCTTGGAAAATGTGAGCATCAAAATAATTAATGATAGTTACAGATTATAACCCATTTTAAAAATAAGAATCCATGCTGCTATGCAGATAATAAATAAGTAGAGAAAAGGAAAAGTTCTCCCTCACAATATAATTTCATCTAATCAATATAGAAGGAAATGACAGACTTAGAAAAATCACCATTTTGCAACCATCAGATTAATACTGGATTCTGGCAAAAGTTATCAAAGGATGTTAAAAGTGGTAGGTAAAAATCTGATGAGGAATAAAATATATACCTAGTCTCAAAGTATTTTCCCATGAGATACTAATTATAAGAGGGAAAACCAGTATCTTTACCATGAAGAAAACTGGTGGATACTAGCACAAGTAAGTGATTAAAGTTAACACCACCAATAATAGGAACAGATTGATCGCATATGTCTCTTTAATATGATGTGCTGAGAAGGACACAACTTCACTTCCGTGATATTCTTGCCAGTAACGCAAAACCTGAATCTTAAGGAAGCATAAAACAAACCCAAATTGAGGAGCATTCTACAAAACTAATGTGTAGTCCTGAAAATGTCAAACTCCAACTACTGGCAATCTTCAAATCATTATCATTTCCAGCCCACAATTTTTTTTGCACATTCCCATTTGTAAATTTAACAGCTTACCTGTACATCTCACTGAGGTCTTAAATGTGGCCCAAACTGACCTGTCTTCCCCACCTTCCATCTTTACCCAAGCAAGATATTGGTCATGCTGTATCCAGTAAGTTTCTGAGCCAAATCCATTGTATCACTTACATATCTCTTGTATCCATTCCCTCTTCTCTATATCCATAGTTAGTGGTTTAGCTAGGCTTCTTCTAAAGAGGCCTCTGCCCACCTCTTCAACCTCATCTCCACCCGTTCTCCCCCTAGCAGCCTGGAAACACTGTGGTTATATTAATTTCATACAACTTCTGCCTTAAAGAAGTATCTCTACTTTTTACCTCCATATTCTGACAAATTTGTGGCACATGGCAGGTACTCAATAATATTGGTTCAAAAATCAATAGAACCAAGAACAATGTGAAGAAAAAGAAATCATTTATTATTTATGTTACATATGATCTCTAAGATCTCACTCAGCTCCAAATTCAAGGATTTACCATTTTCATCAATAGAGAAGACAGGTGATTTGCTTACCATGTCCGATAACTTTTTGTCTTTCTTTCTCATGAATTTTCGTTTTATATCTTCTTCCTGCTCAAATCTAAATTTTTAATACACAAAGACATTTATAATATGGAATAATGTTTTCATAACATTCCTAGAAATTTTCAAACATACTCACTGAATAAAGCGCATTACGTTCTTACAAGCAGAGCTATCAGTCAGTTCTCCTGGAATGGTGTTTATGTCACTGTTGGGCCATATATACACTGAACTGTGGCAAATTCTGAACACAAGTGCATTTGAAGAAAGCTTGGTAGACAGATCACTTAACACATGTTTTAGTGCCTTCTTGATAAAAAGTTCTAAATCGAAAGAATATAAACAGAAGTTAAGAAAAATCTTAAACTTTTCACTATGACTGGTTCCAAATGTAGACAAAAGTAGATTATAGTAAAACTGACTTTCAAATACCCATTCTCCATATTTAGTAATTATATTTGTTTGGCCTTTCTTTTTAAAAACTTGGGATAAAATTCAGACCACAAAATTAATTCTTATAAAGTATACAATTCAGTGGCATTTAGTATAGTTACAAGGTTTTACAATTATCACTATCTAATTCTAGAACATTTTCATCAACTCAAAAAGAAATCCTGTACCTATTAACAGTCACTCCTCATTCCCCCTATACTTTTCTAATTGAAAATTTTCTAATTTCCCCCCTACATTTTTTCTAATTTGTTCAGAATGCCCCATGGGTCAGTGGGCATGCTGGAATACAATGTCTAAGTTTAAATATCATTTAATCCACATAGTAACTATATAATCTTACACAGTTTACTTATCCTATCTCTCACTCAGTTTCATTTGCAAAATGGAGAGAATCTCAGTATATTTCACCATCAGTTTTATAATAAAAAGGGAGAATGTTTTGGAATACCTACCATTAGCAGTAGCTAGCTGAAAAGCCAGATCAAGGCCTCCTCTTATTCTGAAGAGTATATCCATAGTTTCTGAAATCCCCTAGAACAAATAAACCCAAAATTCCTTATAAAACAAAACAATCTCATCCTTATATAAATTAGAAACTAATTTAGTTTAGGGAAAAGCATTAATTAAGCCTGACTATTCAAATTACTTCATGAGTAAATTTCTTGTTTTAGGGAAACAACACTAAATTCTAAATCAGGGGTTCTTAACCTTTGTTCCACACTGAAATCACCTTAGGAGCTTAAAATACTGACACCTGAGCTGTACCCCAGAGATTCCGATTAATTAGTCTAAGGTGGGCCTATGCACATGCATATTAAAAGTGTCCTCTGCCCCCAGGCCAGTAATTCTAATGTGAAAAGGCTGAAAACCACAGCTTTAAGACACAAATTCTATCATAGTCTTGATGGGTTTAACAATGACAAAATAATAATAATAATCATGGTAAAGGACTAGTTTAAGAATGTGACAAGAGCACTGAACCAAACACTTGGGAGTCAGAACAACGAAAGGAAACTAATACATCACTGATGTTGGGAATACAAACTGGCAGAACTCTTCATTGTTTGTGGCAATAAGAATCAAAACCTTATATTTACATCATTGGTCTAGTGATTCCACATTTAGAAATTTAGTCTAAAACATCTGCAAAACACACAAAGATTCAGGTATAAAAGATGTTAACCTGTCAACAACAGGAGCTTGGTTAAATAACTATGAATATCATACAGCCATAAAAAGCATGTTTTAGATGAAAATTAAATGGCATAGAACAATGCTTGCAACTTATAAAGAGAAAAAAAATCTTCAAAATGGAACTGATCAGCAGTTCTGAACTTGGGTCCATATGCTTAGTTTCTGGTAGTTGATGACATATGACAAATGGCATGTATCATTTGTGTGTGTGTGTGTGTGTGTGTGTGTGAGAGAGAGAGAGAGAGAGAGAGAGAGAGAGAGAGAGGGAGGGAGAAAGAGAGAGAAAAAGGAGGAGGAGGAGGAGGAGAGAAAAAAGAGGGGTAGGGGGGTGATTTCTTTTGGAAAAAGGTTTCAAAGATTTCATCAGATTCTCAAAATATGTCCCAAATAGGCTGAAAAACCAGTAAGATAATAAGAACCCTATTTTGAAATAAATTAAGTACTAACATCTGCTGAGCTCTTACAATGTAAAAGGCATTATACTAAATGCATACATTAACTCTAATCCTCAGAACGTTATGAAATAAGTACCACTACAATTTTTCTCATTTTACAAATTCTTGGTGACATTTCTTTAAGGGTGTTTGCTTTTACTAATTCTATAAATTTTAACCCTGCTGAAAGATCATACCCTTTGCCCAAATTTTACTTCTTGGAATTTATTCTAAGGAAACAAGAAAGGTCAGGACAAATTTAGCTTCAATGTTGTCCACTTATCATCACGGGAACAAAAAAAATCAGAGACCACTTAAATAGCTATCATTAAGAAGTTGGTTAAATAAAGAACAAAACAAGTTTAAAGATACTGAAGACAAAAGTTAAAAAGACAGGAAAGTGAAAATTTTAACTCATCTACTTACTGTGTGATTTTGCATAATTTGACTAATTGCTCAAGTCTGTTTCTCTTCTGTAAAACTGGAAAAATATACAACTTCCCAGGGTGGTTGTGAAGATTCCATAAGAGGTCATATGTGAAAGCACTAGAGTCTCCCAGAACCCAATTTCTGAATTGGGTTCTGAAATAATATTTAAACCAATATCTGAAAGGTAGGTACCAGTATTAACAATTCCAAAGGAAAGATGGCAGCTGGAGGTAGAAGAGCCCATTCCAGACAGGGGCACAGACTGGTGAAGCCAGCTTAAAAGACTACTTAGGAGACTGCTCCAGATGGTTAGATCTCATGGTGGGAAGAACAAGGATGGTAAGAGTGGATAGAGTGACATTTAGAAGTACAATCTATAGGACTGGATTATAGATTGAATGTCTGGAGATGTCAAAGATAATTTTCAGGTTTTTGGCAAGCACAACAGCGTCGATGGTGGTGCCATTTACAGAGATGGGGGTTATTGGAGGAATGACAGAGGTGGGGTGAGGGGAGGTGGAAATGATATGTCAGTTTTGAACTTGCTGCGTTTGAAATACATATGAGCTATCCAAGTGAAGGCACAGTTAGCAGATTTGTGGGTCTGGAGCCCAGAAGAGAGGTCTAAGCTGGAAGTATTAATTTGGAAGAAAGCACAGGGTGTAACGTTTCCCTGAAGAACACCAACATCTAGGATAGGGATTGGAGAACTTCGCGGAGCAATGAGACCGGAGGGCAACCAGGAGAGTGTGACGTCACAGAAACTAAGGGAATAGAATACTGGAAGAAAGTTACGCCTATCTCTCCCAGGTTAAATCCTTCTTCAAAGGCTTTAAAAACGTCGAACAATCCCTCAAAATGCATTCACGAAGAAGAGGGCAGGGAACGCGTGTCCAAACTCAGCTGAGGTGGGAGGGATGCTTGTGGGGGGCAGTTTCCCGCCGGCCCCAGCGGGGAGAGGCGAAAGAGGGAGCTGCCCCGACCGCTGAGTTCGCGGCTGCCATCGCGGGCCCCGGCAGGGCCAGCTCCTCTCAGGGGCTGTGGAGCTGTACTCGTGGCGGCTGCCGGAGCTCGAGGGGAAGCAACGTGGTCGGTGACGAGCAGAGGTACTTACCATGTCCGCGACGTGGCGGTGACACGGGCACTGACACCTGCCCACGGGTTCAGGGGGCCGACCCGGAAGTGGCGTCATCTCCAGCCGTGGGCAGGGCATGGGCGGGTCGACTCCAACTCCCAGCATGCCTGGTGCCGTTACGTCACGGGGCGTGCCACGCTGCGCCTCCTAGCGTATTTGGAGTGGATTCTCCGGTGCCCGGGGCAACGCGTCACAACGAAGGCCGTGCGCGCGGACGGTGCGGAGGCGCTTCGTGGCCAGGGCCTCTTGCGGGAGGGGCTTGCTCCAGGGCGACTTGGAGCCCTCGTGGCTCCTGCAGCCCAGTTAACCCGGACTGGAACTGGGACGACCTGATCTCAGTTATCCGATTGGGACGACCTGATCTCAAGCACTTCTGAGAGGTGACTTGGTTCGTGCAGACACTAGGTGTTTGTTGCCCCTTAGATAACCTTCCTGTTCGGAGCCTCTGTTTCCCTAATGGGAAATATTCATAATTTCGTCATCATCTGAGCCAGAAGTTTTCTGCCCCTTCTTCACCACCCTCCACCCCTCGACATTTTCCCCTACCTTTCGAAGGGAACCTGCCATATTCTATTTGTGTTACACTGTATTGTTTTGTCTACAAGATTGTAAGCTTCCTGGGGGCAGGATCTATCTATGCCTTTTAAAATCTGTTTTTCTAGATTCTACCAGCAAGCCTTGCCCGGAGGTGGGGTTTGCAAAATATCTGTTAAGTGGAATGAGTGAATAATTTTGTAAATGTTGCTCAAGAAGAGTTAAGTAGTGTCAAAGTTCTGGACAAGAACATTCCTTTCCTTCCTCAGTAGCTCGCAGAATGGTGTGCGCAGACACTGGGAATGCTGTGGTCTGGACCCAAACTGATACCACCGTTCCTGCCTTTGCGTAGCCAACAGTTTAGTGGGGAAAACAGCTGTTAATGAAAGGATCCCTACACGACACTGCGAATGTGAATGATGACCCAGCAGATAACCATGATGAGGGCTTGGAAGGAGAAAAGTACATGCCACTATCATTGAGGGAGTTAAAGAAGTGAATAAATTGAGCAATCTGAAGAATCAGTCTTAAGTGTTTGTGTGGAAGGGTCGGCAGGCTGAAGTACTGGCCTACAGTGAAACAAAATAAGTGGTAGTCCTGTGCTTGCAGGGAGCCCAACCTAAGAACCGCCAGAGAATAAATGCATCTAAGGGGTCGAGAGGGGGATCTTCATGGCGAAGGATAAGGCTGGCTGATTTAGTGGACCTCGTGGGCCATTTAAAAGATTTAAACCTCTGTAGCAGCACAGGAAGGCTTTATGGTTGGGCAGTGGGGTGGAGATTTAAAATACGATGTATATCAAAGTACTACATCCCAATTGACTGACGTTTAGTTCTAAAGCATACCTGATCAGTGGAAGAGGTAGGATAGGGGAAGGGTGTTGTATTTTGTGTGTGTGCGTGTGTGTTTTAGTTTAAAATGAATCTTCACTTGCCCCTTTGATATTATGCATTAGAAATGATTCATGCGTAGATGAGCCACAGTTCCAAATAGACAAGCTTGCTAAGAGTCATTGAAACAGCTTGCTCTAAATTTAAGGTAAAATGTTCTTACCTTGGATTATAAATTGGGAAGCATAAGCGAACGTTTGTTTTATTCACTAACGTTTGTTTTATTCACTAATGTATGCCCAGTGGAGAGCTGATAGTTGATGCTTTAAAACATTAGGGTGAGATGGAGGCAAGTATTCTTTGCTCCTCCTTTTAAAGACATATCTAATTTAAAAAATTAATTTCTAAATAAAGAGTTGCATGTTTCATGTGATATTTCACCTTCATCCGAAGTGGTCATTTCAAAAAAACTCACAGTTGCATCTGCCCTTTAGCAAATATTGAGAATTTACTGTGGAATTTTTATTTGCTTTGTTGTTATCTTGCCTAAATAATTGTTCTCTCCCCACCTTCCCTCTATGAGCTGATTTTGCCAGTGGCACATTTCTTATATTGTTTTAAACTTGAAAAAAAACCTCAAGAACTGTAGGGCAATGTGTTGTGTGTTCTGAAAAGCTGTTACAATTTTCAATGTGAGGGACAATACAGGCTGTTTAAATCATTTTATCTGAACTGTAAAAATGTCTGCCTTATATAATTATAATTTTTAAATTGACCCTGAACTTCTCAACAGAAGGATTTGTTTACATGTTATTTATAATATACTATACAGTAATAATTTTATCATTTCAAGCAGTGTAACAGATGATTTACATTCCTTTGTAATTTGTTGGCACTTCACATGGAGGGTAGGGTTCACAAGGGTAGGGTTCATGGGATAATTTTCAATCCCATTATTTGCCCCAACCCCTCAGAATAAATTCTTTCCCCACAGAATCTGGGACTGTTGTTTTACAGTGGATGTTAAAGCTGTCATACTGAAAGTAATTGCAACTGAAATTTAGTGATCACTTTTTCCCTAAACTTTTCCCCTTCATTTTTCATTGTAAATTAGGATTTTACTGTAAAAGAAGTAGCTCTAAGGAAATTTTTGAAGTTACCAAGATAGAGAACACCACTACAAGAACCAACCATGCCTGCAGAAGTAGGGAAAACGGATATGGAGAGGATTGGCCTCTTCAGTGAGATGGAATATATTACTGTTGGTGATAAATATGTGTCACACTATAATCGTAAGTATATTTGGTTTTCTTTACTGCCGAACAGTGGGTATTTTCTATAAGAAATTTTGAATTTAATGTTTAAGTCATATATTTTCAATGGTCTATGTTTTAAAGCATTTAATTCTAAAGTTGATTGCTTTGTAAAATTTCTATAATGAGAGAACTTAATTTTATAAGAGTAGGAAATTCATTTTATTGGGCTACTCTATACCCAATTATTGTCCTCATACAGCAATTTTATTTCTTTCTAAAGGTGAATGGCATTTTTCTCCCAGAATTATTTGCTTTTAGCTTTTTCTTTTTAAATGAGACACTCCACTATGCAGACGGTATTTACATTTGTATCCAAGAAGGCCAACCATTATTAGTTTCCTGAAAAATGAAATGCTAAATGAATGGCAGAGGGATTTTTAGAAAAGTCATAAATAATAAAAAGAGCTAAAGTAAATAAATATTTTACATCTCAGTTATATTTTTGGATATCCAATGACCTTATATAACAATAATAAAGAAAACACTGATTTGTAAAATCTCCAAGATACATTGTTAAATAAAAAGCAAGGTGTATTTGAATAGTGCATATAGTATGCTAAGCATTAACAATCAAAAAGTATATATATGAAAATATTCACTTGAATATGCCTAAACATTCTCTAGAAAACTAAATGTCATTGCTTGTGGAAGAGCAACTGGGTGGCTAAGTATGGAAGACTTATTGTGAAGATGTTTATACTTTTGAATTTGGAACTATTTGAATGTACTATCTTTTCAAAAATTCAGGTTAAAAAAATCCAGTGATACAAATTCACATTTCAATATCCAGTCGAATTAATGGTAGTGTACACTTCAAAAAATTTTTCACATTACTGAAGGACGTCTCAAATAGAGCTCTTCTATAGCTCTCAAACTGTAAAAGAAGTTCTAAATATTTGTGAAAACGGCCTTTAAAAAATTATTGGACTACTAGTATTTCATTCTGTAAATACCAAAAGTTTTTAATCTGTTCTCTTATTGATGGACATTGGGCTGTTTCTTGTTTTTGATCATTATGAATAAAACTGCTGTGAATATTCTTATTCATGTCTTTAGTGGACATAGGCACTCATGTGTCTTGAGTATGTACCTAAGAGGGGAATTGCTTCAATTTGAGTATGAAACACCCTTGTCTTTAACCTATGCACACGCTCTTACTGGTGTGTCATACAAACAGTGTTTCCTGGTACTTAGATGGAGAAATACTGGAGTAGATAACCTTTAGGTTTTCTTCCAACTCTAAAATTAAGAGTGTATAACCAGGACCTTAACCTAAATGTTCAAATGTTTTAATGATAACATCTTAGCCTTTATTGTCAATAAAGCTTTTAACCCAGAGCTTTCAGCGAATGTTTTGAAACAGTAAGTTTTTAAAGCTCAAAAATCATAATTGCCCCAAACCACGTTTGGAAACTTTTCTGTTATTTTCCATGTCCCATTAGTTACTAGTGAGCTCAAAATTGTAATATTCCTAATTTATTTTTAAAGGACCCTTTAATGAGGCTGCAAGCAAAAATAGACAGATGCTACCTGGGGGATCCAAAGGAATGTCAGATCTCCAGGCAGGTTATTTTGATCCCCATTTTGTAAGGATTTTTGAAGGTGAAGGCTACATAAATCTGAATCAAGTGAGGAGACAGTATATGATGGAAGAAGCCAAAAAAAATCTAGCCAAAGCCTTCCTCCCTAGTAGTGGAGAAAAAAAGCCGTAAGTGTTTGGGGAAAAACAAGTCTTGAATAGATTTCTTATACCTTTCTCTATCTCTGATTTATCTCTAAATTAAATGTTTATTTTTCTGTAGGACTGAGATTAATTTTAAGTATGATTTAAGGTTAGTTTGTCTTAGGTGGAGGTAGTTATATTGAATGATTTAGATTGACAGGCAATTTTGATAAAGTATATTATTAAATTAAATTTTGGATTACCTGTGTCACTTTTCTCTATTAGTTTATATAATAAAAGCCAAGTAAATAATAAAAATAATTTGTTTAGAAACTTTGCAAGAGTCAGGTTTGGGAAACAAATTGCCTTGAGTTATCATTTCTGTGCCCTTGATTATTTTTTATGCTTTTACATAGTATAAATAAAAAATGTAAAATCAGGAGAAATACTTTTTTGATAAAGAAAATAATTGATCAGAGAGACATTGTTTAAAAATCATTGTGAAGATACACTTATGTGGTGGTTTAACAATATTTTAGTTGTGACAGTTGTCAATGTGAAGGTTCTTTTTTTCTTAACTTTAAATCATTAGTTTAACAAATAAGACCATGTAGTCTATGTTATATATAGACTATGTTGCTATATAGCAGATATTTAAAATACAATGTTCATTTACATTAAGTAACTTCGACTCTCTCAATTTAGAATTTATGACAGATGAGAATTGATTGAAGTCTAATTTTGTGCTTATTTGTTATACTTTTTGAGACTAATAAAACTACATTTCTATTAATCAGACTTCTAATTCTCATAGGCAGTCTTCTCTTCTCAGCCAAAATTATGCTCCTTATTCAGTGTGAGGGTTTTCTTTTCTTCTTTCATTATAGTTTAATATTTTTCTACCTTTTCATACTTTGGGTAGAGTTGAATTATTTATTTTTATTATTATTAATATTTCTTGGGCTTATTTATTTTCTTAGATATAAATTTAAAAATGTAGATTTTTCTGACACTACTTCATTTCTTTTTATGTATTATATGTATTTTACCCTTTATATAACTTATTCCTATTTTTCAGACTTCCCCCTCCCACCAACTCCCCCCCAACCTTGGCCTGTGATGAACTTTGACCTATGCGGTAATACTTGAGAATTGCTGCCCTGATAACATTGGTTTATAATATTCATATATTCATATGGCAGCTAAGAAATAACAGTTTTATAATTAGACTAGCTTTTCTTTCTTTTAAAAACTCAGATATGTGAAAAATACCTGTAATTTAGTGGAGTACAGAAAATGTTTTCAAAAGGAGACATTGGTGATATAAATAAGAAGCCTTCCTATAGGCATTTATTCAACATCAAGTTATAGAACCATAGGCATTTAATAAATGCCAAATGTAGTGACATTTACTGCTTGCATTAAATCACATTCTAGTTAAATTATGCCTGTGCACAGTTGTTCTTTTCTTTGCATTATCATTGTTTTATTTTCTTATTGTCGTTATTATTGGAATTTTATGATATATGTTCATAAAGAGGGATTAATAAAAATGAATATCCTCTTCTACCATTTGTAGGCTGGAGATAATTAATTGATGTTGATGTCTTTCTAGTTTTTGAAAATTTTAACTTATGTATAAACAGTGTCAAGTTTTTATAGTAGGGTGTCATTTGTTTTGTAGATCATTTTCTTATTATTAAAACTTATTTACTTCAGTGATAACTTAGAAATTAAAAACTATGCCTGTTACTCACATTAGGTATCTTTTTTATTAAAGTACCAGATAGTAGTTTATTGATTATATAGATAATGTGTGCCCAGAAAATTTAACATTAAAGTTGAAGAAAAGATGCCAGACGCAGTGGCCGGCGCCTGTAGTCCCAGCTCCTTGGGAGGCTGGGGCAGGAGGAGGATCGCTTGAGTCCAGGAGTTCTGGGCTGTAGTGTGCTATGCCAGTCGCCTGTCCGCACTAAGTTCGGGATCAATATGGTGACCTCCCTGGGCCGGGGACCACCAGGTTGCCTAAGGAGGGGTGAACTGGCCCAGGTTGGAAATGGAGCAGGTCAAAACTCCTGTGCTGATGAGTAGTGGGATCACGCCTGTGAATAGCCACTGCACTCCAGCCTGGGCAACATAGCAAGACCCTGTCTCTTGGGGGAAAAAAACTATATATATATATATATAATTATATATTATATATAAATAAAGTTGAAGAAAATAATATGTTTAGTTAACTTTTTTCTACAGTAAAGTAATAAGGTATATACCAAAAAGAAGAAAATGAGCACCCATATTCTATGAGATTCACTTTCCCATTAGCAGTGGAAACAATAGTTTAAAATATATGTTTTGAATGTGTAGTTTCTAGTGAGTAGATGGTCAGAAGAAATTAGCCATTTATTACCATAAAGTGCCCAGAAATTCACCTAAAAACAAGTCTGTTTATTGTTAGAGTCAACTGAATTAATGGGAAGTATTATAACTTCCTAAAGAATATAAAGTCCTTGGCTGTGAAGGGTTGAAGAAATAAAAAAAAAAAGGGGGGGGGGGAAGAATCTAAAGTCCTGTTTGTAGAACATTTAAAATAAGCGTAAGAGGCGGGCGGAGCTGCTCCGGCAGGTGGCGCTGCACCGGCCGAGGCCCTGCCCCTCCGCCGCCGCCGCAGCTGAGGAGATCAAAGTGGAAGCCGAGGAAGAAGAATCTGAGGAGTCCCATGATGACATGGGATTTGGTCTTTTTTACTAAATCTCTTTTATAACATGTTCGATAAAAAGCTGAACTCTAAAAAAATAAATAAATAAAATAAGCATAAAATTATTAAAAACATATGAGGAAAACAAAATTAAAAACTAATAAAAATTTTTTTCTTACTGAAATCAAGTCAATTCTGTCGCATAACATTTTCTCCTTTTTTCATCTTTTAAAAAATTATTGTAAAATATATGCAACATGAAATTTCCCATTTTAACCTCCTTTTTAAGTTAAAGAACTTAAAAAATATTGTATTTAAGCTGTGGATTCGGAACCTACTATGGAACCATAGGTGGTCCGGTCCCATTCTTCAGTGCTGAGTCAAAGCCCAGAGACAAGTATAAGCCACCTGGAAAGAATTTATATACAAGCCCAGGAAAGAAAGGAACTGGATATGGGTAAGCTTTTTAATATTTACGTATCATTTGTTTTGAATTTTAAAAATTAAGTTAAAAATTTCTAAACCTCGAAGTCACCACTACTTATTTTCCTTCCTTAGCTATGCAAATATTACCATAGGTAAACAGTTTTCACACTCTGCTGATTTCTATGATGCATCAAAAGTAAATTTCAAGGTAAAAGAATCTATTTTGAATTTTTCAAACTTTCTCTTATTTGGGTTAACCCTGAGAATTCACTTATGCTTTAGTTTTGTTTTATTCTATTTCTATCACCTCGGGCAATGGCAGACTGGTTGTGATCATATGGTTGTGATCATTTTACCTTAGATTTCCACGTCTTGCTGTAGTAGATCCTCTTAGCTCCCTCTAGGATGAATTTTATTCGCTACTTGGTTTACCACACCTGTTTTACATCTCTCTAAACTTGCTGTGAGACTTAACTTGGCCTGATCAACTATGCTCTATTTTAAGAGTCATATCCTAACTCTTAGTGATATTTCCACCACTCTTTAATATTTTGTGCCTAAGAAGGCAATGGTAATACTTTGGGGCTGATCAAAAAACCATTATGGTGAGCCGATGGAGGAGTGGTAGGCTGATGGGAAAAAGTAAAGGTCAGAGGATGGATGAATTCTTATGGGAGAGAGAGTGAAAGGAAGGAAGAAAACTGCTCACTTCATTCAATGGCAGAAATAAAAACTAAAATATACTGGCATATGTCTCTTACACTCACTGTATACTGTATTTGACTTATAATGAAACTGTGGGGAATGTCTACACTTGAGTACATAGAGGAACTTTATACATTTTAGAACAATATCAACATAATGTAACAATATCAACATAACTTAAAGAAAGCCGGTAGTAATGAGAAGTCAAGTTAGTTTGGACTTTAAGCAACAGAAATTAAATGGCAATCACTTTATTCGTTTTTGTTTTTGTAAATATATAGGCTTCAACAATTTTGCTGTGCTGATTTTAAATGGCAGTGGGAATGTAAGATAGAATAGTAGCCAATTTTGAAAATGAGCATGTCCAAACCCAGGAAGTTTTTTGTTAAATTGGGCAGAAACCTTGGTCATTTGAAAATAAGCAGCTTTGTTTCTATATATGAATTATGCAGTTTATATATAATCATATATAAACTACTTCTCATGTATAGGAATAATAATGCATACATATTACATGCATACAATGTAATTTTACCAATGGCTCAGTAATTAGTATTTCATCCTAATCCTTATGGGTATAAGATACTTTTTTCTCTTTACACTAAAGTTCTTTTATTCTCATTTTCAGAACTTATTATACATGAGTCAGAAATTTTATGTTCCTGGATTTCCTAAAATTAATTCTAAAACTAATTTTGAAAAATGTATCTTGCTTTTCCTTTTAGTATTTTCAAAAGGTTACTCCACTGTCTTCTTGCTTGAATTCTTTCTGATGGGAAGTCTGCTATAATACTAATTTTTGTTCTTCTGTATGTAATGTGTCATTTTCTCTGGCTACTTAAAAGGTTTTATTTTTATCACTGATTTGATTACCATGTGCCTTTGGGTTGTTTTCCTTCATGCTTCTTGTGCTTGGGGTTTATTGAGCTTCTTGGATCTTTGAGGTTATGGTTTTATCAAATTTGGAATATTTCAAGCCATTATTCAGATTTTAAAAAATCTCTCCTTTTTCCTCTTCTCCTTCAGAGGTCCCAATTACATGTGTATTAGGTCTCTTGTAATTGTCACACAACTTACTGATTCCCTATTCACTTTTTGAAAATTCTTTTTCTTCTCTGTATGTCACTTGGGATAGTTTCTACTATTGCTGTGTCTTCCAGGTCACTAAATTATTCTTCTGTAATACTCATCATAGCTCACTGCATTCTCAAACTCTTGGACTGAATCAGTCCTCTTGCTTCAGCCTCCCAAGTAGCTGGGACTACAGGTATGTGCCACCATAACTGGCTAATTCTTAAATTTTTTGTAGAGACGGGGGTCTCACTCTGTTGCTCAGGCTGGGCTCGAACTTGAATGCTTATTATTTTAATGTCCTCTGCTAATGCTAACATCAGTATCAGTTCTTGGTTGATTTCAAATAATTGAATTTTCATATTAGTATGGAGGTCATATTTTCCTACTTTGAATTACTGGTAATTTTTTATTGGATGTCAGGTACTGGGAATTTTGTTGAGTGCTGTATGTTTTTGTATTCTTAAATATTCTTGGGCTTTGTTCTGGAATGCAGTTAAATTACTTAGAAATGGTTCGATCTTTTCAGATCTTGCATTTAAAATTTGTTAGCTGTGACAGGAGCAGTGCTGATTAGGGCTAATTATTACCCACCACTGAGGCAAGATCTTTCTGGATACTCTACCCCATGCTATATTAATCATTGAATTTTCTAGCATAGCTGATGGGCAGCAGCACTATTCCCAGTTCTGTCTGAGAGCCAGACACTGTTACTTTTAATTCTTTCAGGTAGTTCTTTTCTCGGCTTTGAGTAGTTTTCTCACACATGTGCTGATCAGTACCCAACTAAATATTCTAGGGCAGGGGTTACTAAAACAAATACAATATTCTTCTGGTAAAAGGTGACTGTGCTTTGGTAAAAAGTGATCCTTCAAACATTGCCTTAGAATAACATGCATCAGAATCACCTGGGGTGACTGTTAAACCTGCAGATTAGTGAGCTATGCAGCAGACCAGTGCAATCAGAAATCTTTGAGGGAAAAGCTTGGTAATTTCTAATTTAAGTAAATTATCAAGTGAGTCTCATGAGGCCGGGCGCGGTGGCTCACGCCTGTAATCCTAGCACTCTGGGAGGCTGAGGCAGGTGGATTGCTCGAGGTCAGGAGTTCGAAACCAGCCTGAACAAGAGCGAGACCCCGTCTCTACTATAAATAGAAAGAAAATTAATTGGCCAACTAATACATACAGAAAAAATTAGCCGGGAATGGTGGTGCATGCCTGTAGTCCCAGCTACTCAGGAGGCTGAGGCAGGAGGATCGCTTGAGCCTAGGAGTCTGAGGTTGCTGTGAGCTAGGCTGCTGCCATGGCACTTACTCTAGCCTGGGTAACAAAGTGAGACTCTGTCTCAAAAAAAAAAAAAAAAAGTGAGTCTCATGAAAACTAAATTTTGAGCAATACTTCCCAAAAGGACAGATAGGATAAATTTTAAGTACTGTTGTGATGTGGAAAAGAGGAGAGCAGATTGCCAAGAATGGATGAAAGTCCTGTAAGGCTGGAGAAAGGAAGAGGAAAAGCAAAATCAGGAGAAAAATCTGAAAGGAGTAGAGAATTCTGAAAGTGCTGTAGCAGGGTTCCTAGTAGTAAAAATTAGTCTTCTCTCAAATACCTATCTATTTTAGATTTCATTTATCAAGTGTTTTCAGTTCAGTTGTTGAATGATGAAATATCAGATTTTATATTTGCAAAAAGTGAAAAAATGTATCAGTATTTATTTTATAGTTGTCTTTTTAAATCTATATTTAATAACATGCATTTTAGTCTACTTTATTAAGAGTTAATGATTTTTATACTTACTATTGTCCCATAATTTATGCTATGTAATTTCAAACTCTTTAATTTACAGAGAGAGATTGAAGAACATCATCGTTTAGTTAAAGGCACACCTTTCAAGTTAAATCTTTACCCAAGGGAATATTTTGACACGAATCCTTATTTTTTTGAGAAACCTTTACCACCAATTAAAAAAGAAGAGAAAAAAGCATTAGTTCCAAGCCCTTTTAAACCCTCTTCTCCTGGTAAAAAGGTAAGTTAGAAATTTTAGAATGGAAAACATTAAGCATTATAAAATAAAGAAATGCTGCCTCTTGCTATCAAATGATTTTATTAACTATATAAATAATGAACTTTTGCTTTTATGGATACCAAGAATCATGAATTCCATTTTTACAAGATTATGTAAAATCACCACACATGGCTAGTGTAGGAAATAATGAAACTCTTGTGATGAAATAATTATTTTTTTCAGATGTATTTGAATTTACAATGAATTTTTTTATGTATTAATACCTCTCTAGGTCCAGGGCCTAGTTTTTCTTAAAACTATAAGAAGCCAAATCATCTTATAGTTTTTGAAATGGTGATTAAAATTAACTATCTCCCTATTGCAGAAGTTTACAAGTGAGAATAAAAATAAAACGCTCTGACGGTTTATAAACCTTAGTTTATGCTTTGGGCTTTTTTTTTTTTTTAATTTCTGTGAATTGCCTGTGCATCTTCTTTACGTACTTTGTATTAGGATATTTGTGTTTCTCATATTGACTTGTAAGATCATTTCATATATTAAGGATACTGTTCTTTTGTCATTTGTGTTGAAAATAATTTTTCTAGTCTGTTGGGTCCTTGACATTAGTTATATTTCGAGCTGTTCAGGAATTTAGCAATTTGATGTAGTCAAATTTATCAATCCTTTGTGGTAAGGTTTATGTCATTTTCAGACTGGCCTTCTTTTCCACCAGTATTAGAATAATGTACCTTCTTGGTTTCTTTTATTAGTCTTATCCTTTTTCATTTAAATACTGAATTGCATTTTGATGTAAAGAAGAAGGTAAGGATCCAGCTTTTATCTTTTTCAAAATCCAGTTTTGGGGGGATGAGGATACTTTGGATGATAATGGAAGTTTCTGTGTCTTGATTGTGGTGATGGTTTCAAGGGTGTATACATCCGTCAAAACTCATACATTGTACACTTTACATGGGTATAGTTTATTTTATATAAATTAGATTTCAGTAAATTTGATTTTTAAAAAAGCACATTGTTTCTAATCTCACTGATGGAATAATTCATTTTTCAATACCAGTACTTTGAAATGCCATCTTTATCAAATCAAAATTCTCATTTTAATAGACTATAAGAGAAGTATAAAGTAAATCACATTTTCCTTTCACTTCCATTTCTGTGTGCTATTGCTAATTTTTTTAAAAAAATATCTTTCCTGCCATTGACTGGTGCTTAGTAAACTCATGTTGTGCCAGGCTCCTTGTTCCTGTGCCCTTATCAAAATGTATCTGACCTAGGTCTCATTCCCTCAGTAATAGGCTCATTCCCCTAACTAGGTCATAGCCTGATCTGGTAAACTCTCACTAAAATATCACTGCTTGGCAATAGTTTAGAATATCACCTTACTATAAACATTTTCATTTTCATAGAGAAAATTTGAAATTAGTGTTTGACCCTATAGAATTGGTAGTAGAGTAAACCTTTGCTAGTATTTGAATTAAACAGTATAAGCAACTTTCTGTGAATGTAAAACTGACTCCATAGACTACAAAAATATGTATGAACTTTTTCACAACCTAATTTGTAGAAGCCTTTTACAAAACTACATTAAATTGTCTCATTTTTATTTGTAGCCTGGTGGAATGAAGGCAGGAACATTTGACCCTTACCCATCACATTCTGCTGACCCTTATATGACTAAATTGTCAAAGAGTACCAAGAAAGATATTAAGATTTTCCATCCACCAAGTGGACCAAAAAGCAGACCAATTGAAAGTATAATCACTTTGAACGTCAAAAGGTAGGAATATCTTACATTTAGCCTGTAAATTGAGAAAAAATTGTTTTCAGGTTTTGGTCTTCAAAATTATGTCTTTTATTTATACATACTTTTAAAAAGCCGATTTTAGAAATCTTGGCTCCTTCCATGTACCTGTCTTCTCTTTGGGAAGTTCTTTTTCATCTTCTGAAAATCTCAATTGAAAAGGTTTAATTTATCCTTATGCAACTATCCTGCCCATAATTTTAAAAGTTAATCTATTAGTACCTTATTATGAGTCATTTGAAACTACTTGGATATTAATATTTGTAGTTAGCAGTATATGTTAATATTGGCTATTTCTCGGAACCCATACTATTAAGTGAAGTTTCCCAAGAATGGAAAAACAAGCACCACATATACTCACCAGCAAATTGGTATTAACTGAACAGCACCTAAGTGGTCACATAGTTACTACAGTAATAGGGTATTGGGCAGGTGGGAGGGGGGAGGGGGGCGGGTATATACATATATAATTAGTGAGATGTGCACCATCTGGGGGATGGTCATGCTGGAGACTCAGACTTGTGGGGGGAGGGGGGAAATGGGCATTTATTGAAACCTTAAAATCTGTACCCCCATAATATGCCGAAATAAAAAAAAAATATATTGGCTATTTCTCAAAGGGAGTTTCTCAGCAATTGTAAGGAATCCTAATGATGCTTGAGGGTTCTGTCCTTAACTTTGAAATAATCTTCTGTGAAAACAGGAAATATTCTTGTTAGTTAAAAATAATAACATCACTTATAATGCTTTGAGAAAAAGTATATGTGTATTACCAAAGTATCTTAAAACTTCTATTTTACCCATGTTTTGAACACTTTCAAAATTTAAAATGTTCTTTGGAGTTTAGAATACAAATTATAGAAAAACAATCAGTCATTCTGTGTGTGTGTGTGTGTGCAGGATCATGAAAAAGTGAAAGAATCCATTTAATTACTTTTCTATCCCTTGAAAAGGTTTTAATGCCATTTAAATAAGCCTACATATTTCTGTGATGTATTCATACAATGAATTAAGTAAAGGACACCAAATTTACATTCTTTTCTTTTATAAAACAGTAGCACATCTTTAACATTTGGAGATAGATTATAATAACATTATTATATCATGAAAATAAGACTGCCTTTCTTTGCAAAAGTGTATTTCTGTCTCACTGCCCATTAACTTTTTTATAACAACATATTTACCAACAGAACTAACCAGCTAAAGACAAATTATTTAAAATTTTTACGAATAAATTTAAAAATACTAGTGTATTTGTTAACCTTTACCTAATCAGGAATATAATTTTGAACACATGACTTCTTTTGGAAAAAAAGACTTCATAAAAAGTTGATACTGTCTTAAAACTTTGATAATTTGGAGCAGTCTAACCTACGTGATGGTGATACTAAAATCATTACTCTTGTTACTCATGAGACTATTGAGAAGATTCAGTGGTCCACCGATACTTAACAGTGGCTTTTTTACATTTTATTCTCTCAGCATCCATCCAGAATTTCAATAGGTATCAACTTTTCTGACTACAGTATTTTAATCCATTCAGCCAGTTGTTTAGATTAAAAATACAAGTCTTTGAGCATCTTAACCTTTATATCGTTCAGGGATTTATCTAGCACTCAATTTTGTGTTGAGAGTTCTCAAGATTAGAAACATGATTTTAAATAGGGAAAACTTAAAATCTTATATAGTTTTTTACTTTAGACATGAATATTTACAAAATGAATGCGTGTAAGCCCACTTTTTTGTGACATGATTACTGTATTTTATGTACTTTAAGATGTATTTTCTTCTAAAAAAATTGAAATTGTATTTTTCTGGTCTCACAGGGGTGTTAGCTTTAAACACCATCTATTTTCAAACATTTGATATACAGAACTGAAGGCCCCTTGTAATGTGACTGTAGCTACTTTCATGTTGTCTTTGTCCATATTATTTTCATATATCCTTTTCTTCAGCCTCATGAAATATATATAGCATTTTTTACCCCCTGCTATGTTGCTACTGTTTATTCATTCTACTTTCTATCTGCTTTCTATCATCTCTTCTGTAACATCTACTGAGATCCTCAGATGGAGCTTCTACTAAACTTTTCTCTATATAACCTATCTTTTATGTGTTATAGTCATAACACATTATACCTTGTGTTATAGTTATTTTGTACATGTAACTGTGTTTTTTATATTTTTCAAAACACCTCAATTTTCCCCAAGCAGCAAGTGTGTGCTATATAAAGTTATTTCTTGAGCATTTGTATGTGTCAATAGTGTTAACTACAGAATGCTGTGTATATTTCTATTGCCTCTAATACTATCTATGACATCTGTATTAAATCATGTGTGCATCTTATTAGGAGTATTGGAACCAATGTCTTCCCCATAAATTCAATTTCATTAATGTATTAATGTATATTATTAATAGTATCATGACAACTAACTGGAAGCACAGTACATTCAAATTTTATGTAAAATAAAATAACCACTCCCCCAAATTCCAATATAAAATACTTTGACAAAAGCTCTAAATAGCTATGATACCATCAAATTGTAAATAGAAGTTAAACTATGCAATTAATACAAAATCACTGACGTATGAGGTGCTATTATAAGTGAGGTAATATAGGTGAAAGGAATAGTTCTTATTAGATGCAATAATTAGCTAATTCAAGCTTTCTGAGCCTACCATGTGTTTGCTGATACTTTATATGAGTTTGAATGAACAAATTTTAGAAATATAATTTGAATGATGGCTTAACTCACATGGGTTTTAATAAGCTAACATAGATGATGATGATAACTGATATTTTGCATATTTTATCTACTCTTCGTAGCACTTGGGTGACAAGTTTGTGGAATAAGTAAAGAAATTGATTTTGACCTAGCAAAATTCAAATTTTCTAAGAGAATCAATAAAAACTGATTATCACTGAGTTTCTTTTTATGGCCAAATGATCCTATAGAGTATTGGACTTAGAGACAGGAAGATATGGAGCTTTTCTTCTATATGTCCTTTGACTTTTAACCTTTGGCAAGCCACATATCAGTACTCTGACCAACTTTACCTAATAGACAATAAAATTAGAATTTTCCTCAACACATCCACCCTCAGTTAGATGGAATTTTATGTTTGGGATAATATTTCAGGTTTTCTCTGTGCTCTTTTCTATCCAGAGAACCTGAGAAATTTCTGTGATGCCACAGAATGTATGTTTGAAGTAGGAAAAAGAGAAGAGTAATTGGTGTTATTTTAGTAATCTTGAATTTATTGAAATTTCTTTCTTTTTATGTTATCACAAACAATATCCTAAATCATGTTTTCTTTTACTCTAATTTTAAGACTAATAAACCTTTGGACAGTAGTATTTACAGTTGGTTTCATAGTTGTTTTCCTTCTGAAATTAAGTTTTCTAAGTATATCTGACTTTAATAAAGAGAAATTGTTTAAGTTTGTGAGAAAATTTTGGTTTTGGATTATTAATATGTTATAAAATATATTACTTTAAAATTTTTTAAGGCAAAAAAGTTTTTATAAGAATGTAGATATATTACCTGTACCTATAAAATTAAATGTGCATTTATTTTCCAATTTTAGGGCATTAAATATGAAGAACTACAAGACTGCCTCAGTACAGTCTATTAACAACTGGGAGACAAGTGGCTAATTAGATCCTGACTACCAGCAATTTATTATCAAGAGCTAATTATTTGAAAAAATGTAAGATATTGTGGGCCAGATAGCTCAAGCATTTAAAAGAAATTTAAACCTGCAACTCTAATACCCTTCCTTATTGTATTACTACTACTTAATCAATAAATAGTATTTCCTAATAATTTAATATGTGATTGCTAATCTGTGTTTTTAGATCTATATTTCTGAGCAGAATATAATTTTTTAGAGATTTTATGAAGTATATCATTTGAAAGCTTTTACTCCTAATGTTAAAAGAATTGCAGAGTTGGAGGGTAGGGCTGTGAGGGAGGTGGGGGCTGGAAGGGTAGGAAGTATATAGTAAATTCTTAACTTGCTCTTTCTTCTCAGAGGTGTTGAAAACTGGATTGACAGCTATCCAAGTGTCATAGCCTATTTTGCATTCTTAACATCAAGGATAAATATTAGATGCATTTATAGTGCATAGGTTCATGTATATGCACACTATATAGTGAGGCAAATGCTTCAGCTTATGTGGTGTCAGGCCTCCTACTTACAGTTTATGTAAAACATCAGATTATTCAGCCAATGGCAGAATGTGTTGGGTGAAGGAGGCGAGTATCTTATAAAAATTACAAAGATGCAAGATAGATGAGGTTCCTCGTTGGTATCCTCTCATGCTCCTCTCTAGCTGTGCAAAGCTGCCTCTCCTGAAGCATGCCCCCTAAGTCCTACCCTCTAGTTTGCCATATTAACAGATTAAAGGAGAAAAAGCACATGATCACTTCAATAAATGTGGAGAAAGCACTGGACAAAATTAAATAAGGAAGTATGTAGAAAGCAGTCTTGGAAGATATAGCATCTCTGTCTGCAGCAAAGGACAGGTTTGTTTACAGCCTTGGAGGTAGAGATAGTGTCTCCTCTGGAGCCAGGGTAGATGTGCTCTTGCTGTACAGTATAATAAAGATAATGTTTCCCATCTACAGCAAAGGGCAGGCATGCTTATTACACATTATAAAAGATTTGAGTTCTCTGAACTTCTTTGCTTTCAACCCACTAAGTAGCCCTCTTCATATTGCCTGTAGAAATTGGGACATGGAGTACTGATGCAAAAATGCTGATACTCTGGCTATTGCTTTTGTTGTAACAAACTGTCCTTTATCTCTGACCCAGGAGTTTCATGTCTTCTACTAGAATCCATGAAATTGTGACAAGCCAACATTATTAGCTCACTAGTTGAGTAAAATCTCAAATTCTTCACAGTTCTTGATAACACAAAAATATATACTAAATCTAATTTCTAATTTTAAAAACAGCCTACTCTAATATTAATAAATTACAAGGTAAATGTAATCCTAGGTGAATTTAAAATTATTTTATGAGGAAAAAAGTACTTGGACAAAGGTTTTTGAAACATTGATTTCAGAAATTTATTTACATATCTTGGAGGGAAACAATTGATACAGTTTACTTGGAATTCCTGGAAAAAGAAAATAATTTTTTTTAAGGTGGAGTGCTAATTATACTTCAGAATGATAATAATTAAAATCTTCCTGCCAAAGTTGCTTTGTGCATATACAATGTAAATAAGTAATATAAATAAAATAATATACATTTCATCTAAAGAAAAATATTCCTGACTAATTCCAATATATAATAAATTGGATACAAATCTTACAAAACTAAATTGTATTCATCTTAGAGTTTTCTTCTTATTTATGTACTCTGGCTAGTGCCCAACAGGCTAAAAGAATCTTAAACACATCTCTAGTAGTCTACCACAACATACATACCTTTCAAATCAGGAGCTAATGGCCTACTCCTAGGACTGGAAGTGTTGTCATAAGTATCATAGTTGTCAAAATGGAATTTCTCTCTTCTGGAAATGTAAGCTGTTTTTGATAGATCATTATGCTGACTACAAATTTTATCACTTAAACTTGAATATTCTCGTTGAAGATTCCGCATCTCAAATTCCAAGTTGTCCCTTTCATTTTCTATACTTCTTACATAGTTTTCCAAAAGTATTTTGTCTTCAGTAAGTCTACTGATGCTGTTTTCAAATTTCATATTTTCTTGACTATTTTTCTTTAGTTCTTCTTTTAGAATCTCATTATCTGTTTTAATTTCCATTACCATTTTTGATAACATTTCACATTCCTCGCTGATTTCTGACAAGCTATTCTTATAAATACTTGCTTCTGATTTTGCATTTTTTATTTCTTTCAGAAAATTCTCTTCTGCAGTAGATTGGTAGGTTTGGATAGTCTCAATTTCTCTTTCCATCATTTGTCTAGCAGCAGTAGATTCTTGTAATGTTGTTTCAAGATTAAGTTTTTCATTTTTAACTGTTTCTATTATTTGAAGAAGTGTCTCTTGTTCAGTTTTTGCTAGTCTTTCTTTCTCTTTTAGCTGTATTATCTCTAACTGATTTTCTTTTAGTTCATTTTCATGTGAGCTTTTTTCCATTAGAAGCTGGTATGTTTTTTTCTCCAACATTTGTTTTTCATCTTGAATCAACAGAATATTTGTTTTTATTGCTTCCATTTCTATATTCATTCGATTATTTTCATTACTGACAACAGCCATATCATTTTGAGTTTTGTGTTCCTTACTTTTTAGTTGATCTAATGCTTCTATCATTTGTTGTTTCTCCAAAGAGAGTTGGCTATTTTTTTCCTCTAGAGTTTTATTTTGGCTTTGGAGAACATTATATTTACTGATTATTTTTTTTAATTCTTTAAGACACTCCTTGCCTTCTTCTTCTGTTTTAATTAAATTAGACTGAATAATGCTCTTTTCTTCTATCAGATTCTTAAGTTGTTTTTCATATGTTTCAATTTTCTGTATCAGAGATTGTGTGGTAAAGACAAGAGGTTTTATTTTGGTCTTAAGGTCTAAATTTTCATTCTCCAGTTCTATTACTTTTTCCTGTATCTGCATAGATTCTTTTAGGTAATTCTGTAAGTATTGAATTTTTGCAACACACTGCTCAGTAACAGAATTGACTTTGGATGTTTTCTGATTTTCAAATATTATTGTTCCTTGTTTTGTTATAAATGGTTGCCTTTCTTGGTCTTTCATGTCATATTTTGTTGGGTCAAGGAATGACAGTGTATATCTTGGTACCCTGGAATGGAATTTTAAATCTGTAATACTCTTGCCTGTGATGGGAATTTCCTTATTGTTTTTCTCATTCTTCTTTCCCCTGTGTATTTCACTCTTAGATAACTTTCTACATTTTCTACAAAAATTCACATGGATTTTTGACACAGTTTCCCTGAATGGAAGTAATTTGTTTACTAATGCCTCTAATTCTGAAATCCTCTTTGATTTTATATCTTCATTTAAGTTACCTTCTGTGTTTTCTTCCTTAATAAAGTTAGTTTTTTCCTTCTGAATAGGGGGAAGGTCATATTTACCATTCCTTTGAATATTTGTATCAGTTTTTAAAGCTTGAAGTTCATTTGTAAGTGCCATTTCCCTCTCATGTGACTTTTGAAGCTCTTCCTTCATTTGTTTGATAGAGTAGCAAATATCATCCAAATTTTCACAAAATCCATGCTTGACAACAGGCACAGTAATTTTGGATTTATCCAGAATTACTGTATCAGCTTGAGACATCACATTTTGAGGGGCAGTAGGTAGAAAATTATGAAGGTTATTATAATTTTTCAACATTTCAGAATTTTCTGAAGGGTTCACAATTACATTTAAAGATGAATTATCTGTTGAATTTCTCAGAGTTAATATGCCATTGAAATGGGTCTGGGATGGAATATTTACATTTTGAGGAAGACTGTTAAAATTATCACTAATGAATTTTTCTTCCACTGAATGAAGAGTCCTAGAATCTTCAAAATGATGCATTTTCTCCATAGAGAGGATTCCTGCTTGATTCTCTATAGGCTAGTAACAATAAAAAGAGGGCTATAAATGTACTGTCATTTGCCACATAGCCAAGAAATTAAGATAATATTTTGTGGAGTATTTATTTATACAACCAAAACAAGCATTTTATTCATTTCTACAGGAAAAAAAAAAAGCCCATCGAGTATGATTCATTTTCTCCAGAAACTCTGGTCTTCACAATTTCCTTAGAATTTGCACTTACTTCCTTAGGGGGTGAGATACATAGGCCAAACCCACAATTTCAGAAACAGAAATTTAACATCCTTCAAGAGACCACCATAGATAGGTGGGGAAGATGGGAGCAATAGGTCAAATGGGAGTTTAAGGAATGAATATTTCCACTGCAAGGCTATCTGTCAACCTTAGCTTGTATTCCTAGTTTTGGGTGATTTTAGGTGTGTGACTGTCCTGTAAATGTGAATCAGTGTGGACACAGTGATGGTAACTCTGCTTTGGAGTGTTCCAGGGAATTCACCCCTGTCTAGGTCAATCCTAAGTGAATATATAGGCTATAAACACTGCCTTGTATTTGAATTTACTAGGGAATTTTTTTATATCTAGACTAAGTCAAATGTCCCTCACAAACTCTCTTAAGTAAAATGGGGAAATTGTGGAAGTACAGAGGTAAACGCACATCTTTTAAGGTTTTCAAGACAGGAATTTCCTTATTTTCATCTCTGATGGTCCATTCTTCCTGTAAAGAAGGGGAGAATGTAATGGTGAAGGTAAACTGGTGATAGTCACATTTTTTAAGTACCTACATATAGAAATGATTTGTATAGAATAACATACCAAATCCTTTTCAATGCGTGAGCTGAATACTAGATTTTTGTCTGAGCTACATTGAGGGTTTTCTACTTCAATAATACTTTTGTTCAATATTTCACTGATTTCAGATTGTACCTTTAAAAGATAAATTGAGAATGTTAGAATTTGATTTCATATTTGTAAACTTATGAGTGTATGGGAATAATAAATATTATAATTAAAAGATACCTTTAAATTTTCTGCCCATAAAAATTCTTTCCCATCATATAGAATATAAATTAAATTTACTTAATTTATTATAATCTCTATCATAAAGGAATCTTTAAGAAATTATGCCTTTACTATATGATTATAAAATCAGAAAAACTTAGTAAAACAATAAAAATCTATGAACTATATTCAAGTAATTTTAGATGTTTGACTTTTACACTGTAGAATAAATGAGACCTTTCATCCATGTTATCAGAATGGAGTCTATTCGGTCACCCTCAGGAGGAGTTCATCTTCTCTTCCCACTTCTCTTCAGGTGCTTTTAGTATATGAACATTAGGATGAAGTTTCTATTGGGTCTTTAGTGAACATGTATGTGTTATACATGCCCGATATCCATGCCCTGGCCTTTTGTTTACACCACTCCTTATTTCTTCTGCATGAAGCCCACGTGCCTTTGGTGATACTGATTCTACCTCTAGCTCCTAGGGCGGGTGTGTGGCTCAGAGCTAACCAGTCAGAGAACAGCATCTGTCTGGACAGCGATTGGTTCAAGTATTGCATGGGACCGAATCTGGGGCAGTCCGAATCAGGCCCAGAACCTTAGTATTATAGCAACATTAAGAGCAAAGTGTGCTCTCTTTTCTGACTTGAATCTTGAAGGTTAAAGGACCGGAGCTATAAGCAGATCTTTTGCCATCATAAGGAATCCAAGAACCCACTACCTTGGAAAGTGGAATCAATAGACAGAGCGAGACTTGTTCCTGGTGCCACGAGTCCTGACCACAGGGATTAAGCTGTCCTGAAGTGAGCTATCTCCAGGACTTCCAGTTACTTGAACTATTAAAGTGTAATTTTTTTTTCACTGAACCAGTTTGAATTAGATTTTATATCACTTGTAATGACAGGCCCTATTTGTAGACTATCCCTAGGTAGCACTTTAAATGTGTATTTTAAAAAATTAGTGAGTGCTATTTCTTTTTGGCTCATAATCAAATATAAGTTTAACACAGAGAAGAATGTAGTTTCCTTAAAACAAATTTTGAGCCTAGAATATGTTGTGGCCTCTATTATATTAAATTCTGTATCAGTGGATCAAGGGGCTGGCGATCATCAGCTTGGAAGATACAATGGTACTTTCAGTTTAGATATTTCGTATATAGAGATGAACAGAAACATACCATGCTAACATTCTGCAAAGTCTGCATTCGCAGAGCCTGAAAGGATTCCAGCTGATGCTGAAGGACCTATAACAACATCAAACAAAGTATGAAATGGAATACTTTTAGGTAGGTGAACATATTTTTGAATTGTTACAGTTTTTTTTATATCCCCTAAAGTTGCCTATTACCAGAAAGGATCCCACGAGGGTCAGGTGTCTCACATCCTTAGTCATTTTTGGTAACTCTCCAACACACTCTCATGAGGAGTTTTGGAGGATAAAGTGGAAGAACCCATACACATGTAGGACGTATTTATTCTGAAAAAGATCAGCCTTTACACAAGATTTTGGAGATAATAAAATGAAATATACTCACTTTCAGTGCCGATTGTGGTTGGATTTGATTTTCTGATTCTGATGTGCAGCCATGTTCTAAGAAGCGAAATTGAAAAAAAAAAACACATGATTTAATTCTCAAATTTTAATTTTAAACAGCTGTAATAGAAAACAGTCTCCCAACTCTCTTGGAGAGTGAGACAGAGAGATAATGAGAACATTTGATATTCCCACTATGCTACTCACATAAAAGTTTAGGAAATAATTCTCCCTTGACTTAAAATACCCACTTGAGGTTGTAATAATGTCTTTACTTTTGTAGTAAGCCATTAATTTGCAGCGCCAAACTTGGAACTCAAAAACTCAAATATCTTTGTTTCTGGGATACAAACTACATTCTTTTTTTTTTTTTTTCTAAAAAACAAACAAACAAATAATCCTCATGTTACAGGGGACCCTTGGCAAAGTATTGTATAGGACTCAATGTCTATGAAATTTCCATGTGATGGTTTTTTCCCTTACGGAAAACAAGTTGGATTGATAGCATAATTTTTGTCTTGTTCTTTAGCAAAATACCATAAAGATCCATGTGTTCCTTCCCTTGGGAAAGGCAGTCTCATGTGCACAGTCTTTGGATTGCCTCTTGGCATTATATATATATATTTATCTTCCACATCTGCTCCCCGATTTTCATGATATTTGCCTTGGGCCTGGAACACTTCTTTACCAAGAGAGTCCTCACAGCCTGTCCTGGACTTGGTAACTTATGCGGAGATACCTTTCCTGTTTTGAACTCAGTGTACCCATTTGTTCTGCTTAAGTGTGTGTGTCAGATGGCCCTGGGCCAATCTCCTTGCTGGGAGGGACAGGTCCTTTTGCTGCAGCACTGGAGGGGTGTGTGCAGGCCAGTGGCCCTGCATTGGCTGTAGGAGTGACCCTCTGGCTATGGAGAACTGACGCCCACTACTGACACTAATCTGGCTCTGTCTGTATGTGAGTAAAGCATCGTTCCATCTAGTGCTTGACTGTTGTGTTTTCCTTGGTGACTCTGATGCTAGGATGCAGTAGACAGAAGTACTTGAACTTCTCTTGATAAATAGGCAGGATATCACTTGCTCGATACCTTCCTAGATAGATTATAGATCTGCAACAGGGGAGAGACTATATAATGCTGGCAGATTTCCTAACATACATCACTCTTTGTCCAAATATTAGGCTACTTGCTTGCTTTGTACATTTTTAAATTAAAGAATGTAAAAACTTTCAGCGCCTTAAATAAAATGAGAGCTACGATTGAATGTTCTCCGAAGATGACAATTTCTGTCCTATGAGAAGGTTTTAAAAAAGGTTAGCAAATCTTCTCCATCGGATTGGCAGTCTGCCAGTTGCAAAGTCCAGGCAACCCCTGCCTCCTGCCATCTGGCCTCACCACCAAAAGTGCAGCACTGGCTCAGAGCCTGGGGCTACCAGCCAGTTGAAGAATCCCACCTTCAGCTAGAGGGCAGGGAGGGATGGCGAGTCTATCCTGATCTTGGTTAGCTTTGTCTCTTAGTGGGAATAAAATGACAGTTAAACTCCTAGTAGTTTGAAGTGTTCATCTTGTTGAGACAAAAAGGAAAGGAGGCCAGGACCAGTACAGAAAGGCATCCCAAAGTTCTTTAGACCCTAAAGTAACCTCTTCTAATAATCTCAAATAGATCAAAGTGCAAATCAAGAAGAATATATACCTAGAATCTCACTACCTAAAACAAACCATTGTTAATTTTAGGCACCCATCTTTCAATCAGCTATGAACACATGTGGAAAAAAGAGAAATGATTTTAGAACAGTGGGATCATTTTATACATGCTACTTTTACATAAAGAATATTAAATGTGTATTTACTTGAATTTAACAAAGTAAAAAACTGCAAATAGTGGAAGTTATTGCTGGTGTCATATTTTTCACTATATGAAAGATGTTCTTTCTAAGAGATCCCTCTAAACTAATGAGGATATATATCATGAAAAGGATTAAGAAATTGGAAGACAGCAAGTGTTCAGTGTTTGCAGAGCAGAGAGGAAGTACAGCTTCACGTGCTGATGATCGTGCAGGATGGTAAGATGTTGAAGGGTGAGGAAGGGGCAAGGTCATTTAGGGTCTCACAGACCACACTGAAGCGTTTGGCTTTTACTTTAAGTGAAAGGGGAAGCTTTGGAGGGTTTCGATTGTGAGAATGATTTCACCTGACTGAAAAGTGTACACAGGTCACTCTACTACGTGATAATGAATTATTATAGTGGGGGGAGGGGAGGAGGGAATGCAGGGCCATTGCAATAATCCAAGTGGAGATGAAGGTATCTTGGACTTGAATGGTGGGGGAGGGGAGGTGGAGAAAAGTCAGTGGATTCAGGGTACATGTTGGAGATAAGCCCAGCAGAATTGCTAGAGGATTAGATGGGGCCAGGAGGGAGGAATGAAGGATGACTCCTTGGCTTTTGGAGAGAGCAGAAGGAGGAATGATGATGTCATTTACCGAGATGGAAACGAATGGGGCAGGAACATGCTTTAGGAGAAAAAGCTATTTTGGGATATTTTAAAGTTGAGTTGTCTGCTGGACAGCAAGGTACCCATGTCAAATTGGCAGGTGGATATACAAGTCCAAGATTCATAGGAGCGGCAATGAACACTTTATTGGGCAATGGATGTCACCATTGGCTTAGAGAAGGGTGGTGCCTGTGGAGTGACAGGCACAGAAGCCCAAGTGAAGTGGCTTGAGGGGAGACTGGAAAGTGAAGATTTGTGGGCACTGCTTATGGACAGCTCTTTCTACTTTTACCATGAAAGGACCAGAGTGCATATTGGAAAAGATGTGAAGGGCAAGAAGGATTATTTTAATCCATGGGCCATTCTAATGTGCTTGTTTGTGGTTGGAATCCTATAGTAGGAAGGGAGAAAAAGAATAATTCTGGAGAATGAGGGAAACTAATTGTAGAAGTGAAATACCTGATAATTTCAGAAGAGATGGAATCTGGAGGAATTGATCTTTGATTGAGCAGGGACAATGGTTCCACTGAAACAGGAAGGCAGAGAATACAGACACGGAGGCAGGTAGGTTAGCAAATGTGAAGGTTGAGGATGAAAGAGCTTTGGTCTGACTCCTTCTACTTTTGTCATATGGTGTGAGCTCATGTTATGAGTAGAGAGGCAGTAGAGAGAGGTGTTGGAGATTTGAGGAGAATAAGAGGAATGAAATAGTTACCTTGAAGAGAGTTTGAAAAAGAGTTTGCTAGGAAAATCAAGTAAGTTTTCCCAGTAGCATTGAGTGCACATTTTAGATTCATGGTATGACTCAAAAGTGAGTATTTTTCTCCAGCATGTTCAGATGATTCCATGCAGGCAGAGAGTAGGCAGGGAGTTGGCTTCATCTATTTTTAAAAACTATTAAAATAACTTTTGTTTTCCTTACGAGTTTTAGAGACATTGGCTGCTGCTTATTCCCATAGGAAAGGTGATTTTAAAATTCAGCAATACTTAAAACAGTCATATCAGATTATGTATTTTTATTTTATTATTATGATTTTTTAGGCTTGTCAAGTGGAGCAGTGGGAGTGGAGAAGGAACAAAGGAATCTGTAACTGGAAATTATGTTTTTTAGAAGGGAAATTATGAAAGAACACAATCACACTTCACTATTTATTAAGTCCCTGTTACACATACAATATTGGGAGGTGTATAGTCAAAGTGGAAGATATGGTACCACCCCTCAAGAAGATTAGAGTCTATTGGGAATATTACAGTCTACTGGGAATATTACTCATATTCTACTTAAATTCTCTAGATGTTTCATATTTTAAGTGTCAAAAGTGAAAAACAAGATAGTTACAGTGGGATTACTTTTGAGATAATTAAGGTATTGATATGGGGAATTCTGAAGGTTGTGAAAAATTATATGGCAGTCAATGTATATGAAAAGTATCAAGTGCGTATCTGTAGCGAACAGACCAAAAAGAACAAATGAGTTTTGAAAATGCTACATACTGTGTTTCCCCGAAAATAAGACCTACCCATAAAATAAGCCCTAGCAGGATTTCTAAGCATTTGCGTAATATAAGCCATACCCCGAAAATAAGACCTAGTGATGAGTGTGGCTACGCAGCACATCTGCACAACCCATGCATTTCCTCACAGAGAGGTAAAGACGATGAGCAGCCCTTCGCATCAGCCCCATGCTGACAGCTATTATCCCAGAGGTGACCGGAAAGGTGCGGGCAGCCCCACCAACAAGGTCGGCTCCCCCTGTCAGGTCCCGGCCATTCTGTGCATGCTGCAAGCTGAGGCTTTGAGGGGAAAATAACACACCCCCTGAAAATAAGCCCTAGGGTGTCTTCTTGAGGAAAAATAAATATAAGACCCTATCTTATTTTCGGGGAAACATGGTAATAATGATTCTATACAGGATGATAGGCACTCTGCAGTCTGATCTGCAACTCTCAGGTTTAAATACTGCACTCTGCTATGACAATTCAAGTTCGTTCCTAGATGTATCCGTTTTACAAACCTTGCGAAGCCTGGTGCACTGCACGCGGCGTTGCCACAGTCCTTGTACATGTGACCTACGGAGTCAGGCTGCCCTGCTTTGAGCCCTGGCTTTGCCACACACTGGCTGCGAGGGCAACTCTAGGCAGATGTCTAGTTTGCAGGTAAAGCCCTTAGTGCAGGGCATGCTACACAGTAAATGCTCAAGAGATATTTCCTAACTCATTACTGCAGAGGTGAGACGATGATAATTTGATAAATTTAAAATTTCTAGTCAAGATGGAGAGGAGACAGGCTGCTTAAAACTCTCCAAAGTTTCCATTCTGCTCAGAATAAACCCCAAACCCTTCCATGGAACTACGAAGCCCCCCCCTCACTCATTCTGCACCGTTCACAGGCTGTTCCTCAAACACGCCAGCCATGCTCCCGCCTCCGCGCCGCTGCAGCTGCTGCTCCCACTGTCTGGAATGTTCTTTCTTAGAAATCTGCATGGATTCCTCCTCCACCTCTTTCTGGTCTTCGCTCAGCTGTGACCTGCTGAGCGAGGTCCTGTCCTACCACCCTATGTGAAGTTGCACACTCTCCCCTGGCCTGCTCTCGGCCTTACTTCTTCTCTCCATAGGACTCACAGCCCTCTACTCACAGTATCCTTTCTCTGTTTGTTCCCCCGGTATAAGTTAAGCTTCATACAGGCAGGGGTCTTGTATGTTTGTTTCCTCTTGGATCTCCAGCACCAGAACAGCACTTGATACCTAGCAGGTGCTCAGAAATAGTTGTTCAATAAATGAGTGAATGAGTGAAGGCTTGGGCAGAATAGGGCTGCTGGGAACAACACACAGGACATCCTGAGGTCCAGAAGTATCTCTCACACACCCGTTCCAATAAGCCAAGGGTTAATTAGGTTAACCACTAGTTCTCCTGAAATCAAAGAGACCCTGGAAATATTATACAACTTTCTAACTTGGCAGTATTTATGCAAATTGGGTCATTATTCTGTCAGTTAGGATTCAGTGGGAATGGATCACTCGGTGACAATGAAATGTAGACAGGAAACAGAAAGAGGGGAGGGCACAAGGTCACACCTCCTAACCTTGCTTGCAGTTACTGGCAGGAAATCCCTGCCGTCCTTGGCAGCAGCTGCCTTAGGAGATCTGGCATTGACTGAGAACCTGCCCTGTGCTAACCCTGCCCTTTAACCATTGTGTTCTAGCAAGAAAGTCTATAACTCTTAAACAGATACATATGCTATCCTGCATGGAACTTTATTTTCTATAAATGCTGACATTTTCCTCCAGAGCCCTAAGTCTCACTCATATTATAAAACGTGATCTTACTAAAATTTTTTTTTTTTTTGAGACAGAGTCTCACTTCATTGCCCAGGCTAGAGTGAGTGCCGTGGCATCAGCCTAGCTCACAGCAACCTCAAACTTCTGGGCTCAAGCAATCCTCCTGCCTCAGCCTCCCGAGTAGCTGGGACCACAGGCATGCGCCACCATGCCCGGCTAATTTTTTTCTATATATATTAGTTGTCCAATTAATTTCTTTCTATTTATAGTAGAGACGAGGTCTTGCTCTTGCTCAGGCTGGCCTCGAACTCCTGACCTTGAGCAATCCGCCCGCCTCGGCCTCCCAGAGTGCTAGGATTACAGCCGTAAGCCACCGCGCCCGGCTGATCTTACTAAATTAAGTTACCTCCATCTCTTCTGACCTTAAACATTCCATTCTCTTGGAGTTAGTAAATACTGAGCTGACTCGGTGTCTAAACTTTCTGTGAGGACTCTTTCTCCCCTGTTTAGGGGTCCCCAGTCCCCTCTTGTTGCACAGAGAAGCCTGCCCATCCTCATGGATGGATGTGGGAGGCAGAAGGGTGGAGAGGGGTCTGGCCAGTCACTGTCCTGCTGGCCTCCCCTGGGATGTTGCTCTTCCTGGTGGTGCCCAGGCTGCAGCTATCTTTCTTCTACCGAGCTGTGGCTGTCCCTAGCCTCTTCTTTCAGGGCCCTTGGCAGGGTCTTTGATTTGTGAAAGTGCAGAAATCCTGTCCCCATCTCAGGCCTCTGCTGGCTCAGCACTTCTGCGTGGGGATCACCCACATGCCACAGGTGGGTTATGAACCGGCCCTGCCTGCATCTGGCATCTCACTCCGAATACCAGGCCCCTCTGAGAGGTGGATGGCTTGGCCTTCTCTCAAGGAAGTGAGACTCCAACTTTAGTGCTCTCAGATGCCCCTAGCTGGGTGTTTACATGTATCTCATTCATGGTTTTGTGGACATAAACATCCTCCCCGTACAATATCCTGCAGTCCACAAATATTTACTGTAAAAAGTAGTTTTCTTTTTTTAAAAAAATATACAGTCAGCCCTCAGTATCCTCTGGGGATTGGTTCCAGGACCCCCAGAGATACCAAAATCTGCAGATACTCAAGTCCTTGATATAAAACGGTGTAGTAATTGCATGTAACCTGTTCACATCCTCCCGTATACTTTAAATCATCTTGAGATTACTTATTTCCAGTCCAATGTAAATGCTATGTAAATGGTTGTTATATTGCATTTTAGAAATCTGTATTTAAAAAAATTGTATTGTTGTTTTTCACTGTTTTTTTTTTTCCTACCTGAATATTTTCTAACTGTGGTTGGTTGAATTTGATAATCTGGAACCCATAGATACAGAGGACCGACTGTATCTTGTTTTAACGTCTGTCCAAAACAAATTCACAATTCTTATTTGGCACTCAGAAAAGCGTATGTAGACAGTGGTGGTCCTGTGGAATGCCTGCTCTATTCTTTGCTACCTGTGTGAACTTAGGGAGTTAGTTAACCTCTCTGTGCCTGTTTCCTCACCTGTGCAGTGGGGATAATGATAGTAACGACTTCACAGGGCTGTTGTGAGGACTGAATGTTTAAGTGCACTAGAACAGCACGGGAAGAGGGCCGTGCTCGCTACTGTTAGTACCCTAATAATAGTTATTTAATACTAGAAGCACACCGGTTGCGTGTACTTAGGCAAGGTGTGCTATAAGAGGAGGATTTTACGGCCACCAGCGCCCTGGCCTTGGCGATTTTACCTGTTTCACTGCAACTACTGTTCTTTACTCCCTCCGAGGACTTTAAGATCTTGGACGCAGAAAGGAGAACGGAGTCGACCTCATCCTTCTCCTCCTGCTGCTTTCCTGTAAGAGAACCGTGCGTGCGGGCGCTTCCGCGGGCGGCGCCGAGCTCCCCGCGGCGGCCGCTGGGGGGCGCGCTGGCGGAGTGCGGGGCGGCCCGGCTGGGGACCGCGGCGGCGGGGGGCCGAGGAGGTGCTTTCCCGCCCGGGCCGAGCAGGAGAGGGGCGGGGAGCCCCGGGGGCGCGCACTCGGGCGGACGCGGGAAGTCCCCAGGCTTGCGGGGCAAGGGCCCAGGCCCCGCTCCCCTCCCCTGCCCTGCCCTCCACTCCCCGCGGGGCGGCCCGGCTCTTACCCGGGCTCATCCCTTCTGCTCAGGCCTCTCTCCAAACGGCCTTCCCCTACGCATTCCGCTCCGTCCTGTTGCCAGGTAACCGGGCGGCCGGGACGCCGCGCCCCACCCCCACCCTTGGCCGCCAGTGGAGGTGGCGCGCTCGGGGCGCGGGCCCGGGTTGCGTCCTGCATCCCGCGTGGGCTCGGCGGGACGCTCTTCCCGCGCGAGCAGCGCCTGGGACCTCTGCGTGGGACGAAGGTCCTACCTTTGCCGTGTCCTCCCAAAGCCGGGGACAGCCCCGCGTGGGCGTTTTCTCCCGCGTCCTCGCTGCTGACCAGAACTTGGGCCCGATCAATGGTACTTTTAAATAAAAGTTTTAAGTGAGTATATTTATTTTGCAATAACAAACCATTGCACATAAAAAATTCAAATTTTAAATCACAATGATGAGGAATATAAAGTCACCAGGATAGGGCGAGCAACAGAGAGAGACCCTGTCTCTAGAAAAAAATTTTAAAAATATGCCGAGTGTGATGGCCTTGCGCCTGCAGGCCCAGTCACTGGGGAGGCTGAGGCAGGAGGATCGCTTGGGCCCAGGAGTCTGAGGTTGCAGTGAGCTATGATGATGCCACTGCACTCCAGCCTGGGTGACAGAGGGAGACGTTGCCCCCACCCCAAATAAATAAAATAAAATAAAAAAGTCACGAGGATATAACAATGTGTTTTATAATAGATAATATATAATACACGGCTTGCTTTCATAGAAATGAAACTCCTTATTATAATTTTAATGTATACTTGTTCTAATTTCTTGCTTCCTATAGAAATAATCTACATAGGAGATTTCACAGTCTTTCTTGTGGCATTGTAGGCAGTTTTAATCAATTATAATTTGAAGAATTTCTGTTCTCCATTGGTCTTTGATATTGGTAAAGTTAACTTTTTGTGGAGCACTGCAAAGATTTTACCAATATGTTTATTAAATTACTACTGTAAAATAAATTGCATTACCTCAAAGGGAGAATGTAGAAATGGTAGTTCTACTTGTAGCTCTTTGAGATATCTCTATTACTTTCCATAGAGGTTGCACTAGTTTACAGTCCCACCAGCAGTGTATGAGTGTTCCTATCTCTCCACATCCACGCCAACATTTATTGTTTGGGGACTTTTTTTTTTTTTTCAGGCCTCAACTTACATATGTGGTTTATAAGGGGACTTTTTGATAAAAGCCATTCTCACTGGAGTTAAGTGATATCTCATTGTGATTTTGGTTTGCATTTCCCTGATGATTAGAGATGTTGAGCATTTTTTCATACATTTGCTGGCCATTACTTTGTCTTTTTTTGAAAAGTTTCTGTTCATGTCCTTTGACAACTTTCTAATGGGGTTGATTTTTTCTTGCTGATTTTACTGAGTTCTATATAGATTCTAGCTATCAGCCCTTTACCAGATATGTAGCATATGATATTAAGAATTGTAAAATTTTATGAAAAAAAGTTCTTTTCCAGATTTATGTGGGGAAAATTGAAACATGGGAAGGTTAGGGAACTTATCAAAAACTGTAATTGGTCAGTACTAGACTTCCTGATTCTGAAACTTTGGTTCTTCCCAAATCATCTTAAAGTTTTTTTTTTTTTTTTTTTT